ATCTTGCCCTTTCGTTGATGCATTCTCTGACCCTTCGCCCGCCTTCGGAAGCGTCTGCCATGCAGGCGCGCAGCTGGGGCTGCACGAAATATTCCTTTTACTTCCCCCCCGAGGAAAGGACCTCGAAGCAACTAACACCCTTGGCGATATGACAGCTCATCCTTCCGGCGAGAGAAACCCCTGTTCTCGCAGGCCGAGGATCGTTCCTTGGCTTTGTCGTCCACTTTCTACGAATAGCCCACAGTTGTCACAAAGCTCCCTCCTGCTTTTGAGAGAGAGAGAAAAGAAAAAGCACTATTCAGACTCCGCGGCTGAAGGAACGTCAAATTTGACATCTCATCGGTGTGGATCTCGGGGTTGACGGCGACGCCTCGACCTCGTATCCCACTCGTCGTCTCCTACTTCGGTGTGTTATGCCTGCGCGGATCAGCCGTCGCTACCCCCGGGAGTGACGAACAGAAGCAAGGGGGGGGGGCAACATCTCGCTACCATCTCAGGGTCTCTTCGCCGAAACAAAATTCAACACGAAGGAGCGGGGAGCATCGCGATTGGGAGGTGGTCAACGTACGGCTCATGCCATCCTTCTGTGCTCTCGGCGACTTATGAGAAGCACCGAGGGCGGTAGCTTGCAGAAAAGCGCTCAAAAGCGCGTGGCCAAGCATGCTTGAGGCACCTTACGTATTCGACAAGTGTCAGATTTTTCCATGACATATACGACATGCCCTACGCAACGCAGCACCCTGCGTTCTACGAGCGAGCAGCGCGAGCGGCGGCTGAGAGGTTCGACGTTTTATTTCCCATGTTACACTCTGGAGCTCCGTCGCGGATCGTGTCAAAATTAAGCCGCATCTTCAAGCTGCCAAACCGTCATGGCTTGGTCGTCGACGACGCTGTGTTTCCCATCCGCCATCTTGGCTGCAATGGTATGATGCAAGCAGCCGGCACGCGCGAACAAACAGCTGCTCGCCAAACCACATTCACCAAACATATCAAAGCAAACCTCTCCGCCTGCCTGCCTACCTGCCTGACTGCTCCGGCAGCGGACCGCGTTAGGCCCGCAGGCTGTGTGGTCGCCCGCCCTCCTGTGCGACGACCCCATCTGCAGCTCCCAACCAGTGACGTTGGTGCTATTTGACAGCTTGACTCTGTCACGACTCGGAGCCCATCGTCCTCTTCGGACCAGATTCGCCGCGGACACTCTCCTCTGTCTGCCGCGTCTCTGTGCTACACCCGCACTGTATTCGGCCGAGAGCGAGAGCAGCGGCGACCTGTAGGGAGAATAGATGCAGCAGTGAGGCAAAAGCCAAAACGTACACCTTCCCAACCTGCTTGCTTGCTTCGTTGTACAACGACAGGTTGCAGACGCTACGCCACGGCCAAGTCGGCACGTTTGAGTGGCCGCCGGCGTCCCATCGATCGCCCCTTTGACGTTCGTAGCGGGAGGGTTACACGGAAGTGAGGCAAAATAGGAGGCGCCGCATTGGTTTCCGTTTCGTCGTTTTTTTTCCTTCGCTCCCCCCTTTCCTGCCCCCTGGTTCAGAAATCTCTGCTTTGAGAAGGATAGCAAGATGATCTCTCTGGATGCCGATGGGCTGCATGCCGCGTGTGGTGTGACGAGAGAGGCAAGCTCGCGTGAGGACATCAACTTCATTTCATCTCCATGCAAACGCAGCAACTTGACTTGATGGCCAGACCGAGGCTAATGCCAATACGAAGGCAAAGTGGTGACATTGTCGCAGGGGAGAGAGATGTCGAGAACTGGCGCCGTGGCACTCGACGAGAAGAGGGGGGCGAAGAGGATTGGCGGTGCGAAGCAAAACAGCCTGTTTTTTTCGTGCGTCGTCAGGCACAATCGGGATCATCCGGCGCTCGTGTCGACGACACCAACACACGCAGAATGGATGGAGAGTTTTGCTCCCACCATCACCGCAACCACCTCCACCATCCTACGGCGGTAAGCGAGGATGGTGGTGGTGCTGCTGGTGATAGTGTTCGCTACCTGCTAGGTTCAGGTTGAACCGACCTTCCTAAGGGACCATGGTGGGAAAACTTAATCTTCATTTTGCCGTGATTAAACTTTGCACACGGAGGCAGGGGACGTTGTATTCCGGTCCAGAATGGGACGGGCAGATCTAGATTATTAAATCTTCTTCACGACCCCTTCTCTCAGAAAGCATTTTCACGTCTTTGAGATGAGATGAGCCGAGGAAATAGCAAGCGATGGATAGTATTGCGTCTTCTTCTGTAGCGTTCCGCGAGGAGTTTGATTACTGACTATGCTGATTGATCACAGAGAAGAGAAGCCCCCTCCACTCCCCCTTCTTCTCTCTCCTTTCGTCGGTCTACACGTATCGCATCCGCCCCAGTTCTAGTACCAGTCCCAACCAGACCCGCAGCGGACGCTATCCTCAGCTCTCCCGCACGTCGTAAGCTGCGGGTGATCGGCGCGCCGGATTGACTGACTGGCTGGCTGCCCTGCTTGCCATGGATCGCCTCGCCCGCTACCTCCACCGTCTGTTGCGTTCTCTCTACAAACTCCACCCCTCGAATGTTCCACGATGGCGAGGTTGACAGATCGAGCGCCATGCAGCGGCAAGCTGCTTCCACGCTGCCTCGCTAGCACGCCTGGCCGGGGAAAAGTAGAACATGCTGTGCGTATCTGCAGCTGCCCGTCATGAGCTTGGGGTAATCTGTCATATTCTGCGTAGTCTTGGTATCTTTTTTTCCATGTCCATCTGAATGCCCTCGCTGTCTTCTTGCGTGGAGACCATAGATTGCTCTAATGTGCACATCCGTCGCGTGCCAGTACAATGTAGGGAGAGTCGTGGCAGCAGCCCATCCCGTTCGTTCCCGTTCCCGTTCTCGATTCCAATCCTGTCCCGTCCCACCTTGCTAGACGGCGAGGACTGCCTCAGGTCTGCCAATGAGTCGATACGCCCTTACCCTTACGTCCGGCTCCACGCGGCGCTCCTCGGGGACCACCAGCTCTAGGTGTCAACCCTCCCATGACGTCCATGTTCTGATCATCAGTAGGGAACTCGGCGGTCCTGAAGCCGTCGCCGTCCTTGAACATGGTCGTGTAGAGACTTGAGACGGACTGCGTGAGCTCGTACATGGCCTTGGTGCGCTCGCTGTCTGCGTCCGACTGGATCTCGAGCGTGCCGGCCTGCTGATCGATTTTGCCGTCAATCTTCCCATCGACAATAAGGAAGCCGAGGATGTCTTGGACCTCAGGCAGCGAGATCTTGAGCTGCTTCGCGATCCAGGCGAGCTTCATGCGCGTGTAGGGAGCGATGAGCTTGACGACACCCTTTGTGCGCATGTTACGCGTGACCTCGTCAATGTTCTCAGCAATGAAGGGGTCGGCCAGGATGTCTTGGTTCTTCTGGAGAACGTTCTCGTAGGCGTGAACATCATCGCGTTGGTAGGCATCTACGAGGTCCGTCATAGCCGTGATGCGTGGGTCCTGCTTGTAAGGCTTGGTCTCCTGTGAGTCGAAGGGGTTGATGGTCGACTTGACCAGCATCGTCGTGAGCAGGAGATACTTGAGGACCTGAATTCGCTGAAGCGAGCCGGCCTCGTCGTAGTTGCGGAAGGACTCGAAGAAGTCCGTCTGGGCTTCTGCCCAGTTCTCCTCGCTCATGTGCATCTTGCCGCCGCACTCGCGGATGATGCCCATGATCTTCGGGTGCGGGACGGCGGAGCGAACCTTCAAGGCACGCTGATACAGCCGTTTGAGTTGCTTGTTGTTCTTCGTCTCGGCATGCATCTGGATCTCCAGCGCGTATATTTCCATAGAGTACGTTCCCTTGCTGGGGTCGTCGCTACCGTCCTCCTTCTGACAGGCCTTGTGAAGATCGCGGAGCTTCTTGGATACCGTGTTATAGTCCTTGCGGTCGAGAAGAAGCTTTGCGAGCTTGATGTTGGTCTTGAGCCAGAGTCTCTCGTTGTTTGTGCTCTGGAAGCTCTCGAGGGTGAGCGAGTAGAACTTCTCGACGCACGCCACCGCCTTGGGGCCATCTGATCCCTTCTCAATGTAGTCTAGCATGTTGTTGATTGACTTCTCCGAGTAGTTTCTTGTGACCGCTGATTTGACGTACGTGAGGAGCTCGGCGTAGTGTTCCGTAGCCTACGTCCAGTATTAGCATCCCCCCTCTCGCCTTGTTTGTCTTCAGTCCTGATTTCCTACCTTCTCGTACTGACCCAGCTTGAACTCAAGCTTTATCGCCTGCTTCAGTCCTTTGAAGCCCCATTCGCCCTTTTCGTCTTCTAAAGGCGGTATGCCCAGGAACTCTGTGATCGCATCCTCGGGGTCGGTAAGCTTGAGCTGCTTCGCATTGTAGTACTTGTTTTCGATGCCGACGTCACCGGACTCCTCGTCGTCGTCTTCCTCGTACTCGAAGTCGTACCTGCAAGCTATCAGTGACTGCCTTAGGTGGTTCGACCATGAGAACGCGAAAGGCTTACTGCTCCTCATCCGACTCCTGCATGAAGTCCTCGTCATCAGACATGTTGGCGGTTGTTTTCGGTTATCTCGCGGAGTGATTGGTCTGTATTCAGGATATGGCTTTAAGGTATCCAGCGGTCGTGGTAGGACCGAGGGGTTGAAATTGGTCTTGTGAAGGGTCTTGGTGTTCGTTGTTGTTTGCAGTGGAAGGTGTAAGGCTGGAGATTGAGGTTCAGCTTCCAGGCAGGACCGCAATGGTTGGCAGTTGACAGCACCATTAAGGCGGGGGAGCTTATCGATTGGCCGGACCCACAGGTTGCCGGCTCACACTGTTTGATTACGCACGGACCAAGTAAAATCACGGCAGGCGGGAGGCGACTTTTTGATCCACGGTTCCAGCCAGGCGCATCCCCAGTCACTCCCAGCCGCGTCACTTCCCTACTTTATCTTTCTTCAACCCATCAACCTCCCTCACAACCGTCGATTCTCCTCGTGAAGGACCCATACTACCCGCCGGAAATTTCAACAGCGATACATCGCAACAGTCGGCAAGATGGGTGGTGATCTCAACTTGAAGAAGAGTTTCCACCCTTCTCTCCTGAAGAACCAGGCCAAGGTTTGGGAGGAGGAGAAGAAAGCGCTCGAGGAGCGCAAGAAGACGCAGCAAAGAATCAACGAGCTCAAGGAGGAGCGCGCCCGTGAAGAACTCCAGAAGAAGCTCGAGGCTGCCGGACACGCGAAAAAGGTCGATCGCGTCGAATTCCTCTACAACGGCCCGACCGATGGACAGACCGGAACGACCGAGGAGCGCGAGAGCTACCTCCTGGGCAAGCGTCGCATCGACAACCTGCTCAAGGGTACCGAACACAAGAACCTCGTAAAGCAGGCTGGCCAAGAGAGCTTCATGGCACTGCAGACGGCCAATACCGCACGAGACACCGCAGCAAAGGTTCGGGAAGATCCTCTCCTCGCCATCAAGAGACAGGAGCAGGCCGCGTACGAGGCGATGATGAATGATCCGATCAAGCGCAGGCAGTTGCTTGCCTCGATGGGCATCGAGGACCAGCAAAAAGACAAGTCAAAGAAAAGGGAAGATAGGCACGAAAGGCACAAGAGGAGGCATCACAGGCGTCACGACGATGACTCAGAAGACGACAGGCGCCATAAGCGACGGCGCTCTCAACCTCGATCCAGATCCAGAAGCCCCCGGCGGCGCCAAGGCGATTCTGACGACGAAGATCGACGCGAGAGACGACACCGACGTAGCGACTCTCAGGATAGAGACAGAGGCAGCCACCGACGAAGGCGATCCCCGAGGTCGAGATCGCCTCGCCGCCGTGATTCAGGAGAGAAAGACGACTACGAGAGGCGAGACCGGAGAGAGCGTCGTGACAATCGTGAGAGAAGGCGCCAACCCTCTGTCTCAGACGAAGACCGTCCCGTCCGTCAGCGGGAGAGATCACCTCGAGGTTTTGACGGCCGAAATGGAGATCGCAGTGGCGACCGTAACGGAGAAGCATCCGACTCTCGCGACCGCAGACCCTACGACAACCGCCGGTTTGATCGCAACAGAGACACCCGAGGTGACGGTCGTGCCAACGGTAAGGCGGACGACTCAGCTGCAGATGAAGAGAGGGCAAGGAAGCTGGCTGCTATGCAAGCGGCCGCCTCGGATCTCGACACGGACCGAGACCGTCGTTTGGCTGCGCTCGAAGCACAGGAAAATGCAGCACGTGAGGCCGACAACCAGGCCAGGGAAAAGTCTTCCAAGTACGGCGATAGGCAGTTTGTCAACGGTCTGCACCGCAAGGCTGGTAACTTGGGGCTGGCAGAGAGGCTTGGACGGGGAAGACAAGGTCTACAGAGGGACGACGACTGAAGGGCAGACGCAGACTAACTCGGCAAACACGTCAAGAAACTGTCCACAATCCCCGATGGAAGCTATCTGTGGAGTCCGCGAAGGAGGCGTGAGGCGTTCGAGCACCGAGCGCCGACAAGTAGCGCCCGGAGAGGCGGGTCTGAGTACCAACGGCCAACGGATCGACCTCGCATACGCGGACGGGAAGGTTGGAATGGAACTGGGTCACGAGGGGTTTTTGGAGATGGTTTTCCCCCGCAAATGGCATTGGACGTACGGTTATACACGCGCTCGTCATAACCAAAATTTTTAGAGTGAAGGGTGGCATCCGGCAGGATACATGCGTGCATAGAATACCCCAGAATGACGATACGTCACTCGAAAGCAATACAGACACTACTGCTGGACATTTCTTGCCATTGCATTGCATGATTTGATGGTCTGTTTATCCGATAAGAGTAAACACAAGCACAAGGGATGCTTTCGCAGGTGCAAAGTACGCACACACGGGCTGCGGGAGGCGTTGCAGCACAGTCACCGGGCGGACTTGGTCGTGGCGGGGAAGAACTGAGGGGGCATCCGAAGCACGATGGAGCGGCACGCCGGCGCTTGGCGGGGCGGCGAGCTTCAGAATCCCTGGCGGTGCCTGCGGTTCAATGCGCGGGGTTGCGTTTCCTTGGAGGCTGGCGATGGCACCTGGCTCACTGATGGGGAAGTTGGCAGACGTGGGTTGTCTTGGGATTGGGGCTGAGTGATGGCGAAGAGGGGTTGTGTGAGGCGATGAGGGGCGACCGACATGTTGCGATACCGAGCTTGCTTTCTCTCCGGCGAGATTTCGACCCGCCAAGAATACCGAGTTCTCTGTCTGCGACTGCGTGGGAAAATCGTGGATTTCGCGTCCGGGACTTCGGCAAGGGAATTCTAGAAGACCAAGACGGACGAAAGCGGCGCAGGGTCGGAGGCTGGACGGAGTGGGATGGGGCCCTGGGCTTTGGGTCTTGGGCCTTTGCGCAGTCTGAGATTTTGTTGGTTCCGCCAGAATCGACGCCGCTCTCGGGGCTTCTTAAGCATCCGGCAAGGCGGCGGGACAGATCGCCGGGATGTGCCTGTCTTGCTGAGGGCGGTACTTGGCTGGCGATGGGGTCAACTGTTTGAGTAGTGGGGGTTGTTTGTTTTGACAGAGCTCTGGTCTTGGAAGTTGGCCATGACGATTGGGGCGAATGAGTCGTACCTGTGGGCAGAATTATACTGAGCAGGCAGTGACTGCATAGACGAAGCAGGACAGGGACGGGTAGGTGAAAGAGGTGCGGTGAAGTAGTGAAACTGGATTGCGTTGGCGTGTGCTGCTTTGAAGGATGGAGTTGAGATGGGATGATGCCGAAATAGAAGTCGGAGATCAGCAAAGATGGCGGTTGCAGATGCGAGTGAGCGTCGAGTGCATGCCTTGCAGTAGTAGCCACAGCTACCGGCGCAGAGTTTTGGAGGGCCGCGCGGGCACTGGTCTGGGATTTTGGCGGCGATGATCTGAATCTGCAATCTGACAGGGCGCGGCAACGGCACCGGGCGAGGTGAAGGCAGCGGAGAACTGGACGTGGACAGGCACGGGAACCCGACGATTGCGGCGTGCGGGCTGGGTTTTCAGCTGCGATGATGGTATCGAGGCATGTACCTGGTGTCAGACTATGGGCGTATCAGTACACGATGCCCCTCCTTGCCGTCTTACGTCTTACCCAGAGCGGCGCTGGACGGGGCTTGAGTTGACGCCACCAAAGCTGTCGAACCAGGGGGGAAGGGAAGCCAAAAAGCCTAATCTCCTTGAGGCCTGAGACATGGACCTCTTAGTGCCCCCCACAGCTACATGCCTAGAAAAGGATTAATATGCCAGCCAAGCTACGCTACTAGTTAATATACTTAGGTTTTGTAGTAAAAACAGTACTTTTTAAGTATCTTTACTTCCACTAAAATAAGCTAGTATTTATCTACTTTTTTAAATAGCTATAAGTTAACCTTATTCCTTATCTTAAGTCCCCTACTTACTTACTTATAATACTACTATAATACTTCTACTTACTTTATATCAAATTAATCCTAAAAAATCCCAAAAAAATAGATAATATTTATAACAATAATATTATTAAGTTATTTAATAATTATAATAGTAATTTTAATATTATTAATAACTTTAAAGATCTTAATGCTTCTATATAGCGCTATATACTAATTAGCCTTAGCACTATTAATAACCCTCGCTAGCTGCTTATTATAAGAGACCTTAATAAGATTAAAGTAGGTATGTTAATACTACTATAGGCGCGCTAGTTACTACTTCTACCTCTAAGTAAGCAAAATCTATTATTAAACCTTTAGCTAGTGATTCTATATAATAACAACATAGTATAATATAACCTTTATAAGCTTTACTTTCTACTAAGTATATAGTATAATAAAGAGCTTTTAGACTATATTAATAGTATATTATATTATAAACTTCTTATAAAGTACTTTAAATATAAGATATATCTATTTTTAAACCTCTTATTATTATAACTATAATAAAAGTTTATCCCTAAGTAGATATCTAAATAGTAGGTATATTAAATTAACAAGAAGTTAGAAATATATTAATATATTTATAATCCTACTAAAGTAATAAAAAGCCCTACTTAAATATTTTATTAGCTTTAGTATATAACTATGGTAGAGATATATATCTTTTTAGGTATATTTATTTAGTTATATAACTATTTATTAAGAAAATACTCTCTATAACTACTAGATTAAATATAATTATTACTCTGTCTATTTTATTAATTATTAGCTCTCTTATAACTACTTTAAATAGCTATATTATAACTTTTCTATTTATAACTTTATTACTAAACCTCTCTATAATATATACTTAATAATATATAAGAAGGTTATTTGTTAGAGCGATTAGCTATAGTTAATATTAATATAACTATAGTTATTTAGTGCTAATATTACTATTAATAAGAGTATAATCTACTATTAAAGCTACTATTTTAATTAACTTATTTTACTACCTCTAGTACTATAATATTATTACTATAAGTATTATATATAATACTTAATATAATAAGGTTAGCTTAACCTTTAGTAAGCTTAGAAGCTATAATAATAAAGCTAAAAAGATATTTTAAAATACTATTTACTATAAAATAACTAAAGATAGTATAGTTTACTAGCTTCTAATTAAAGATAGCTCCCCTATTTTGATAGTAACTATAGGTTTTTATAGCTTTAAATATACCTTCTTTAAGCTTTAAAAGAAACCTTATAGTAGCGCAACTTATACTAATATATTATAAGCTCCTTTTAAGACTTATAGTACTATTATAAGTAAGTTATTCATTATATATATAAAGATACTATCTTTCTCTTAGTTTTACTATAACTATATATAATTAATATATAAATACTATTAATATTAGTAATTAGTATAAAGCTAATAGCTACTGTAAGCGTTATATATACTATAGTAGCTACTAAGTATTAAATTTTAACTTTAACATACCTATTAATATTATTAACGCTTATTTAGCCTTCTATAAAGCTTAATATAATACTTATATATATTATAGTAGTAGTAAATAACATATTTAGACGTAAAAGTATTTTTAATAATACTTCTATAAAGAGATAATAACTATATATAGAGAAGTAGTAATCTTAAGCTATAAGTCTATAACTATAAAAAAAGCCTTCTACCTAGCTAAATTATAGCTTATTAATATTACTAGAGAGGAGGTAGTATATATAGTATTCTTTAGTATATAAGCGTAAAATATTTAATAAGAGGGATATTAATACTTCGTTTAGTAACTATAAAATAACCTCTAGGTATAAGCAGTATAATATAGCACTTTATAAGTTAGAGTGCTAGGATACCTAGTATACTAGAGAGGGGGCTAAGTATAAGTAGCTTAGGTTAAGAAGGATCTACAGCTAAATATAACACTTCGATTAGACGCCTCTATAGCTATTTCTCACGCTATAAGTGTCTTTTGCTGATGTACTGTGGAGTCTGAGAGCCTCTGAGGGCCTCTGCTGACTGGCTGTACCTGATGGGATCTAAAAGGTCCATGTCTCAGGCGTCAAGGAGATGGACACTTGACTTCAGCTCACACACTGGACGCTTGATGGATCGTGTATTTTTCTTCTTTTTTTGCGAACCCTGCTTGTGGTGTTGTTCGTGCTGCTTCACATCGCAGATGTTTTTAATATGGATACGGAGGAAGGTGTTCGTCCACCAGTGCGAGGAAATGACGGAACAGGGCGATAAATGTTTTAGTGCATGCAGGACGTGCAATATGTGGCGGGGAAGATGCATCTGTTCCCCACTCGGCCTAGGAATTGTGCCTCACGGGTCCCGGTGTCTCTCCGGCGGAGGAGGAGGCGGCGGTGGTGAAGATGATGTGCTGCGTGCAGTGACATTTCAGTGGTTGCCCGTCTGTGGTGGATACCTACCTACGCACTGAGGCCAAGCGAGGCGAGGCGGGCGGGCGAGGCAATGGACTCGTAAGGTAGGCAGGCAGGCATGGGGAAGACGACGACGATAATGGCTCTGCCCCCCGGGCTGTCGATGTCGATGTCGATGTCGATATCGATATCGATGCTGGGGATGGTAGCGTATTGATGCTGACGTTCACGATGCTGACGGCCCAGTCCAATTGAGCTTGCTGCGTACCCCTACGATGCTCCCTCACTATTCAGCTGCTGCAGCTTCCTTCCCGCTCTACGGTCCAACCTGCCCTTGCCTTCTTGTTTTGTTTTCTTCTCGTTGAAATTTCTTCTTCAATTTTCGTCAACCTTCGTTCACGACCAAAACAGAAAGCACAGTCCCCCTCGTCCCTTCCACTTTACCAGCCTGGCCCTTGCAGAGCAAGAGCACGTCGCGAGCGCAGGTGCCTTCCACCCCGGCTGCCTGCCCGTTCCTGCTCTCTTTTCGGCCCCATCGCACAAGGGCTGCGGGTCCCTCTGACTTCATCTCCGCCAATTGAGCAGCGTACCATCCTCCAACCCAATTTCCCGCGTGCTGCATCCCCATCCGCTAAGCTATCCTCAATCCAATCTGTACCGCAGTACTAATAAGGTATTCTCCATGGATAGGGAGGGATAGCTAGGAATAGAGAAAAGAAGCATCTGCTATTGTCCCCTGATTGACAAACCTCCCTCCCTCTTCCTCTCTCTCTTTCCCACTCTCTTCTCGGATTGACTTTGCTCGTACTTTGTACCTGTACCTGTCCCTATACCTGCACCTGCTGCTGTTGGCAGTTGCACCACTTGCACTTGCACTTGCACTTTGCACCTGCAGTTCCACAGACACACAAAGCGCCCTCACGGCCAGGCCTGCACCAGCACCAGCACCTGCACCAGCACCAGCAGCGCCTTCCCTTATTGTCCCCGCTGTTTCCTTCACCTTTGCTGCTCCACGTCCTTCCCTCCCGCATTTCACTGTTACCAATCCATTTACTCCCTTCCCGACTTGGAGTCGTCCTGCACACTGCACATTACCTTCTGCACACTGCAACCAACCTCCAGCCTCTGGCCTGCGACCTGCTTGTCCACCAGCAACCTGTGTGGCCAGCACCTTCCTTCTCTGTTGTCTGCTTCACCTCACCTTGCCTGCCTTGGCTTTGCCCTACCGACTTCGAACAAACCCACGAACCACAATCTCTCACCCGACAACCGCCAACTTTTTGCTCTTTGCTACCAAGAGCAATCGACCAGCCTTGTATCGCCTCGGCTGCTTCACCAAAACCTCAACCTCAATTGCTACTCTCCCTCTCTTACCACTCGCCAACATCGCCCACCATGCCCCTGTGCGGAGGATCTAAGACGGTCCAGCGCAAGCTGGTTCTCCTGTGAGACCTGCTTCCCCTTCCACCCTTGCTGCAGTCGCTTGGCTGCGACTTGTCGATTTTGGCTGACTGACCTGATACCTGCAGTGGTGACGGTGCCTGTGGCAAGACGTCGCTGTTGAACGTCTTTACTCGAGGGTACGTCCGACATCACCTACCTATTCTTCCCATTCTCTTTGCTGGGGTCTCCATTCCGAGGCTGCGATCCAATTTACTGACTTGCCCCAGCTACTTCCCGACTGTCTACGAGCCCACCGTCTTCGAGAACTATGTCCACGGTATGCGACAAACCCCTCTTCCCTCTCTCCGCTCGATCGATTTCACTTGCGCTTCATTGCCGCCCAATGCCTCGACGTTTCTCTCCCGTCCGAATCGCTTGCTGACCCAGCTTCCGCAGACATCTTCGTCGACAACGTCCACATCGAGCTGTCCCTCTGGGATACTGCCGGTCAGGAGGAGTTCGACCGTCTCCGCAGTCTGTCTTACGGTAGGATTCCCCGGGAACGAGGACACCGGGCTTTTCGCTAATTGGGGTGCGCAGATGACACCGACCTGATCATGCTATGCTACAGCGTCGACAGCAAGGACTCCCTCGAGAACGTTGAGAGCAAGTGGGTTGGCGAGATCGCCGACAACTGCCCTGGCGTCAAGCTCGTTCTCGTCGCCCTCAAGTGCGACCTGCGCGAGTCCGATAACGAGGAGGAGGACGGTGCCACGGAGGGCCAGCAGCGCGAAAAGCGCCCCATGATCAACTACGAGCAGGGATTGGAGGTTGCTCGCCGCATCAACGCCCTTCGCTACCTCGAGTGCTCCGCCATGCGCAACCGCGGCGTCAACGAGGCCTTCACCGAGGCTGCTCGCGTCGCCCTCAGCGTCAAGAAGGACCGCGAGGAGTCCAAGTGCGCCGTCATGTAAGCGTACTTGGCGCCACCGCGATCCCGTTTTCTTTTCGGCCCTCGACATTCTCCTTTCGACCTTCTACTCTCACGACACGATCGATCGGGCGGATATTGTTTTGGACGGGAGGAATACCAATTTCCACTATTGCACATGGACGGCGTCGGCGTTAGCACGGATTGGACCTCATTGCCCTTACCCCATTACGTCTTTTTTTTTTTTTACAGCCCGTCCAGCTCCTTGGACAGATGCTTCTTTGCTTCTTCGTCGGCTACTATACGGACTTGTGGCTCGGCATGACGTTCTTGATACCTCTTGGGCATCGGCTATCCTTTTAGCACACTGTAAATACCCTTTTCACTTCGCAATGCACATAAGGTCTGGGGGATTCGGGTTTTCTTTCTTGTCTCGTCGTCTTAATCACGTATACAGCAGGGCCGCTCGGCCAAGAGGCATGGCGTGCTAGGCAGAAGGTTGCACATGCACACGACGATCTGGATACGGAGTTCCTCGGAAGAGGTGCTGTTCGTGGCCAGCTCGTCTTGAGTCTTTTTCTTTAGCCTGTACCAGCAAAAAGTTCTCAGCCTAGATGATGTTTAATGAACCACCATCAAATAAAACCTGAAGCCATCACATGCGCGCACTGAGTGACGGGGCCCGGACAGCTGGATGGAGTTTCTATCATCGACAGGACCTCCGAGCAGAAGGACTACAAAGTCACCGGGGATTCCCAATCTGTGAGTGCTAGCCCAGTCAGAGTTCGGGGAGGTGAGATGGATGTGAGTGGCGTCTGCTGGGTGTCAAGGCTGAAGAAAGGGCAATCAACGTCTGGGAATATCCCCGATGCGCGCTTACTCCCGCAGCTCAGCAGAGGCACCCGTCGCAATCGGACTGGAGAATGGGGGGAATCAGGGTCCAGTCAGCGGTTTACTTTTGTTGGTCTGCAAAACCTGACACCAATCAGGCGGGTTTTCCATAGTTCCGCAGTTGCGCCTCCCGTCCGAGGATCAGGATTCCTAGCAGGTACTGGAGAGAACATTCCAATGCGTCGGGACTAGATCATGAGCGAGCCAATGAGGTGCGGTTGCCGAGGGTAGACGTATGCCGTCTCTGAACGGCTGCCGAGTAACCTTCATGCAGTCTGACTTCACATTGAACAACACAGTGAGAATGGTAGTCTAGAAAATGCAGTGTTGTGGCCAGCTTTTTTTGTATTGCCTGGGTAATTTTACAATATCTGCCCCAAACGCCTGAACACAACGATCGCTCATATAATGCACATATGCTTGATACTAATACATCCCGTGAAGGTATTTTACGTTCATTCCGATCTCGTTTCCGTTGCCATGACGTGTATCATGAGCTCATAATGACAAAATAAAATGTGAAGCAGCTGATACTTCTGTACACAGCTTACAAGTCGCCGTGGCCTGTGATGAATGGTTAACACGTGTGCGTGAAAGAATTATCGGTGTCAACTTACGACCGAGAGCCTTGCCGCGCTTGGAAACCTCGCGGGCGTGGTACTGCTTGATCTTGGCCCTTCTAGCCTCCTCCTTGGCCTCCTCCTCGAGCCTGCGGACATCGGCCCTGGCAGCGGCAACACTCTCCCTTGCAGCTTGGAGCGCGCGGTCGGCCTCCTTCTCGGCTGCCTCGGCGCCCATCACCCGCTCGCGCGCAGTGACGATGCTGGGATCCATCTCGACGTTGTGCCCACCGAACTTGTGGAGCAGCCCGCGGCGGCCGGAGGACGCATCCGTAGAGCGCCGGAAGAGGCCGCCGCCGCCGCCGTTACTGTGATGGCCGTCCGGGCTGGTGTGGTACGTCGTTGAGGACAAGGAGGAGCGGGAGGTGGCGGTGGTAGCGGAGGTGCGAGTTGTAGGTGTGGGAGAGGGGTCGCGGCGGGAGAAGAGGCCGTGTTTGCGCTGGGGGTGCTCGGCGACCGGCTGGTGCAGGACGGGCTCCGGGGAGGGTTCTCGGCGGGAACCGAAGAAGCCGCGGCGGGGCTCTTGGGGAGGAGGAGGGGTAGGTTCCCGGACGGGCTCCGGGGTGGGTTCACGGCGGCCACCAAAGAAAGGCATTGTGGATGTGTGTTTGGGTGGTGGTATGGGTTAAAGCTTGGTGAATGCTTGTTTTTGCGTGCTTAATATTGAAAGCTTGGGATGCTGGATAAGACGGATGGGAAGAGTCTCGGCGAAGGGCAGAGGTTATATCGTCCTCTGGTCTCCCCCATCATGTCATACCGCTATCAGGTCTATCAGGTATGACCTATGAATCCTCACATTGGATACGCCCGCTGGCACCAAACAGTTCCAAACCCCTCCCCCGTGCCGAGACCCTGATCCGCGGGTTGTTGGCAGGTAATGCTGCACAATGATGCCAAGGTGGTCATTCAGCTTCCCATCCTGCCCGTCACACCAATGCTTCTTTTCTGGCCAACAGCATCGACGGCGTCGAGGTCTTGTGCTGTGCGACACCAAACCTGTTTGCTGGTGATCGGCGACTGAGATCACCATCCTCGGTGACGTCAGACAAGCAGGGGTCCCGAACAGGTGCGCCGGCCAATCAGAACGGATGACGACGGCGGTTCAACCCCTTTTGGTAGGACCCCTAGATTCTTGGACGGTTCTGAGAGGGCGAGCTCTTTTTTTAGGGATTTAGACATGCAGGGACTCGTTAAGGAATGTGTCGTCTGGAGGGTTAAGGAGAGATTGGGGTTGGTTCGCGATGGTGCTAAGGTGACCGGGGTGATGGGTATGACATCGTGCATGTCTCTGGAGAAGAGGTGATGCTGTGATGGTCGACGGGGGCTGTGCTTGAGATGCAAGGGGTGGTGCGTCTGATGGTGGTTTGTGCCGATATGGTCGTGTTGTGGCATCTGGGGAAACGGTCGTGTGCTTCTACTGTTTGATGAGCTGGCGTTTTGGGCTGGATCCAACGGCCGTGGTGAGAGAGGCTAGGGAGAACCGTTGACGTTGTGGCTTATGTTCTAGCGTTATGTTTGGTCGTGGCTGACGGGGCTCGATTAGCGAGTGATGTCCCTGCGAAGAGCTGGAGGGAGATGACGGTGCTCTCTCCTCAGTAAGTGGTGAGCGCTCGAGTTCCTCATCGGTTCCTCATCGGTTCGACAAGCAACCCGCGTTACATCCGGTGTGGGCTGGAACATGGAGGGCGCAGGATACATCGTGTGAAGCTTAGCAGCTACAGGTCTGTGGGGAATTTGGACTTGAGCAAGGTCAAATGTGGTCGTTCCTTGATCGTTGGCCACGGTGCCCTGAAAATCTCGCCGAAGACCATGTTCTGGGGCTTTCGGCATCTCCCGAAAGGTAATGATAGACCCTGGAGGATCTTGGTAATGTCACCTTTGTGACAGCCGGAGATACAACATACCACCAGCGAATCTCGTGTTAGCTGAGGTCGGCTATGCTTAGTAGGATAGTAGGCTACGCCGATTGCCCAGTGTTTGGAAGGAAGAGAGTGCTGTTAATAATATCGTCTTAGAGCCTTCACGAATTTTGAGTAATTGGATCGATACTTTACAAGCCACGACTTAAGGCTGGTGAGCAGGCCTGTCAGTTGCTGGCGAAGTACATTTCTCTTTCTCTCTTGCACTCTTTGTGACACTTTCTGGCACTAAATTGATGGTGGTGTAGAACAAACTTTCCAGCCTCAATCAGACGCCTTTGTCAAATGGCCGTAAAAGAGGGGACAAGGTCGCATTGATTGGGCCTTTGAAGGCGATGATATGGTAGCTGCATTTTCAGACTTTCCGCAGCCACAAGCATGTTGGAGGCCGACTACAGAAAAAGAAAAGTTAAGAAAGCCGAGTGATTCAAAATCTGGCGATTAAATACAGACCTGAGGGCAAGCAAGTTGGCTGAAGACCTTCTCCTCCGCAGCATCTCGTGGGGCTGTCTCATCGGGTGAGCCTGACTGTCACTATGTCGACCACATCCAACACATGTCAACTTGCCTCTCCCCGAACCATCCTCCTGGAATCAGATGACTCGAAAGGACAACCACGCCAGAGACTGCCCCCGAAGTCTCTTTACTTGTGGCATGATATCGACAGCAGAGACTGCTGCTTGACTATCAGACAGTCGCAGATCCAAGCGACCCAAGAGACAACTACAAACACGAGCCAGTATGATGTCTTATGTAGCTTCAACATGTATCAGAGTATCTCTCACGCAATATGCGTTCCTGGTAAGACTGCCCCGAGTATGGCTCTTCTATGCCTAGCTGAGAACAAATAAGGCTACCCACCGATCTGGGCCCCTAGTGGTAACTCCCAGCAAATGCCCATATCAGGGCACGACGATGTCGGCCGGAGCCTGGAGAGGATACACTCGCCCAATATATGGGCGGAAAGGCGGGACCTAGCGACCAAAGAGGGAGATAATTGCAAAGAAACTTGCGGCAGAATCATCTGGCATGCACGGAAGTATCCTTTCGAAGCGTTGTTTCGCGCTGCTGACGCTTTGATCCCTCCCACCTTCACGTTCGACGATATCGATGTCGTGATCACAAGACACAGTCTGAGAAACATGTTTGATTTCATCGGCAATAATAATCGTGAGGGATTTCGCTTGAACCTGCACCTTGTAGGGATCAAGACACTCATCGTTGAGCCTGCTGAGGAAGAGCACACTCTGGATCGAGGACTAGGAGATTTGAGCACAGCGTGCGAACGAGGTTTTACCACAAAGCTACCCCATCTTGAAGAAACCGAGGGTTGCTATCGAATTGTTCGATATAGGATCGGAGAATTGCAATGCGCAGTTCAATGCGAGGTTGACGCTTGCTATGAAGAACCGTCTCCTGTCGGTACAGGTGAGAACTTGGGTGAAGAAGGGACTCTTTCTGAGGAAAGCCAACAGTCGGACTCGGCAACCATGCGATCTCTCGGTGTCAGTGTGGCCAATCATGATTCCGCAGAGATCAAAACATCAGTATCTGCGAACAAAGGTGCGAAGATACGCGTCGTCAAAAAGGCGCTGCCACAGCTTTGGTTCGGCCGAATAGCGTGGCTCATCTTTGGACGCATCAAAGGATCTACAGTGTCCTGGCATAGACCTCGACTAATTACACAAGGTGCCGAGGTCATTAACTTGGATATTTGGGCGTTTCAGGAAAGAGTCAACTTGGCTAAGCTGGCGGTGGTACTTAGCGAACTTCGGGATCAAGTTCAAAATGACAAACGCTGTGTCACAGTGTGTCCCGCATACTCAACAAGACTGAGCGTCTACCCTCGACAGACGGCGAGGGGAGCTTTACCAGAGGATCTGCTGAGGAGGTTCTGGCCACCCCAAGCCAGTGTGCCGGGTGATGGAACACGCAATGACCAAGACGTAACGAAGGTGTAGTTTACCTGCAAGATTGTGGTCCAATGAACTTTGATCCATCCTTTCCTACTTACCTTGGAACATGGCGTGGTTCCTTGCCCAAATGTACACCTTGAATTGCTTAGCGGTGGGAAACATAGTCCCAATTGTTCTTCATTACGGATCAGCGAGGCACGCCGATCAGATATAACTTTGAGTGTCTATGGAGAGCAACTGAGAGCCTCTATCTGGGTATATGCTCACGTCGTTAACTGTCCGTCTAAAGGCCGTTACTTCCGTCCATGGTATATATTCGTTCTTTCAACTCAGTTTTACGCAGCTCCCTTCTCGAGCTTGCTCTCCTCCGGTTCCTTCCTGGTCCAACCCATCCAGCCAATCGCGATAAAGAACTTGACGGCGCCCGAGATCCACAGTGCTCCTGGCATGCCGGCGCTGCTTCTCTGCAACCATCCGCCGATGATACCTCCAAGCACAAGCAAGACCACAGCCAAGAACCTCCTGTTCCTCTTGGGGTTCTCCTTGAGCGGGGCGAACAGCTTCGGGTCGGAGAGGAGATCGCAGTAGACGCTGGTAAGCACGTTCGTCGGGACTTCGTTGAAACCAAGGATCCTGCTGGTGACAATCTGACCTCCGAACTGGAAAGCGAGGAGAGCGAGGGGGACCATCACCAGAGGGTTCTCAGAAGTCTTGAACTCATGGTTCGACTCAGAACCTTGGACGGAAGCGAGGCCAAAGTCGGCGACAACTCGAGTCTGGGCGAAAGCGGCCGCGAGGAAGATGAGGGACGCCTGAAGAGTGAAGGAGAGCGCGAGCGTGCTTCGGCGCTTGGGGTGGATGTGGCGAGACTTGGAGAAGAAGAAGCAGCCGAGCCAGAATGCGGCGATGGAGCTCAAAGACTTGAGCCAGAGCAGGGGCTCGCCAGCCGGCAGACGAGAGGCGCCGAGAGCCATGAAGATGGTGTTGCCTGTATCTGCGTCAGAGCAAGAGTCTCTTGTGGCCATTGAGGGATGGACTCACCAGTTTGCATACTGACGAACACACCGGCGGCATTGACTGCCACACTGTCGCACAAGCCGGAGACTAAACAGCAGGCAAGGACGGGGATGTCTGTATGGCGAACGTTGACGTCGTCACGGAGCCAGTCGATGACACCTCGCTTCGGCTGGGTTTGGGTTTGCGGCTCATTATCGGTGTCTGACGAGTCCGCGACTCGCAGACCATTCTCTGCGGCCATGTCGATTAGGGGTCGGATTGGTTTCAATAGTTGCTGACGTCCTTCTCTTTCGGTTCACTGGTCAGGTCTGTGGATGTTGGTAGCGATCTCGTGATTAAAGCCAAGGCGTGTTCGAGGTGATGAGCTGATCACTACACGGGGAAGGTAGGGAAACAAACGCGGAGGGGGGTCCGGGAGGATATATGAATGGCGGCGGCTGAAAAAACCTGATCGCATCCCGCGGCCTCGCCTAGGGATTGGCATTGCGTTATCGCGTCTAGGCATGTCGTTTTGCCATTTGACAGGGCAACTTTGACACATTTGGCATGGCTATTACGCCTCGGGTAAGCGTCCGGTCCTAGACAGAATCCACCGCCGCGTAATCGGAAGCGCGCTGGCGGTCGTGAGTCACGTTCTGTTTGGTGAGGTTCGGGGACGATGTGGGCTTTGCACGGATAGATTGCCGAGATTGGTGTTGGCATTTTGCATTAGGGGCAATGGGAAGGCCAACTTTGTTTGCAAGTCGATAAATCTAGTATTGACGTCGAGCTATGTTGTTCGAGTCCTGACTTTCGGAGGGTTGCTCTCTGGCGTCGCTGATTGCGATTTCAGTACCCTCAACAAGCCATGTGAGCAGAAACAGGAAACAAACCGCCCTTGTGGCTTGACCTTTGACCGAAATCGGCCCAACCAAGGCGTCTGTCGCGGGCTCGCGGCGGCCATGGCCGAAAATCCTGCGTTTTAGCGGCAGCTCAAATCATTTAAGAATGTGGGTCCGGCCGGCGGTGACCCGGCTGCTTGGGCCGTGCTGCGCCGATTACCCGATGATTTACCTGCCTCCTCATGCTGCCTTACTCATCTCATCTCACCTGCATTTTCTCACCTGCCTACCGCTGCGCTTACCACGAACGCCAAACCTCACTTTGAATCCTTCCGGCCACGTCATGTCTCGATGCTCAGATCAAGCGATATTTTGAAGTCACCTGAAACGGACGAGCCTTCTTCAACTTTGATCCGACTACGTACAGCATCTGAGCTCATGTCACCAATCGCGTCTCACTCGAAATTGTTTGCAAGCAAACCAAAGTCCATGCTGCGCTCACCGGTTTTGCTTATGTACACTGCAAGTGCCCGGTTTCCTCGTTCGAGAGATATCTTCTAAGTTCTTGACCGCTTGGGCTCTCTATGATTTTGTGAGGATTATTGCACAATAATATTGTGGCCAAAGCAGGAACAGTCGAGTACTCCTGGGGACAGAGTCCACAGACTGATCGCCACCACCTCAGCCCGCTCGAATTCTCGTCCCCGCTTCAGATTTTGCACCGCTCCGCATTTTGAAGGCTTCAGCCCTCTGATCTTCACGGCCCCCTTCGCAACACGAGCTCTACCCACACCAAGGCACGAGGTTTTCTTCAGTGTTTGCTCATCATTGGGCGCCTTGCTGCATGTTATGTCGAGCACCATTTCCAGCACTCAGAGCTGAGTGAAGGATCCCTCAGCCAACAAGGCTGAGGCGGGTTCGTCCTTGGGCTTGTGCCCGCGTCTCTGCCTTTCATCCCATGATCATCACGCGGACAGCTGTAAATATCCCCGCCAAGAGGTATTTTTGGCCCAACGAACCTCTGCTACTCGAGTCAGTGGCTCGAAAGCGAGCTGAGCCCAGCTGCGTGAGATTTTCCTGCGCCTCCAGCTTTCAGTCAATCACGGCTTTGACCGCTCCATAGCATTGCTTTTCGCCGTCGACTTCACGGATTCAACGTCTGCGGGAGTTTCAAGTGTCCAGCTTGGGCAGGTGTTCCTGGGATCAACCAACTGCGACGAGCAGATCGACTCCTGAATCAGCCCCGTTTTCCTCCACGCTGCATCGCTAGTGCCTGCAATGATACACTTTTCTTTTCTCCGAGGAGCGAAAGGTCACCAATGGCTGCGGTTCAGAAGGCGGTATGGACCTCGCAGACGCGATGCGCTGACCTCGGGATATTTCTGTTTGTCCGTTCAACCTGCCTATGACGCAGGCAAACGCAACGGCGCGCTGAGAGGGCTTCTCGCAAGTTGGCCCCCGGGCCAGAGTGCCGCGTTCAACGGGGCTCTCCACCAACAATCTCGGGGATAGTCTTCACAATTGCCTCGCTGGTCGCTAAGCAAATGTTGGGATAATTTCCTTTCCGATAACCTTGCACTTGTGGCCACTGCCGATGGCACAAAGAGGCAGGCATTTGCAAGAGCGCCGTTCTCTGGTTCGACCGATAGTTGTGGCGCTAGGCCCAGTTGGCTCTGGTGCGGAAACGCTGCCCGTTGCAGATGGAACTCCAAGAACCAAAGAGGAGCAACAGACATTGGCACCCCCTTAAATCACCATGTCGCTTGTCACGCCTCCAAGCATCCATCCCCTGGCCTGTCTTGGCTCTGCCGCTCCGCTTCGCCCGCATTAGATGAAGGCCCTCTCCTATCATTGCTCGAGCTGCCAGCAACTCAATTCGATTGTCTGTGCTTCGGCTGCTTCCAATGCCCATCTGAGCGCGAGCGCCATCCAATGCCACACCCGCCATATGGCCCATATCCACTCTCCTTTTTAACTCAATTTTGGACTGAACCCCCACCATCGCCATTCCTTGACATTCCTGCCATTCCCACGAGAGGACTCTCATTCCGCTCTTTCATTCCTGTCCTAATCATCTGCTCGGCACTTCGTCTGTGACTTTGTGTGTTGTGTTTCTCAGCACTCTTTTGTTGCCGAGAACAGACGCGGGCACTTACACTCTCTACTCCGACTCACTCTCGTCACTCCTTGACCTTTCTACGCCTCGCTACACGCGCGCCGAGTCCTGAGATTTTCCTTCTCGCGATAATACTAGACGTATTGCTTTCGCCGTCGACTGGACCATTACCGAATTCCACGACAGACTTTCCCCATTTACCTGACCCTTCATTGACTCAGGTTTCAAACTTATCTCACTACCTCGGCTTCCTACACGACTGTGGCTTATCAACATGCTGTCGCAATACACTCTCTCAGCGGTGGCGCTGTTGGCGTCGCTCGCCCAGCCAGTCATCGCCCAGGTTTCGACCAAATGCAACCCGATGAACACCACTTGCCCTGCCGACCCGGCCTTTGGTATGGATTACACCTTCAACTTCAACGCCACTCCATCGACCGATGCTTGGGAGACCACCGTCCGTCCCGTCACATACACCGCAGACAACGGCGCCGAGTTCACCATCAGCAAGCAGGGCGACTCTCCCACCATTCGCACAAAGTTTTACTTCTTTTTCGGTCGCACCGAGATCCACATGAGGGCAGCTACGGGCAAGGGTATTGTGAGCTCTATGATGTGGCTTAGCGACACCTTGGACGAGGTCGACTGGGAATTCCTCGGTGTGAAGAACGATGCCTTGAGCAACTTCTTCGGCAAGGGCGTGGAAGACTTCAAGAATGGCGCCACGCATGCCGTTTCTGGTAGCATTCACGACGACTTCCACAACTACACCACTGTTTGGACCAAGGATCAACTCGAATGGTGGGTGGATGGCAGCCAGGTGCGAGTGCTGAAGGCTACGGACGCCAACAACACCGCTGCCTACCCTCAGACCCCTATGCGACTCAGTCTGGGTATCTGGGCCGGTGGCGATCCGCGCATGGCTGCTGGCACCAGAGAGTGGGCTGGAGGCGACACCGACTACGCCGCGGGACCTTACACGATGTATGTCAAGTCAGCGCAGGTTACCGATTACAGCTCTGGCAAGGAGTATTCGTTCGGCGACAAGACCGGCTCGTGGGAGAGCATCAAGATCACCGAGTAAGTCCCGATTCGGCTTCGTATCCCAAAGACAGTCTAGCTAACCCAAACACAGGGGCAACTCTACCGTCAAGGAGGCCCTGCTCGCGGAACCTAGCAAGTCTGTCAGCGAGAAGTTCGATTCTCTCAACCCCACCGCCAAGACTGCCGTCTACGCATCTGGTGTTGGTGTTGGCTGCGCTCTCATTGCCTTTGGTCTGTGGTACTTCATCCGCCAGCGCAAGCGTGGCGCTGCTGAGGCTCGCATGCGTGAGGCCAAGGCTGAGGAGGAGCGTCTCGAGATGGAGCGTTTCCAGAAGAGCGGCATCGACCCTGACTCCTTCAACGGCTCCACGGGCACCGAGTACAATGCCAGAGACTTCAGCAAGAACGGAATGGTGCAAGAGACCTCTTACAGCGTTCCTGCGACCCAGGAGAAGGCTGTTTGGGATGCCGCCCCTGCGGCCGCTGCTGGAGCCGGTGCCGTTGGTGCCGCCGGTGGTATGCGCGCTTACAGTGATTCCCGTACGGGCACGCCTGTCCTGCCTCCGTTGAGAACCCAGAGTCCTAGCGTGCCGCCCTCCGGTCCTCTGCCGATGGCGCCGAGCCGTAGCACTTCCCACGGCGGCTACTCAAGACTCGGCTCTCCCGATCAACACAGCCCCCCGCCTATGAGCCCTCCTCACGGCGGCTACAGCGACAATGCTTTCGGTAACCAGCAAGGTGGCTTCGGAAATAACGGGTATGGAGGCGGAAACCAGGGCTACCAGGGCGGCTTCAGGTGATACCGAATGATTTCCTGACTTGATGAGCGTATTCATTTCTTTCACCGGCCATCCTATGGCTATTTCCCACCATATTCATTTCCTACTTTGCATGAAAATTTGAGCGATTTCCTATTCCCCGCTTCGAGCGAACGACATGAAAGGAGAAAAGGAGACTCCCGTTCTTGATGGACGTGGTGTGCTCTGTACAATACCGGTGCCAAGATATCCTGTCGATTCTGTCCTGCTTTTAGGACTGTTAACGAAATCAATAAACGATGACCTTGTTCAATTTGCGCTCTGTGCGATGCCCTTCTTGTATCTGACTGTACGTGGCGTGAAGAGACATTGCCGGTTTCGGGGAACGTTGCCGGCCGTCAATGCGATTATGCGCAAAGCTATCCGCCAGCTGCTTCGCATCATGACGCAACCCGACAGGCTGTAATGGCAGTGGCGATGCTTCAACCCGAGACCAGACACCAATGCGCCTTTGATGCATTTATTGCAAGACCTCTCGCATGAACATGCAATATGCTTATTTACCCTTTGGGCCAACTTTATTTGCACATTGAACTATTCCTGGTCGGTGGCATCGGAACGAAACGATATGACACGGAACACCGTCCGATCAGGTGGCAAGGCACCCCCTCATGCATCCCACGTGGAGCAAGGTGAACTGGTGCACAGCACCGCACATTCATCGGAGCCATGCGTGGTACATAGTGGTGTAGTTCGTGCCGGTAGCTGGGAGGAGGCATCGAACGCATGGCTCGCCCCGCGGCTTCCAGGCGGTGTCTGAGCACACGCCTATCATGCTTCGGGAAATCGGGTAACAACTCCGAGTGTTCAATCCGTTGGAGACACCATTGCGTTGTCTTGGGATGGGATTTATTGGAGAAGATGGCAGACCTCACGTGCGGGGAGCTGGCCGTTTGATGCCATCAAGCTCTGTATGCCAAGTGATCTGAGCCATATCCCAAAGTCCTTGAATGTATTCGCAGCAGGCTTGCTGACGGCACAAAATGAATTTGAAAGACGCGTTCTTTCAAAATCCAGCGATAGCGGCCGCTAATGATGCCTCGACGGTCAGCGAAGACCGGATCAAGCTGTGCCAAGCCATGCATATCCGCGTGCTCCATGATCAACAAATTGCTGCCTCACAGAGCGCATAGAAGAACCCGGCGCCGATAGATAATTCGTCGAGTCTAATGGTCCGCGGATCTCAAGGTTTATGAGGCAAAGTATGCGGTCCCTTCGGATGTGAATCGCCACGGCCCATCAATCTGATATCATCCACGGGAACGTAAACACGTCCTTCCGCGCCGAGCCTACCGCCAGTCGAGCCTAGCTAACCTTTCCATTGCGATTTATTCGGCCAATGAAACCGAGAATTGACGCAGGCAGCAATGCACATATGCCAACAGCTCAGCCGGGCTAGAATCGAGATCATATGCAGCGGTTTACTGGTATCAAGCTTCCGGTTGTTGACGTTGCTCCGTTCATCAGGGCCATGGTGATTTCTTCTACCATATCCATGTGTTGAAAAGCTGAAGGGTGAAGATCGTGCCACGTGCGGTTTTCACAAAGTTAAGTGAGCAGAATCGAAGAACGATGCCGAAAGGAATGCAGAGTCGCCATGCTACTTTCGATAAGCCGAAACCGCATTACTGCAACTCCTCATCCGGATGCACAGCATGTCGCCAAGACATTGGTTCCATAACTACAATTTCAGAATAGGTAACCAACGAGCTCAGTCCAGTGTGGAAGAGCGGTCTCGCATTCATTTGACTCTGAAGGTTTGAATGGACTTGGGTGAATTGCATGCAATTTCCCCCCTGTTACACCAATCGTTCATCAATTTAGAGTTGAACAGCACACCACCTTTTTGATACCAGGCAACCCTTTCAACTGAGATACTTTGGTTAACCTGCCCACCGTCAATGGACAGCCTCTGCTAACATCATCGAATAACAAGCATACCACTATTCGACGTCAATTTCGCTTTCCGTCCGACATTTCGCATGGGAAGGGCGGTTCCATCGCCAACCCAAGGATCTCCACCGGATCCTGCTTGACAGCTACCAGTTCCACAATCCCTACCTTAATCCCAGAACATGTCGTCTGATTCTGAAGATGCAGGATGAAGGCTGTCGGGGCAGCACCGAGGAAGACGACAGTCTTCGTGAATAGGGACAGCTTCAGGGGAAATGGCCGGCGGATGCTTCGGGAAAGCTGACATCCTTGAGCTCTGGTAGGCTCAGCAACCTTCAGGCATGTCGTCGACCACTGTCAGACAGTCACGGGAGTGGGCGAAATCCAGGTCAATCTTCTTCGGCAGACGAATGCATCGTGAGAAGAGCTTGAGGTCGATGGGATCCTGACCTATAAAGATCCAGGTCTTTACCCTCCTATCCCACTCCTTTTGCTTCTCATCATCACACAGCCTCGCAAGCAATCCTTTCAACCAGCTAATTATACCCCAATACCCACCTCTGTCTCCGGCAGTAATTCGTGCTTCTTACAATCGTCAAGATGCTCTACTCTACTTTATTCGTCGCTGCACTCGCGGCCATCTCTTCGGTCGCCGCCCTGCCGGCTGACGCCGCCGACGCTCGTGACCGCGACCGCGATCGTGACGACATTTTCCGTCGTGGCGAGTGCCGCGACGAGCGTGATGAGCTCTACTGCGGTAGAGGCATCAGCGAGTACTCCCGCTATGGTACATAACCCTCATCACAAAGGGTCACAGCCTGTGCTAACAACATCTTCTAGACGAGGGCAGCCGCTACTGCCGCAGAGACCGAGTCAACAGGATCTTCTGCGCCTATCGCGAGCAGCGCGAGTTCGCTCGCCAGATCGCCGAGGAGTGGCGTCGCATTGAGGAGTGCGAGCTCGACGAGTACTGGGACATCGGCAGACGCCGCTGCGAGTGCTACCGCAGACGCGATGTGAGTGAAGCATGAAGCCTACACATAAGCGAAGATGTTACTTACAAACTTCAAACAGAGGGATGGAGACAGAGACAGAGAGTGCAGACGCCGCCGCGGTGAGAGCGATCGCGACCGTGATGGAGACCGCGACCGCGACCGTGGTGACCGTGATGGCGACCGTGACCGTGACGGAGATCGCGACCGCGACCGTGGCCGTGAGCGCGATGCTCCTAACTGCAAGGGCCGTGACATTGCTTTCTGTGCCGCCAGTGAAGCGCAGATCGTTACCTTTGGTGAGTTTGATGACGGAGATTCTTACGGAACATATCTAACTCTTGAGCAGAGCGCACGAACATTCTCTGCACCCGTGGCAATGGCAACTACGTCTTCTGTGCCAGCCCTGAGCCCGGCCGCGCCCGCGAGAAGGCCAGGGATCACTTCCGCGACAACAGGAAGGCTGCGGTTGAGCCTGTCAAGGCACCTGCTGCCCAGGCTCCCGCTAAGGCTGCATGAGTAGCGATATTTGTTGCCGCTATTAATTTCGAGATTGAGTGGCAGCAACATCGACATGGCACACGGAATCAATAGTACAAGGGGTAATGGATAGTTGGAAAGTTTTGCCATTGTGTGATTTAACTTGAAGTGGAGGACTGGGGAAGATTGATACATGTAGTGAACCAACGTAATTTGCGACTTTAAATATCACTCTCTTATATCTAATATGTACTGTTGAGACAATGAACCTGAGCGTGAAATTTTGAAAAAACTTGAGATTGCTCTTGAGCATGGCTGGGTTCGATATTTTCAGTTGCCGCATTCGCAAGGAAGCAAGAAGTTCGAAAATTCATCACGCCTGGCATTCCATAAAAACAAGAAATACAACCAAACTTCTTGGCCTAAAATCTACAGTATTTGATTAGGCTCAGGGAAACAACAAATGACACTTTGAGAAGAACGAGAGCCCACGGAGTATTCAATTCTCCCATTTAGGGCGGAGCTGCCTGAAGTCAGTTAAGTGTGCGGCACTCTAGTATTCTTCGAACCTGAAAAAAAATGCTAAGTAATCGCGAGAAGCTCGGGGGTGAAGATTATTCTTGGCTACATTATACTCCAGCCGCTCATGCTTAATTAGAAGTCGGTTGACATGAGAGGCAGCTTCAACTTGCACAAGACTTACACGCGAAAACTCGTCTCGGCCTTCCTTCCCAGTAATCGGCTCGAGCTTCCCTCCCAGTTTTGCGTGGACAAGGGGCTATGCGGGGTAAGAATAACCGACACCTCAGGCGCGAGAACTTCACACAAACACGGCAAAAACATGAACGCAAATACGGCAGGAGACAGGCGAATACTTTCTTTTCTCAATTGTGGTCACTGCGAGAAGAGTCACAATATATCTCCGCTTGGGGTTGGAACCGACGTTGCCCACACAGTCAAGCCCCCGGCATGTCCAAGCCATTGCCCCGGAGCAGTGGTGGCTGCTGGACGTGCCGCATCCGCCACAGAAAGTGTGATGAGTCTTTACCAGAATGTAAAGAATGCACTGATCGGCATATCACATGTCATGGGTACGGGCCTGAGCCAGAATGGGCAAAAGATCCAGCTAGTCTTCGGGAAGAATTACAGCGCATCAAGCATGCTGTGAAACAGAACTTCCGTCAAACCCGAAAGTTGCAGGCTGCACGTAGCCCACAGAGGGCTTCAACATCGTCTCTCACCGGGCTCGATGATCCCAGCTCATCCTCTTCTTCAAAAGACTCTGAGTTTAGAGAAGCAGAACTTCTCATGCATTATCTCGATTACATATTTCCGATCCAGTATGCGTATTATGTCGACAAGCCAGCAACGGGAGGAAGAGGGTGGCTCTTTTGGCTCCTGTCAAAACAAGGGCCCTTGAGGCAAGCTGCTTTTACACTATCTGCGCTCCACCAGCACAGCACCTCAGAGAGCAAGACAGAAGAAATGGAGTCGGAGCTTATCCGCTACCATACGAACGCCATGCAGGAACTCCGTCAAGTACTGATTCATGGAGAAACGGATGGCTTCGCAAGTCATCCTGAGCAAAGAGTTGAGTTCCTCACTTGCGGAACCTTTCTCATCAGCTTCGAAGTACTCACATCCATGAACCCATTCTATCACGTTTTCGATTGCTGACCAATGCAGATTTTTCAAGGAGGAACATCTAAGTGGGAGCCACACCTTAATGCCCTAGTATCAGTGGCTAGTCAAATTCGTCCGAACGACGATGGCTCCCTCTCTTTTCAGTCCCCCAAACTCGAACCAGGCTTGCAGAGAATGGTCGATGCTGCCATGAGGTTCCACATGGCACAGCTGTTGTGGTTCGAGATGGTGGCTTGTGTCGCAACTGGCAAAGCTCCCAAGCTGCCATATCAAACCTGGCTGGCACTAGATGACCTAGATATGTCGTGTGTCATGGGTTGTCAAAATTGGGCTATGCTTGCTCTTGGCGACGTTGCACTATTAGAAACTCAGCTAGCGGAAATGAGCTCTAGTCTGGCGAGGAGGCGATCATATGATCTGAGGCAGAGACTGCGTGCAGGGATAGATGGTTTACGAAACACAAACGATGAGGTTCGCAAGCCCCTGAGGATACCACTGGAAAGCACTGACAAGTCCCAGGCTTCGGCGCCGATGATATGTCAAGCAGTAACCCGTGTCTATGCAACAGCTACCCTTTCACAACTGCGGGCCTTCACGGCAATTGATTTTGAATATCATGAAGAGGTGCACGAGGCCGTGGCGGAGGTAATCAGTGCGTTAGAGGAGATGCCAAAGGGGGCGTCTCTCAGAGGCTTGACCTGGCCAATGTGCGTCGCTGGTGCAATAGCTCGACAAGATCAACAAGACTTCTTCGAGAGGATACTTACAGCTAATCTCGAAACGTCGGGCACGAGCTTCACGAATTTTGGAACGGTGCTTCTGATTCTAAGAGAAAGCTGGGAACACCGAGACGACTTTCGTAACGACAGGAATGCGACTAGAAGTGCGATGAGAAGGTTGGGGATCAGTGCACTTTTGGTTTGAAACGGAGCTATCCTTGTTTGTTACTTTTACAATTCGTATTTGGTGGTATAGACGCACTAGATATCAGCTCAAGATTTCCATGTCCAGGCTTCGGCAAGAAGACTAGGTGTCCACCGGCACCGGACATTAGATTTACGCCCAATTTCATCAGATGAAGAAGGTAATTGAAGTTCATTGTCTCAGTCGACCCAGCTATGTCGTGCCACACATTCATTCTTGATACTCAGCCCGTTAAGCCCGCCCTCATTCCCAATCACACATGCTTCACAACGCCATTCCAATCCTTCAGCCTTTCACCTTGCCAATTTCCCGCGAAACAAACTTTTCCATACGCAAGTCCCGTTCCTTCATTCGTCAATGATTTGAACCTTCAATGCCAATGCACTGGGATCCGAAGCAGTCTTGAAGGCCTTTTCTCCCTCCTCAAGAGTATAGCGGTGCGTGACTAGGGGCTTCAAGTCAATGATACCCTCAGATACAAGACCGATGGCTCTTGGGTAGATATCGCGGTAACGGAACTGAAAACGCAAGTCGATCTCCTTTCCAGCCATGTACATAAAGGGGATCGTGGCGAAGTCCTTCCCACAACCGATGACGAAGACCATGCCACCAAAACGGCACGCCTGAAATGTCAGTGTATATGAAAGCCAAAAGATATGACAAAACTCACATAAATGCCGGTGATTACGCTGGATTCCACACCTGTGCACTCCAACACCAACTTCGCCTCTTGACCAAGTGCAGCCTTCACATCTTCAGCTGCGGCTTGTGGATCCTTTCCTGGAGCAACAAGCACAGTCCGCACTCTCGGGATAGCCTTCTTAGCAATTTGTAGTCTGCTTTCATTGATATCTGTGATGACGATGGGGTTGGCACCAGCTGCGCTGGCAGCCATCAGGGTGACAATGCCAATGGGTCCAGCACCGCAGATGACGACGGGGTCTCCCAAACGGACACCAGACCGTTCAATGCCCGTCAAAGCCACAGAAAGAGGCTCGAGGAGAGAGCCCTCTTCGTAAGAAATTGTCTCAGGGATCTTGTGCAGCCAGTCTTCCGGGTGCACATGATACCGCGTCAGAGTTCCGTGATACGGCGGTGTTGAGTAGAAGACAACGTCAGGACAAGCGTTGTATCTTCCGGTCCGGCAGAAGAAGCAAGATGCCTTCATGCATGGAATACCGCATTCCAAGGCTACTCTGTCACCGACCTTGAACTTGGTAGTGTTGGGACCAACTGCAACAACAACACCCGCACTTTCGTGTCCAAGGCCATTCTCACCAGTGACCACCATTTCACCAATGTGACCTGCCTTCCAGAAATGGACATCAGAGCCACAGATACCAGTTGCGCGCACATGTACTAGACATTCTCCATCGCCCGGGGTGGGAATATCGATCTTCTTCAGGTAAAGTTCATGGCTGGGATTGGTGTAGACAGCAAAGTTCTCGGGTTTCCGGCGAAGAATGTCCGCGCCAGATGCGTCGCTTGCCATTTTGTACTGGTAAATATGAAGTTGAAGAAGGACTGTGGTTAGGGGAGGATTAACTTCTCCCAGAAAATAGGCGACAAGAATAACGGCAAGGCAAAGACAAGATCAGAAACCTGTAGGCTGTAGCTGGGCACCATGTGTTTTATCAAGACCTTGCCTTCGGAGGAGGGGCCGCCTTTCTTGGGTCACTCACGCGTATTCTCGTGACAGAAACCCGGAGATCTTTACCCCTCATGCCCCCCTCCGAACAGCAACACATTCAACCTCAACAGTGTGGCTCTGACAATATGCGTGCCAGTGACGCCACGGGCTCGGTGAAATCGCCGTTACCCCACAGTCGGCGCACTGGTGCTCGGCGGTTTCTCCGTGACGTACCACCTCGGTGGTTTCCCCGCCTGATGGCAGACTCCGCGCGGCGAAGGCTTGCCCCGGGATAAATCTTACATCGACTTGCATGGCAAGATCTTTCAAGGAATACACAAGCCAAGAACGACATTTGAGAAGCTTAATCCGCGGCATAAATCATTGAACTCTCTGAAGCGATCATTTTTCTTCCTTGGAGGTCCTCCAGCTCGTTCCAAACAACTTCAATTTTGAAACACCTAATCATGTCTCTCAAAGGGAAGGTTGCCATTGTGACGGGCGCAGCTCGAGGAATCGGTGCGGGCATCGTGCGGGCCCTTGCCAAAGAAGGTGCAAGTGTATGTATATCCCCTGTTCAATTGGTAGCAAATTCATCTCGGTGAACTCTGGAGTACGCACAGTGCCCCGCTGGACCATCGATTCTCCTAAACCGAAAAAGCTATCCCGTTTGCTGATTTTTCCGTTTGTGCAGGTCGCCTTCAATTATGTCTCTCCGTCATCTGAGTCAGCTGCTGTCACTCTGGTCGAGGAAGTGAAGAGTTTAGGCTCCCGCGCAGTATGCGTGAGGGTTGACATGGCTTCTTTGGATGCACCGAAAGACCTGCTTGATGCCACTTTGGAAGAATTCCATACGGATAAGATCGACATCTTGATCAACAACGCGGGTCTGGGTGGAAATGCACCTCTTGAAGAAGTCACTGTTGAGGACTATGACCGTCTGATGACCGTCAACGTCAGGGCTGTCATTTTCATGACACAAGCTGTTTTGCCACACATAAACCGCGGAGGACGCATTGTCAATCTTTCGTCGATTTCCTCCAGGGGAGGCTACAGCACACAGTCAGTGTATGCTGCGTCGAAGGCGGCCGTTGAAGGATTGACTCGGGTCTGGGCTACAGAGCTAGGCCACAAATATGGAGTTACTGTCAACTGTGTGAACCCGGGTCCTGTTGATACAGATATGTACCGCGCAGCAGGACCTGTTCATCTCGCTCGAATGGAAGAGCAGAACAAGAAAGTTCCAGCAGAGCCTCGCTGCGGCACCGAACAGGATATCGCGGACATAGTTGTTTTCTTGTGCGAGGAGAGATCAAGATGGGTCACTGGTGACACTGTTTGCGCGAATGGGGGCATGTTGTATTTGTAACTAGCTAGCAATATGCGGGTTTCGCTTGAATGGTGAAAACCAAAATGCAAAACGAACATGTTCAGCTGACGACCACGAAGAAGCAGTCATAGGGGAGAAGCGAACTCTGCGTGCCTTTCTTTCGCCTCTGGTTATACTTGAGCGCTAGGGTTGATACGCGGGCTAATCATAGACCAATGGCTGTGACCGGCCATGGTAGTCACGTACTTTGACGCCGTCGAACTCCACTAGAAAAGCTTCTCTCACTCGCTGCAAAGACCTGAGGATTACCCCTCATCAGCCACAGCGTACCCTTTTCCCTGGACATCTTGAGATCGCTCAGAGCTTTTCTTCCTTAAAGACAGAGATTTACTTGCATACCGGATTTTCATCGGAAAATTGAGCAATTCGTTTTGCTGATAATGGATCCCGCTGGACCTCAGACCCCAGCCAGTCTCATACAAGCCTCACCAGGCCCTTCTGATAACAGGTTTCGGGAAGGGCATCACAAAGCATGCGATGTGTGTAAACGGCGCAAAGTCCGGTGTTCCGGTACTAACCCTTGTCAACAATGCTGCCGCAGCAAGACGGTATGCAGCTACTCTTCCAATCACGGCAAGATAGCTGCCCTGGAAAGGTGGGTGTTGAAGCATGCTCTGCTACGCTGGCTCACCGGAGTACTCCGATTCTTTGTGTTTATGGACGCTTTTGTGTTCGAGCTTACAGTTCATCCTGAACAGGCGACTGCGGCAATCAGAAAGGCGTGTGAAGAGTCTTGAAACTGCTTGGAGTCAATTTCTCCCCCAGGTTGACCTTTCTCATGCGATCGAAGCCTCATCGAACGATGATAATCGTCGCACAACATCGGAGTTATCAGCATCAGAGTTATCGACAATACCTACTGGCAATGGTGCTACTGGAATTGGTACCGACTACGCCTCAAGGAACATGTCCAGCGATGTTCGCGATAGTCGGTATATTCGCGATGATCGATCCCACTCGCCGCCCGACCTTGAGTTTGACACTATTGAGGCTCTAGAATGGGATGAGACTATAGAACAGAACATTCTTACTGATGGAATTGGTTCTTTATCTCTTCAGACTAAAGCTTCCGGATACATGGGCCCACAGTCAGGGAACGCTCTACTACGTCATCTCCATTCTGTTGTTCACTTCTTGTCGGAGGGCGAAGCTGACCTTGATTTCTCTTCTTTTCCCGTCGACCCCGAGACTTCCCAAGAAACTCAAGCTCTCATACATTCCAACGGATTCAGAAATGAGTGTCTGGACTGGTACTTTCAACACTTCCATAAAGCCTACCCGCTGCTGCATGAAGGGTTTTTTCGAGCTCAGTTTATGGGTAAGTTTTCAATCGTGTGAGAATAGGCTCTACGCTTACCAGTGTCTTTTTTTGGTAGGTGCTATACCAAAACCCAAAGATGGGTCGTGGGCGGTCCTCTGTAACATGGTCCTTGCCGTCGGGGCTTTCGCAGGCCCTCAGAGCTCCAACAGGGCTGACCGCCTTTTCTTTCACCACGCCCAGTCGGCGTTGTCCATGGACCTGCTACAGCGCGGATCGATACACCTTGTTCAGGCCTTTCTATTGATGGCGAACTATCTACAAAAGCGGAACAAGCCCAACAGTGGCTTCACATTTCTTGGAGTTGCGATGAACATGGCTCTGGGCCTCGGACTGCATCGCGAGTTCTCAGACGTATCGATTACACCCTTCACAATGGAAATACGACGTCGAGTATGGTGGACTCTGTTCATCTTCGATTCTGGGGCACGCTTGACTTTCGGAAGATCCTCTATCCTGCTGGCTGGAGGAAATGTCAAATTACCAGTGAATCTGGACGACTCTGATCTTGCAGTTGATAACGAGGCTCTCGGAGAACCCCGAGATTATCCAACCGTGACATCCTCTCTCATATGGCAGTGCAAATTGGCCAATATCAGCAATGAGGTTAATGCCAGGTTATTGGAAAGAAGATTGCCGCAGCGAGCCGAGATGTTAGCCCTGGACAATCGAGTCCTCCAATGGCAAGAATCCCTACCACCGTTCTTCAAACAGTCGCCTGCCCCTGATCACGCATGGTTCGATGTGCCACGCATGATTCTTCTCTGGCGTGCACAGCACCTGCGAATCGTTTTGACTCGGCCATTTCTTCTCGATGCTCTTCAGAGACGCCAACCCCTTAATACAAACGACGCGAATGACATTGTCGTACGCTGTATTACAGCGGCTCAAGACTGCACGCAGTCTATCATTAGCTTTTTTCTCACTCGTTCTAGCTGTCCAGGGGCTTTGGCATGGTACGCAACATACTGGCTCGTCACAGCCGTCTTCGTCAGCGTAACGTGCCTGATATATGATCTCCACCATCCGTCTGCCGTAGTCTGGAGGGGACAAATTGAGAATTCACAGAAAACACTACAAACCATGGCAGTTTTTGAGCCAATCGCAGGCCGCGCAGCTCTAATACTCTCGAGAATTATGGGTAAGTACCTGATGATGCGATCCGATTCGCTTGGAAGCCGTTGATGACACAGTTGGCAGATCTCGTTCCTTGCAGTCCAAATTCTGTGGCTGACTTGGCTGCCAATGATGCCGTGAGAATGGGTATTACCGATATATGGAGTGAATCTTGGCTGCAAGTGGACTACCAGGCCATGAGTGATCTGGTGCAGACGGTCGATGGCAACGACGTTGAATTGTAATGATATTATTTGTTCTTGCTATATACACTTCGTGCAAGGAAAACGTTATCCCATCTAACCACTTGCATTGGCATGATAGTCCGCGTTGACATGAAAGACCCTAGATTTCGCTCCATTCGTTCACCTTCTCTATGCTGCGATAGAATTCTTGCCAAGACCTGTCAATTGTTCTCAGATGAACGACGTCGACGTCCTGGATCCTTCGAGATACGCTTTACGTTTCCATTTTCCTTGTCCGAAATGACTGTCCACGGTGATCAACGAACTGCGAGTGTTTGGTGACATTCTCGAGCATGGTGTGGTACTACGAGTGGTATGATGACACCTCAATAGGCAGCTAGCTCTGAGTGAGGTTGGCCACTGAAAACCATCCCGGCTAGATGCTCTAGCAAAAATGACGCTCAATTGCATTGACATTGCAACATCAAACCAACTTTGTTTGGCTTCGAAGACCGAGCGTGCGAAGAAAACGGCAGTTTTCGGTGCTTTCTAGAGTTTTTGGAATCCTGATCCAAGATCAAGGTTTGGAACAGAAAAGGCAATTTCGTCTAGACTTTGGAAAGCGAAGACCAATCGTGTGATAATGCCCAGGAAGGCGCAGTGTGGATTATAACCTTCCGAGCTGCATCTGACGTGTTGATTTCTTGGAACCTCCACCCGAACCGCAAACGCCTACCTAGAATCACCTGGTAAGAAAGAAGTAGCTTACTGGCGGGGATTGAACGACAGGTTCATGATAGACGGCAATAAAAAGCCAGCTGCGTGAAACAATGGTCCAATGGCGGTTCCTGTTTTCCGGTTTCCTATCGTCCGATGTCGTTTATTACATAGCAAGTTGCATCTCTCTTATGCATAAGCCTCACTTTTCCTTCAAAACGAATTAGTCTAGCCTCGTAGTCAAATTTAAGCGTAAATTCTATGCAGTTGCTGCGAAATCGATGTTAAATGTCGGTGTTCAACTACGGTATTTTGTTTTAGTCTGGCTGAGTCGACGTAGGGTACCCATGGCATCATGAAACCGGGCTACTGGGGTTGGTGTGCGGAGATGCGCTTAATATTTGGGGTAATGGTGATTGCCTCACTGAAGTTTCCCAGTGGATGGGCCTAGGCTCCGATTGGGTCACGAATGAGATGAATGAGAGACGAAAACGAAGGTTTAAGGAAGATGGTGTTCGCCAGCAACTATTGCCACGAAAAGGCATATATAGCCGTGCTCAATACCGCTCTCTTGTTCGTTCATCACTCACCGATATCCAACGTCCTTCTTCACCTTCGCAACTTCAATACCAACGATCAACATGGTTTTTGTCAACCTCAACCTTATCTTAGTCGCTTGTGCCGCCGCTGCTGCTGTGGCTGCCCCTGCGAACGATGACTCTGCCCCTGTGTTGGTTCCTCGCGCTGAGGTATCCGTCTTCATGTGTACCGATCGCGGCTTCAGAGGAGACTGTATGAATGATCTCATTCAGACTGGGTCATGCTGTGAGTTAATATTACGATATTAAGACAGATGTTTTTCTAGCAAGGCGGAGGAATATCTTGGCTCACACATGGCAGACAACGTGCGCTCCGAATTCATCGATCGCATCAGTTCGATTCGGAACAATGATCGAGATCGCAACACTTGCACTTGGTACCGGTAAGTCTCAACTTCGATGAGGGGACCATATTACTCCGTGACAAGGTTGTTGACTCTCAGTAGTGAGCGTGAGTGCCGCGGTGACAGCTATCGCAACCAGGACGACAGCAACCTGGGCGATGGAAATGGGCGCTTCAATGACGCTATCCGCAGCTACGAGTGCAGGAGGAAATGATGTGCAACAACTATTTGTTCATGGAATACTTGACCAGAAAGAGGTAGCCGGAAACGGGAATAACATCGTGTCAGATAATGCGCGCACCTAGTCGCACCAATATGTAATACTGCACTACACGAAGGAAAAGCAAACGCCTGGATACGGAAATGGCACGGGAATCCCTGAAGGACTTCAATAACTTTCAACATGGACGTATTGCGTCGCAGAAAGTATGATGGTATAATGGAAGTTGAACATACCACTTGCTTGTTTATGTATCTATCATCCACATAAATCTTGCATTTGCGCAGGGGCCTTGCTCCTTATTCTCATCAAGATGATCCTGTCGCTCTGGCAATACCCCCCGGGGCAAATATCTATGGACTGGGGTATGTACACTCGAAGCCAGCGTCTTATGTATTCAAGTCGGCTCATGCTAACGTCCTGATGCAGCCTCCACATTCTCCTCCATCTCGAACTGGTACAACTTCGGCTCCATAACGTTCCTCTGTCGAAGAATGTACCTCTTGGTCCACCACGGAAGTACCTCCTTTAGTTGATAGGATGCGTGACGTCGAGTCGATACGGAGAACACATCGTCAAGCTCTTCCAAGGATCGCTGCTTTGTCTCCGGCATGAACAAGAAGATGGCTACGAAGCAGATTATGTTGGTAACAGCAAACAAGCCGAAGGAGCCTTGGGGTCCTAAGCCTCGCATCATGGGTGGCCAGGTGAGCGCCACAATGACAGCCCAGAAGTTGTTGGTCGCCACGGCCCATGACATGCCCACTTCGCGGTGAGATAGAGGGAAAACTTCTGCTGAGTATACGAAGGCACATGGCCCTTCCCCTGGGCCGTAGAAGGCAGCGAAGATGTAAGTGAACGTGGCAATGACACCTAGATGAGCCGGACTAGACGCAGGAATGTAGAACGCCATTCCAGCTGCTAAGAGAGTAATAGCCATGTTTGGGAATGTTGCAAGAAGTAGGGTCCTTCGACCCCAAGTATCGATGGTCCACAGAGCTGGGATGGCAAAGATGAACATGGCCATGCCGAAACCCCATGAAGCTAGGAGTGCGGTCTGGCTACTTGCCCCGGCGTTCTCAAAAATGGTTGAAGAGTAGAAAGACATGATGTTGACTAGGGTAGAAGAAGATTTTAGTGTCAATCGATTCATCCGGTTCGATCCCAAGGGGTAGTACTCACTACCGCAGAACTGCTGCGCCGCCATGATAATGCCCGATGCCTGAGTAGCACGACGATTGCGTGGAATCGTGAAGAGCTCGACACACCTAGTGAAGAAATTGCCCTTATCAAAGCCTTTCTCCGCAATCATGTTTTCCTCCTCTTGCAGCTGGCTGTGAATGTAATACAGGTCGCGAGCCGCGAGAAAACTCGATCCACGGAGCCTCTTAAGCGACTCATAAGCCTGTTTGCACTTTTTCTTCTTCAGCAACCATCTTGGAGATTCTGGAGTGAAGTAGATGCCGAATAGGAGAGGTACAGCTGGGATCATTGCTGAGCCAAGTTGCAGGCGCCACGCAATATCACCGGTGTTGGCGACTGCCAGGTTGGCGCTGAACCCAAGCATGATTCCGAATGCAACAAACAGCTGCCACGACATGACCAAGGCGCCACGAATATTGGCGGGTGCGTTCTCAGCGGAAAAGACCGGCACAGTGACTTCTTTCAGGCCCATGCCGATGCCCAAAAGGATTCTGCATGCCAGGATCTGCGGCCAGCTCTGGCAAAAGGCTTGTCCGAGTGGCCCAATAACACCGAATATTGCGCCCACGAAGATGGCCCCGCGTCTGCCGATCCAGTCATTGACGGGGTCAGAGAGCCAACAAGCACTGATCAAGAGTCGATTAGTATGATGCTCATACGGAGGCTGATCTCAAACTCACAAAAGACAGATAGCCATGTATGGCGCACTGTTGATAGCGCCTATGATCCAAGAGTTTCTGTCGCAAGTACCGGCAGCAAGGCACTCAGGACCTTTGTCTGATATTCCGAAAGCCTGAGGGAAAGACAGGTTGGCACCGTTAGAACCTGTTTGGTCCCATCCTTGAATCATGGCGCCAATGGAGTTCATGAAGATAGTGAAGTAAAGAGCCGTAGGATGTTTCCATCGATGGGTAGATTCGTTCCGCAAAGCGTCTCGATCGGCCTCGTTGAGCTCCTCGATGTCTTCGTAGTCCCCAGGTCTCTGAGAAACCAACGCCCCTTTGAAGAGCAAAGAGGACTCGCCTCTCATCTCATACAATTCGGCGAAATGGTGCACATCTTGTTGGAGCTGTAGCTTGGGTATCCCGGCTAATGGATTTTTGATTCTACGATGCTGTGAGTTTCAAAGACTCACAAGTGGTCCTGAAGCAAAGAAGTGAAGACTTACTCTCCGGAGGGAACTTCGACAGCACGGTGCTGAGATTCACGGTGACTGAAATTGACACCCAGGTCCGACGTTGACTTTGTTCTGCTTCAAGTTAGGAGATTGCCGTTATGAAAACAGCGATTGATATTGATCGACTCACGTCTCATCCGAAGCTTTTGCCATGGTGTCCTCTGATGACAGTAATGACTGGCTACTTTCTCCTGCTCTCTGAGTGAGACCGAGGGGCTGCTGTTTGGAGGGCATGGTAAGCTTAAATCAAAATCCGGGGCGGGAGAAGCCGCTAATATCTATCACAGTGGCGTCGAGGAATCTTGATGTGTCAATCGAACTTGAGGGGACCCCGTGGGGGAACTGCAGTCCAGCTCGGTGGAAGCGCCGAAGTAATTCCCAAACCCAAAACGCACTGACATGCGGCTGCGAGTCGCACAAGGTCAACGAGAAGCATGACAAAGTTTCAGCTCAACATTAATCTCGGTCTGGGCACCGAAGCTGCCAAGAGCTGGCGAGCTAAATCCATGACAGCTTCGGCGTTTTCGCCGACACTACTGATAAAGACCGAGAAGGCCAAGAATTTATCTATGGGCAGCCATGCCACAGTTAAGTAGTGAAATATCTAATAGACGTCAAACAAGGTAATTATTCAATATGCGAAATATGACTCGGCGAACAAATTCGATTTGAAAATATGCATGTGTGCATTTGACCTGAGGAAACTTCGCCGGGAATTCGGTATTTTCTCGAACAGCGCCACCAAATGCATGAGAACGTCAAAGTCATTCTTTAGAAGTCGCGTGATGATAAATGTGGCTTTTGAAATCTCACCGTAAAGGCAATTGCCCATCACATATGTCTATACACCCGCAAAAGAATATTGTGACGCTAACAAATCAGACAGATGCATACCTGGAGGGTTTTCCACCTTGCAGCTGAGCGATGCCTGTGTTCTTCTGGCTGAATAATACAGAGGAATGGTCCGTCCTTTACCTTGATAGACATCCAATACGAATTCGTCGCAGACACGCTTGGGTTTGAAAACATCACACGCCACGGTGGCCAACAGTAGGACGATCTCTCATCGGTAGTGGACTGTATCCTAATAATCGTGGCGGTAGAAGTACGCTCGAACTTGGGTCGGCGGTCGAATTGAGTTCGCATTTTGGTGGATATGCTTGCATGAGAAATATGCGGATCATGTTCTACTACATGTCTCGAATAACCGAGTCCGCTATCTTCTCAGCAAAGGCGTATATGAGTGCTTGGGGATGCCCAGGCGGTAGTAGTGCCATCGAACTCGCATCCACGACGCGAAGCTTGTCAACCCCAATCACCCTGGCCAAGTTATCTGTCACAGCCGTCGGATCATCTCGGTGTCCCATACGTGCAGTGCAGGAGGCATGCATAACCGCCATCACGCTTGACCGAATGGTAGCCAGAATTTCCTCATCCGTCTTCACATCTGCGCCTGGCCAATACTCTGCATCGCTAGCGCGAACGCTTCGCACCGCATCCGTGTTGAAGACATCGCGAATACGCTTGTACATGGCCACCGCGACCTCCAAGTCACCTGGATGGGTCAACCAATTCGGATTTACGAGCGGATGATCCGAGGGTGAGTTGCTGGCAAGTGATACGTTGCCTCTGGAGAGGGGCGCAGCCAACGCTGCAATGATGGCAGCGTACATTTTCCCATCCTTTGGCTGATCCAACCATGGAATGTTGAAGGAGCCGATATGGCCCGCAGCCGGGAAGTACTCGATATGAGGCCAGTCTTTAGGGAAAGATAGAAGCTGAGACCAGGTTGACTCGCTTAAGTTGGCGCTGCTGGGCATTCTCTCCCAAGCCAGGAACTCGGCCACGTTGCTTGTCAGTGGACCTGTCTGGGTGAGTCCATAATCTAGGACGGCTTTAGAAAGAGCGACAGGATCCCCGAGAACTTTGTTGAGTGTGTCGAAGGTCACCTGGTATGTTGGGCCGAATAGCGCGTGATCAGTGAGGTTGCGTCCCACCCCTGGACGATCTGCGATGACATCAATGTCGTGCTCTACAAGATGCTCTGCAGGTCCAATGCCAGACAACATCAAAATTTGTGGTGTGTGAATGGCACCGGCTGAAAGAATGACCTCCTTCCTCGCAGTGATCGTATGCTTCAGCTGACCCAGGGCAGTGACCTCAACGCCAGTGGCTTTCTTGTCTTCATCAAAGAGCACCTTGTTGGCTCGAGTACCCAGGTAGACCGTGAGCTTGTCGCTCATATTGGTATCTCTTGCCGCATAAATGAATTCAGCCGAGGTAGACCGGACCTGTGCTCCGGGATCTATCGTTGTCTGAGCATAATGGTAACCATCCAGCACGCCCTGGTTGAAGCGGTCCGTCAACGTCATTCCGAGCGCCTCAAACCCCTTGGCTGCCCATGTTGACCATACGGGTGTCCAGTTGGCGTAAGTCACCTGAATGTGAGAGTTCGATGATGCATCGAAGTCGTTCTCGGAGTATGTGGTAGTTGCATTCGACAAGCGGGTTTTGGTGTTTGGAGGCGTGAACATAAAGCTTTTCCGGAAAAATGGGAGAAACTGGTCGAATCTGTAACTATCATCACCAACAGCATCGGCCCAAGCGTCCAATGCGCCCCGGTTCGGTCGATGATGGATCATAAAGTTCAGAGCCGATGTGCCACCAAGACACTTTCCCTGCGGGTAGTGCATCTCGCGGCCCCCCGCACCAACTTGAGGGACAGTTTTCAGCCCATAGTCCACGGTTGGTATGCTGTCGACTGGGTTGGATCCGACGCCGATGATGTCGCCGAGAGGTGCAGGTCCAATGATGGGTTTGCCAACTTGGTAAGAAAGCCCGGCCTCGACAATGGCGACGGTATGACCAGCTTCTGCAAGACGGTAGGCAATGGTGTTGCCAGCCGTACCGGCCCCGACAACGACATAATCGTATGCCTGTTCTAGACCGACTGTACCTGTGAGACTGCCCAGAGACGTATGAACAAGACCATCCAGTGTTGTCCAAATGCTGCCGGTGATGGGATCGAGTACCGGATCAAGTACGGGAAGTGCTGTGACAGATGAAAGAATTAAGAATTTAAAGAGAAGCATTTTGAGACTGAGTGAGAAGGTGCAGGCGAGTTTCATCCGAATGGTGATGACATATTGGAAACGAAAGAGTTTTATAGAGAAATAGCCAAGCTTGTGCCCAGCATTCAAACAGTTACACCGTCCGGCTGACTTCCGATGTTTGTGTGACGGAAGGCTGCAGCTTCCCGTCCGCCATCATTGGTGGTTATTTCCCATTTGCTGGAATTCCGTTGATCATTCCCAATTGGACCCCCTTTCCAAACATATTGGCCTCCTAGCAGGGCACAAGAGTCAGTGCAACAAGAATGAATCCGAAGATGCCGTGTGTGTCGTCTCTTCGGTCTCCATTGCCAGCGTACCCTGGATCCACTGTCTTTGCCCTACAGCGTAACATTTCCACTTGAGACTGACAATCCACCCGCCGGTGTGACCCTCCGCAAGCACTGGCGCCCTTCGCTAATTGGTTATAACGTCGAGAAGACATGGGGGGCACGCGGGTTTGACAAGGGCAGTGTAAGCAGTGCTAGGGATACTTGACGAATTGAGTTGCCAGAACAGAACTTGTGGATATGCGGGCCAGCGGATTGTCAATTCTGACAAGAATCACAGAAATGGGGATCTGCGAAATCATAAGTGAGCTTCGAATGAATTCCCGCATTAATACCCTGATGAGAGGGTCTATGGCGATGTACTTGCCGTAAAAGGGCCTGCCACTCGCACACTGCCGAGAGCCTTATCGAAGGGTTGAGGGAAATCCCTGGCTGATCAAGTTTGCAAGCCAAATTTGAACCAACAAATGTGTATTTAACGACTGTGCTGCCCTGTAATCTTAGCGTGTTGGTTTGGGTATTGCCATCGGTATCTCGACACCACCATGAAGTTCAGTGCTTCGTGCCTGTTCGCTGTCTTTGCTGGGCTATCTGCGGCCCAGTGGGACAACAACTCAACCGCTCCGATTGAACTTGCGCCTGCACCATGGACTTTGAAGGGTACTGTCTACTCCATCACCCTGGTCCCTCTGTCGGATGACCTTCCGAACAAGGCATTTCCACCTTTGGAGCGACAGTATGCTTCGGCTACTGAGGGCGAGTATCTGGGTATTTTGGGAATGATTCAGATCATTCGATACAGCGAGAGCCCTGTCGGACCGTATGATGAACTGCTCATTGTGCCTGGGTTCTTCAAGTACAACCACACCAACGCCGAGGGTGAACGCGAAGAGAACAAGAATGTCAGGGTCAGCCGCATCTATGTCAGCCAGAAGTACACCTGCTGGAACGGAAGAACGAGTATGTTTCAACTAGTTGCACCCGTCGCGTTTACTAAGAGTCGGAGCAAACCACTAATGAATCACAGACTGGAACATCCCAAAGCATTTGGCTCGTTTTGACTGGACTGAGAAGGAGAATGGTGAAACCACGGTCAAAATCTACCCGCATGATACCACGGGCGATCTGAGCGAATCTATGCCCGCGAAGAAGCCTTGGTTCAAGGCTTCATTCAAGCCAGACTTGGTGAACGGTTTGCCTTTCAGCACCGATCTGTACAAGATACTCGGAGTCAACGCGACCCTGGCACAGCCGCCTTTGCCGTCCGCAAACAGTACCTATGGAGAACTGGCAGGTACGGATCACTGGGCGGCCACTGTGCCAGGCCAGGTCACTGACAGCGCGTCTTTGGGCGTTTATGACCTGGATCAAGGAGATGGGGACGTTGAAGAGGGCAAGAACACCAACGCGGTAGGCGATGAGTACTTCCCAAACTTCTGGCCAGGACTTTTGCGTTTCAATGCAGGAATCAAACTCGAGAACGCGACCATCACTTTCAGTGAACCCGAGATTTGGTCCAACTGATCTCTTTTCTAGCGGCATCACCGCATCAGGGACCAAGGTCGCTTTTTTTTTCTGCAACGCGATCTGTTCGGAGTCCTATTCTGCCCTCGAAAAACGAAAAATTAGTCGTGGCGTTATGAGAGTGTCATTGAAGGACTGTGATGTCGGCGTGCGGAAGTTCAAGCCTAGGGACGAGAAGAAGGTCATTATTTCGTACATAATATAACATATCTCCGGACCAAGAGAGTAGACACCCATTTCGGAAGTGAAGAAAAGGGGAGAAGAAAAAAACACATCAAAGATCTCGAAAAACTGCGCAGCACTGCTGGTGGAAGGGCGCGGATGAGTTGTCCCTCATTTGGGCTAACCCCTCAAGTTTGCCGGGGTTTACTTCTTAGATGCCGGTAAGTGAGATGTGGAGACTTCCAGAAATGGAAATTTAGGCGTTCAAGCCAATGAGATGTAAGTAATTCAATGGTTAGTCGGCGCTACTGCTGTCTTCCACATGGCAGACAGAATAACTTATTCAAGTTCGGTTCCATCGGTCAAATTCCTGAGTCTCAGGCGACTTTCTCGAGCTTCTGCGCTCCTCGGAGATCGTCCATACCTACTTTTCGATGCCTGACTCCAACTAAAAGCTCGTCTCGAAGTTGCCTTCCGAAGGTTCCCAAGTGGGGTCGTCTTCGCACGGTCTCATGTCTTTGAGCTTGACAAGACCACCGGGAGGGCGCGACGGGAGGGCGCGAATTGTCAATCAAGACGCTGCTAAGTGGAGTTGACAATATTGTTTGACGATTGAAGAGGGAGTCCGCAAGATCCTGGAACTATTTAAAGGTTTCGCCGTCGACACCACCCTCCAGACGTCTTGCTTCCTAGATTTTGGGTAATCGGCACTCTCCCTTATCTGTAAAACTTTGCCCCCGGGTGCTCCTCTCCCAGATTCAATCACCAACTATAAACCGACATCATGGTTCAAATCAAGCCTTTTGAGGTGGAGGAATGGATGGATCGCTTGGAAACCACGCCAGGAGCCCTCAATCTTGCCGAGACCTGTTGCGAGTCAGTGTCTATTCAAGAACTCACGCAGTTATGTTCCGACCCTACCGTTCCCGGCCCGCTTGACATAGCAACCCGACGACTCACTTATGGAGCAATCTATGGGTCGGAAGAAACGCGCCAAAACATTGCCAATCTGTACCGAGATGAGGCTTCGGAGGACCTTCCCAGCGACCAGGTTGTCGTCACTCAAGGAGCCATAGTCGCCAACTTCCTTCACCTGTACAGTCTCGTCGGCCCAGGCGATCATGTCATCTGTATCTATCCCACGTACCAACAGCTCTATGAGGTCCCCAAGAGCCTTGGGGCGGAGATCAGTCTGTGGAAGACGAAGCCAGAGAACCGATACATTCCCGACGTCAAGGAGCTTGAGGGGTTGGTTCAAAAGAACACAAAGGTTTGAATCACGAGCGGTCAATTAGTAGCTAAGCTAACATCTCACCAGATGATCATCATTAACAACCCGAACAACCCTACTGGAGCGACAACGCCAAAGTCAGTCCTGCTTGATATTATCGACTTCGCGAAAGCTAGGGGCATCATCGTTATGGCGGACGAGGTCTACCGCCCTCTCTTCCACAGTTTGCCCGAGGGGGAGCCCATTCCCCCATCTATCCTGTCCCTGGGATATGAGAAGACAGTTTCCACTTCGAGTATGTCCAAGGCATTCTCTCTCGCAGGCATCCGCCTTGGGTGGATTGCGTCCAGAGACCCAGCCATCATCGACGCCATCAAGAGCGCCCGGAACTACACCACTATCAGCGTTTCCCAACTGGACGACAGAGTGGCAGGATACGCGCTCTCAGATGCGGTGAGGCCGAACCTTCTGAAGAGGAACATTGAGCTTGCGAGAACCAACCTTGCTCTCGTTGAGGACTTCATCAACAAGCACAGCTCTTCCTGCTTCTGGGAAATCAAACCCACTGCAGGCACCACTGCCATGATTGGTTTCAAGAGAAACGGCAAGCTTGTGAACGACGCCGATTTCTGCCTGGAGATTCTGAAGGCCACCGGCGTCCTTGTCATGCCAGGCTCAACCTGCTTCGGGCAAGGGGTTGAGTTTGAAGGGCAGATGCGGTTCGGATATGTTTGTCGCACAGACGTGTTGAAGGAAGGATTGGAAAAGCTTGGCAAATATCTTGAAGAAAGGTCGTGATTTTCACCATATTGGGGATTTGGTCTCGGTCTCGTATACAGGCTTGATTGACTTGAATTTCGCATCTTGACTATGAACTAGTACTGAATAACATGGAAGAAATACCTCAACCCTGTTTGTTGTCTCGAAGAAGTTGATGTCACGTAGGTTGGCTTGTTTGGTCAATCATATAAAATGATCAGGCCTTGCAGGCTTGCCACTTTACGTTAACCTGCTGGGTAAAGGCAACGGTAGCGTCATCGTCAGTGATGGCACCATAAGACGTCGCATTCTTTGAAGTCAGGGCAATGCGGTTGTTGACGTTGAGAATGCCCGTTGCGCCGCATGGGGCCCAGATAATCGATGCAGTCGGGATGCTATCCTGCTTGGTGTACACCTGTCCATCTTTCCAGATGCCCCCACCAGAGATGGAGGTCTGAGTGGTGGTCGTGGATGAGGCATCTTGAGAGAAGAAGTAGGTTGAGAAGAACGTCCCAGTGACTCCCTCGTCGAGCTGGGCGTAGCCGTGATAGGTGCTCTCCACGACGGCGAACTGAAAGCCACCAGGGTACTTAAGACTCAGGTGGAGGGCGCAGTTCTTGGTACGGTCGGCGATGGAGAGTCCGGGGCCGATGTAGGTCTGGAAACGGTCGAAGCCAAAGGTAATGACGGTTCGGTCAGGGGAGATTGTGGTTGAGACGGAGCCCTGGGGGCAACCGCTGCCGGAGAAGCTGGAACCGACGATCTGAATCTCTTTGGGGTCGGGGGTGTCCGAGATGCCTGTCGGCCCAAGTGGCGTGGCAGCGACGAGAACGGGGAGAAGGAACAAGAGGAAGTTCTTCATTGTGATTATCTGTATCGGAGTATGAGATGGGAATCAAGGATGGAGGTGGTGCTACTACTGCGTGATAGGAAACACTGGAACCACTTGCTTATTTATACGTAAGATGATACTGCTAGATTCATAAAAAGCAGCGTTTAGGACTTCAATACGGTAGGCTCTTCTGGTGTCCTTGACAAGGACCAAGCGAAACCGTGAAGATTCGGGTCACGATACGAGGTTCGCGGCACGAATCAATGCCACTGCTTCATGCAAAAGGCCCATCTGATGCTCATACATTAACTTCAATTTTTACCGAAGTCCATCGACGCTTGTCTATTTCAGTGTCCGTACAGTTGTACAATAAAGGCCTCAGCACTTCCAATTGGTCATGCTGCAATGGAATTTCGGCCAATTTGCGGTTGAAAGGATGCAAATGAATCGAAATTGAACCAAAATCGCTATTTCCTGGGGCTTGCAGAAACGCCCGAGACTATTGAGGAACTTTCTAACATGCATGAGCGTCTCGTGAGGGGTGCCTCTGTACTGTTATCTTCAACATGGATAATGAGGAGGCTGTTTGGAACCTGAACTGGTGTGTGATTTGATCTATCAACGTGCCTCTGACATGGAGAAGTTTCTAGTTATTTCTTTCCCCCCCAGTCTTCACTGGAGCCTGTTTGGAGCATTGGCCTACAAAGATGCGGCATTATGACTAATTTATGAGTCTGAACTGCCGGCGCTCCTCAGAGTAGTTGATGGATCTCTCTCATACGACTTGCGATGGATACTTAACACACTCCATGTTCGAACCGAGAGTTCATACGGTGATACCACCCAGCGCCAAAGATTGAAGCTCCACACTAACCATATTCAGCAGCAGGACCCTGAATATCCGGCGCGTACCGAGGACCAGTCTTATTGGGCGAGCCCGGTTAATAGCAATGGTCGTTCCGACTTCGCCAGATAATATGAGCCCAGCGGCACGGTAGCGCCTCGATGGTCTCAGCTTACCGGCTGAATTGCAACTGACAATCAACTCCGAGGCCGTGTTCGGCTGGCAAATATGCTCTCGATATTAAGTTGCGTGAAGCTGAACAGGAGGCCCCAACACGAGATGCAGGTAATATCAGGCCTCGTCGTGGTGTCCGCTATGTCGAATGGTGCCAAAGCCATCAAGTGACCTTTGTGGATTCATTTACGTGCACCCAACAGTTGATTGCTACGTCCATGGTTTATGCCAAGTGGCATTGCAGTGACTGGCCACGAGGGGACTGGGCTGTTGCTGTAACCCTCTACGTTCTTATGCATCAATAGCAATTGTGGATGGGGGAGTCGAGAACCTCCTTTAATCTCGAGATGCGGGTCACACGGTAGCATACACCGGCGTATTGAGTAACATCCAATTCAAACTTTACAGTGAACTCCGGCTAGATCTAGATAGCATGACGTTACGTGATTCATTTTAGGAAGACTTTTCCACGTTCACTTATTCTCCTTCATTCCCTCCCTTAAGCACCCTCAACCTGCTTGAGAATACCCTCCAAGTTGATGCTCTTGGGACGCTCAATGGGCAGGCCGAGAGCGCGGTCCCAGATGAGCTGTGCAAGGGGGCCAAGACCACGAGAGACGCCGAAGGTGGCGGTGTAGTAAAGCGTCTCGTGGAAGCCGTAGTGGTGGAAGAGGACACCTGAGCTAGAGTCGACGTTGGGGTAAGGGTTCTTGGTCTTGCCATGCTTCTTGAGGACCTCAGGAGCGATGCGGCTGTTCTTCTCCACCAGCTGGAAGACTGGGTCCTGAGCAATCTCGGGTCGCGCGGCGGCGTAGTCCATCAAGGCCTCGAAACGGGGATCGGGCTTGCGGAGAACGGCGTGGCCGTAGCCAGGAACGACTCTGCCGGAGTTGAGAGTGGACCACAGGTAGTCGTTGACGTCCTTGTCAGAGTAGGACTTGGGGATGTTGTCCTTCATCTGGAGGATCCATCGAAGAACCTCCTGAGCGGCGAGTCTAGTTTCTGTTAGTTACTGCTTTGGGGATCGGGCTCGACACTGCTCAACTCACCCGTGAAGCGGTCCAGCAAGACCCTGGAGACCGGCGCTGTAGCTGAGGAAGACATCGCTGAGAGCGCTGCCTACCAGATGGGTGGCGTGGGCGGAGACGTTGCCTCCCTCATGGTCACCGTGGAGGGCGAGGTAGAGCCTCAGAAGATCCTGGAAGTTCTCGTTCTTCTTGCCGCCCTTTCCAAGCATAGCAGCGAAGTTGTAAGACCAATCCTGCTCGAGGTCGACCTCGGCAGGGAGGGCACCGCCGCCCTTGTAGGAGTTCTGGTAGATCTTGGCGGCAATGGTGGGAAGCTTGGCCAGCAGAGAGATGGCGTCGTCGAAAGTGGGCTCCCAGTAATCAGCCTTGTTGAGACCCTGCTCGTAGGCCTTGGCGAATTTTGAAGTGTAGTTCAGGGAAGAGACGGCGATGGCGAACTGGGTCATTGGGTGCAGGTCTGTGGGGAAGTCGTCGAGCATCTTGTTCACGAATGCGGGAAGCTGAGCCTGTTCGGCGAGCTCTCGAGAGAACTTGCGAACTTGGTTTGTGGAGGGGACCTGGCCGGTCAGGAGAAGCCAGAACATGGCCTCGGGGAGCATCTCTGTTCCTGTCTTTCCCTTGGGGAGCTCCTTTTGGCAGTCCTTGATGGTTCTTCCGTGGAAGCGAATGCCCTCGTTCGCGTCGAGGACTGAGCCCTCCCAAACCATGGCCTTGAGACCGCGCATGCCGCCGAGGGTGTTCTCGACCTTGACCTCGCCAATGACTTTGTCGGAGTGGGCCTTGACCTTCTTCAGGAGCTCCCGCTTGGCCGGGATGACCTGCTTGAGGGTGGTCTTGAGGTCTGGTTCGGAAGAAGAGGAGTACTGGCGGGCATTGAGAGCAGAGCGAGCTGCCAAGGGCTTGTTCGAGTTAGCCTTGAGTGTTTTGAAGTTGAGCGAAGCTCGATATGGGCTTGTCAACATACCCGCAGAGCTCCCAGAGCTCTGGTGCTTCGCGTGACGTTCATCGCCATTGTGTAGCCGGTCGCGAGGGAGCTCAAGGGAGAGAGGAGCAGTGAAGGAGGGGTATTTGGCGGGGTGAAAGTGACGGGGAAGAAGCAGCCCTATGTAAAAAAGCTTGACTGATATCGGACCTGCTGTCTCACGCTGGCTAGGTCAACAGATTGAATTGCTAAGTTGGATGGTTATGATTTGGGAGGAAGATGCGACGGCGGTGGAAGAATTGGAGGACGAGAAAAGAGACAAACATGCTTCGGGAACCTCTTGGAGGCGGCGTACCTGGTACATGGCCGACACAGCTTACCTTACCTTACCTACCTACCTTAGGCCGAGACAGACCATGAGTTTAGCCCGAGGTTGGAGAAGCCTGGGCCAGGAGCATTGACGCGCTCCAAGGGGGTTGCCATGCTTGTACCAGAGCAACATGCATGGGAGCTCACTCGGGCTGTTTCTGTGTACAGCATCTCACTGCAAAACACCTCCTCTGAGATACGGTAGGCTACCTGTTTCCCTAATGCTTTCAACTGAGATAGCAGTACAGGTACCTGTACTGACAGTGGCTGGCAGGTTTCCAGTCCACAGGCACATTCGCCTTGCCGTTATTGCCAGACGAGGAGCATTCTGGTGCAGTGGCAGTGGGGGATACGGGGGCGGGACCCCAGCTTTTCCCACCTTCCTCCTCCCCGCCACGATTAGCGGGTAGCGGGCAGCGCGGGCAGTGCGGGTTGACCTCACTGAGGAGCTCGGTGCTCACTATCCGTGCCCCCTCACTGGCTGCGGCACACGGCGACCCCCCGGAAGTGGCCCACGTCTGAGGGGAAGAGGGACTGGACCGAGGCAAGCCGAGGGGCTCTGGCGGATCAGAGGCATGTCAATTGGCCAATCGATCGCAGTGTCCCTCCCTTCTGGGTCTTCACGTGGGCTGCGTGAGCCGTCGACAGCGGCTGTCTCTTTGCCGTTGCTTACCAAGGCCCAAACCCTCGCTTTTGCCCGGCTAACTGTGGCCGATGCTGTTTTGCCTATTGTCCACGTTATTTCCAGTAGACGGTCGAAAGGAATGAGGGCATAGCCATCTTATGTAAGTTGCTTCTACCGAACGCCGAACCGGTCCCGCTCGGATTTGTCTTCTCTCAGTGCAAAAGTCCATGTAGCTGGGAGTATCCGTGTTGCGCCCTTGCTGGCTAGGCGGCTGTCAGAATACGCAACCGACAATATTACCCCTCCAGAGACTGGTCTCAACCTACGTCCGTCACCTAGCTGTTGCATACCTAAATCAGCCACGATGTTGCGGAGAGCTGCTACACGCGCAGTCTCCCGAAGGACTCCTGTCCCGCGACCGACAGCCACTCCAGCCATTGCCCTGCGCTGCATCTCGACGACCCGCAGCATGGCACAGGCCCCCGCGAACCCCTTCGCTGCAGCCCCGTCCAGCGATGCGTTCCAGCTCCTCCCCGAATCCAGGAAGGCGGGCGCTGCCGAAGACGACCTGTATGAGGCACAGATCAAGGAAGTCGAGACATGGTGGCGGTCACCCAGATACGAGGGCATCAAGCGCCCCTACAGTGCCGCCGATGTTGTCTCCAAGCGTGGTTCCCAGCAGCAGTTCTACCCCAGCTCTGTCATGGCGAGAAAGCTCTTCAACCTGGTGCAAGAGCGCATCGCTGAGGGCAAGCCCATTCACACAAGTAAGCAGCCTCCAGAGCCCGACCTGATGTTGCTACAGGTTACTGATTCTGCGAGGTAGTGGGTGCTATCGATCCCGTCCAGATGACCCAGCAAGCGCCGCACCAAGAGGTCCTCTACATCTCCGGCTGGGCCTGCTCATCCCTCCTCACATCCACCAACGAGGTGTCCCCCGACTTCGGCGACTACCCCTACAACACCGTACCGAACCAGGTCCAGCGCCTGGCCAAGGCCCAGTCAATGCACGACCGCAAGCAATGGGATGCCAGACGGAAGCTCACACCGGAGCAGCGCGCCAACACTCCCTACACAGACTACCTGCGGCCCATCGTCGCCGACGGTGACACCGGGCACGGAGGTCTTTCCGCCGTGCTCAAGCTCGCCAAGCTCTTCGCTGAGAACGGCGCTGCGGCGGTACACTTTGAGGACCAGCTGCACGGCGGCAAGAAGTGCGGCCATCTCGCCGGCAAGGTCCTCGTGCCTACCGGAGAGCACATCAACCGCCTCAACGCGGCCCGCTTCCAATGGGACGTCATGGGATGCGAGAACCTCGTCCTCGCCAGGACAGACTCGGAGAGCGGCAAGCTCATCAGCAGCGCCATCGACGTCCGCGACCACGAGTTCATCCTTGGAGTCGCCGACCCGCAGCTCGAGCCCCTGGCCGAGACCATCCAGGCCATGGAGGCCAAGGGCGCGGCAGGCGCCGAGATTGACTCGTTCGAGGCCAACTGGGTCAAGTCTACCAAGCTTGTGACGTTTGACGAGGCTGCCGTCGCGCACATGCAGAAGGAGGGTGTCTCCCAGGCCAAGATCGACTCCTACCTCGAGGCCACGAGCAAGAACCGCGACATGGGCATCTCCCAGCGCCGCAAGCTCGCCAACCAGCACACAAAGACCCCCGTCTACTTCTCGTGGGACATCCCCCGCACCCGCGAGGGCTTCTACCACTTCCGCGCCGGCATGGAGGCCGCCACGAAGCGCGCCATTGCCTTCGGCCCCTACGCCGACCTCTTGTGGGTCGAGACGGGCGATCCGAACGTCGAGGTTGCGTCGAAGCTGGCCAGGGCCGTACGAAAGGTCCTCCCCGGCAAGGGCCTCGTGTACAACCTCAGCCCGTCGTTCAACTGGATGGCGCACGGCTTCACGGACGAGACGCTCAAGAGCTTCATCTGGGATATCGCCAAGGAGGGCTTCGTGCTGCAGCTAATCTCCCTGGCGGGCCTGCACTCCAACGCCACCATCACCAACGAGCTGGCGCGGGAGTTCAAGACGGACGGCATGTTGGCGTACGTCAACCTTGTGCAGAGGCGCGAGAAGGAGGGCGGCTGCGACGTGTTGACGCACCAGAAGTGGAGCGGCGCCAGCTACATTGACGGCATCCTCGGGGCTATCCAGAGCGGAAGCTCGAGCAGCAAGAGCATGGGCGAGGGCAACACCGAGAGCCAGTTCCACTGACTATAAAAAATACAATCAACAGAAAACAAAACAGCATTGGGCGGCGTTGAGGATCTGTGTAGCCAACTTTGAATGAACAAAATCAATTGGATATGTTGAACCAAGTACTATGCTTGCAACCCTTGATGCATCACTATGCTGTGTCTCCCCGACGACGAAATCCCACGGACGGTGAAGCATTTCAAGCGTCTATTCACAATTTCATCATCATGACCATCAACCAGTGTCCCCAGCTCTTTACCTAGCGCGCCAAACTCCAGTGCCTTGTATGTTGTTTATCGGAAAATGGTATCGGATCACGTAGCCTGCTCGTTTACTGGAGGCTGTTGAGGCTGGCGTTGTTCGCCGGCGCAGCCAACGCGGGACCCTCGGGGGTAACGTAGGCCTTGGTCATGCCACCATCGACAACCATGTCGTGGCCGTTGACGAAGCTGGCCTCATCGGAGGCGAGGAAGAGGACGGCCTGGGCCTGCTCGATGGCCTCGCCGAAGCGACCAGTGGGGAAGTGAACCTCGCGACGCATGCGCTTGGGGATGTCGTCGCCGAGCCAGTCCTGGAGAAGGGGAGTGTTGAGAGGCGCAGGGCACAGGGAGTTGAAGCGGTAACCCTCGCGGGCGTGGACCATGGCGAGCTCGCGGGTCAGGGCAAGGACGGCACCCTTGGAGGCGGTGTAGGCAAGCTGGGGAGTAGCAGCGCCGACGAGGGCGACAACGGAGGCGGTGTTGATGATGGAGCCCTTCTTCTTGCCGGCGCGGCGGAGAGCAAGAACGGCGTGCTTGCTACCGAACCAAACACCCTTGACGTTGATGTTCTGGGTCAGGTCCCAGATCTCCTCGGGAGTGTTGACGGCATCGTCGTCGCGGGCGTGCATGATGCCGGCGTTGTTGAACATGACGTCCACACCGCCCCAGGGGTCGACCGACTCGACGAGGGCCTTGACTTGGTCCTCCTTGGAAACATCGCAGACCTATTGAATCGTGTCCAGTCAGAATTACGGTGTCCCGATTGAATGTGTCGCACATCCCAAAATGGGTGCAATCTCGCGATGTTTCGTGTGTAGGGGAAGGAGGGTGGCACAAGGCGCAATTGACGGATGATGGATGGCGGGGCAATGGCGGGGTAATTATTTTTATTTTGCGGTGTTGGGTCGGCGCAGGATGCGAGACAATCATTTGTCTGGCGCGCATGTGTTTGGTGCAGGTGCAACGTGTTTTTGGGTAACTCGGCGGGTTATCGGAGGGGCGGGAATGGAATCTTCCAAGACATCTCATTCGCTTTGACGCAGGCGCGCCAAGTGCAGGGTGTATAGAGGCAAACGTACCTTGGTGTCGACCTTGGCCGTGGGGACGAGCTGGATAACCTTGGCCTTGGCCTTGTCGAGCGCAGGAGCGGAAATGTCGGCCATCATGACGCTGGCGCCCTCCTTCGCGAAGAGAATGCTGGTCTCGAGACCAATGCCTCTGTTTGGAAAAAAGGAACAGTCAGCTTATCGCATCTTGGTGGTTGGGTTGCCGTGCGTATATCTTCAACGCCCAGCCGTTGGGTTCGTCTGAATGCGCCCCTCATGATAAGGCGGCTAAGAGACTTTAGGGGGAAATTTCTTGCTTACCCAGCAGCGCCGGTGACGACGGCGTTCTTGCCGGCCAGTCTGCCGGTGATTTCGGTCGGAACAGAGCCCATTATGTCGGTTGGTTGTGAAGGGGTTGTAGGTGGATGTGGTGATGTTGGGGCGCAGGTCGCGATGCGGCGGACGGATGAGTTGGGGTCGGAGAAAGAAGAGCGCCGAGGTTGGGGTATAAGTTTTCTGGGAGATGGCAAGATGAAAAAGAGAAGATGTTTTGGAAAACACCTCGAGACGACGGGCTCTGTTTAAACCAGATCAGGACGGGGTTGGATTAGTAGAATGGAGCGGTGGAAGAAGGGGCAGACGGAGCAGACGGTCTTCACAATGGAACAGATGAGTCAAGGAAATCCGGGGTCCAGGCCCAAGTTCCCTCTGCCCCGGCCACTTTCCATGGCTTACGATAGTCGGATGGATGATACCAGACACCCAAACACCTTTACGTCTACCCTCCTTCGTGCTTGCCTTGCCTCGCCTTAGCCTCCCGTGGCAGATAACACAGAGACGTACACGGAGTAGGCACTGGATACATCATACAAGCAAGGGAAGGCGCGTGCGGGAGCGAACGGCGGACGCGGTTACATATCGCGCTACACATCGGCCCCCTTTCTGGCGATCCTGCATCACGATTAGCTGCCTCGCTGCTTGGATCTGTCAAGAAAGTAGCGGAGAGGTCGCACAGGTGCTCTGATAGACTGCAGATCCGACAACGGCGGCGTATATCGAGCACCTGAGACGAAAGTCACTGAGGTAGGTAGGTGAACCCCAGTCCATCGTCTGCCCCAGGCAAGGCAACAAGGTTGGCTTCGCTTCGTATCGTGAGATGGATGTGCGCAGAGATCGTGATCAGCCAGCCCCAGCCTCCGCCATCATGTCTATCGCAGGCGACGTCGATTCGTCGGTGAAGCGCAATGCAGCTGCACTGCAAGCATGGAGGAGGATGCCAAAGACGGAAGACAAGAAAGCGTTCGACGGCCGCATCTCCGATATCGCGTTATCTCTTATCAGTGAAACTTGGTTGGCCAGAGGTTCAAAGACCGCCAGGACCGCGCAGGACCGCGCACCGCGGCATGACGGCAACTCAGGAACCAACCCCTCCGTTGCTGATAGAGGGGAACGGGGGAGCCACCGAGGGGCACCAAAAGGTTTGTGGGACACAGTGAGAGCCCGCAATGAGGGGCAGTGGAGGATGACTGAGGGAGCGCGAGACTTGAAGGTTGATGAATTGCATGGTTCTGAATCTCTGAAGCGTGGTTCCCCAGGTTACGTTTTTTTTCTCAGAGGCTTATCAATGAACGTCGGTATATCTATCTCAATTAAGAAATATGGAAACAAACAAAGAAGAAAAGACCCTAGGTGCATCCGAAAGTGCATCTGGGATTCGAGCTAAGGCTGCGGCAGGCCAATGACAGCGACTGGAAGACTCGGACTAGAAGCGAAGGCGACCCGACAGGAAAAGGCGAAGACAGTGGTGCCCCCCGAATGATCAGACACGTCGCCACTGATGAGTGATCCGGGCGGCAGAATGCATGCATTGGGGATTGGATGCTGGACAGGCACAGAGGCACAGAAGCGACTGCTGCAGCTGGTCGGAGGTTGCTGCTGCTTGGCTTGCACAGTAAGAATTCCTTGAGTGCACAAGTGCAGTGCGAGAACAGAAGGAGGCGAGGCGGTCTGGCCTCCCACCCCCCTCCCCAACATTCATCCCATCGTCATGTGGGCGTCTTGGCTGGCAACGGGGGGCACTGTCAAACGTCCTGATGCTGGCAGTCGCCGAATGGACCGGACAATCCATTACCATTCGCAAATTCCCCATTCGTGGACCGCAACCGCAGACCGCGAAGTGTCTCTCGATGGACCGCAGACAGGTGCGTTGTCAACCGCGCTTGCTGTCCTGCTGATTGATGGCAGCGGCGGTCAAACGGGTTGAGTTTCTGCCTCTGCGGGGGCGAAGAGCTTGAGTAATGGGAATAGCATCGCGGCAAATGGCAACTGCGGGATGGGGAATGGGAAAGAGGATTATCAGGACACATTACACAACACATCGTGACATTTGCCTCGGTGTAGTGGCTAAGGTGGGTGGGTAAGTAGGTGGGTGCTGCTTGCCGCGATGCGTACCTTAGACCGGGAGGCCCGCGGTCGGCATTCGGAGCGGAGCATCAGGCCAAACAACAGCCAAGAGATCTGGCTTCTCAATCTCGACAGGTCCCTGGCGGTGTCGTGTGCATCGCGTAGGCCACCGGCGGATGACTCGTGGAAAGATGTTGGAGTTGGTGAGTGTTGGTCCAGACCGAGAGGCTTCCTTCCGTTCGTCAGTCGTCACTGCCATCCATGAACCAGCGACTCAGGACAAGCACCTCGAGACTCAGTGGAGGTCGGGTGGGCAAGATGCCCGTCGGTCTGGTCTGTGCGGTGCTGCCGTCAATGACGCATGTCCCCGGCCCATCTCCCATCTCTCAATTTAGCGCGCTCTTTGCCCCGAGACGGGACTGGGACTTGCCTTATCGACTGCCAGTGGTCACTGCTGTAATTGAAGGTAATAATACCGACCGCAGCAGGCATTCCCCGCTCCCAACCGAGGGGCAGGCAGCCGCAGGAGCGCGTCTAAATCGCAGAAGGAGCTCTCCAGTGAGTGACCCTCCCCGCCTGCCGCCGGCATGGAATCGTGACTTCCATTTCTTGGAGCAAGACCCAAGACCGCACCGCGCGCAAAACAGCAAGAGCTCATGTGAGACCCATGACACCACGCGGCAGGAGGGAAAGCTTGACAAGCTGGGCAACCGGGGAAAGCCGCTGGCGGCAAGCAGGAGAGAGCGTCACTGGCAGGGTATGATAGCTGCGATCGATAGCTGCACCAGCTCCTGCAACTTGCTGCACCGCGCAACCTCCCAGCGCCCCGGACCGATGTCATGCTCACCCACCTCTCGGGCAGTCTACGAATCCCCAGTTCTCCAACGTCTCCAAGGCGCAATTCCTTCTCATTGGCCGTCGCATCCTCTTATCGGCCACCGCATCCACACCTGTCCTGCACGCACGGAGGACCTTGGAACCAGGTAAACAGCGGCCCCAGACACCTTGGAGGTCGCTTGTCGCTAAGGCTGGCACGCTGGGTACCTACCTACCTGGGGGTGCTGAGGTGCCTATCTAGGTATCCGTACTCAGCTAAGGTTGCGCCCACGATCCGTCCGGCTCGGCCTCGAGTCCTATCCTGTCACGCCGTGCCTTGCCTTGCCTTGTCTCGCCTCGCATCTCGCTGTCTCACACCTCTTGTTGTCTGCTCGACCAACTTCTCGCATTCTTGCCTCCTTCCATACCTTCATATCCCCTCCGAAACCCCTCAAACTTCCACCCGTTGGTCGCGCATCGCAGAGGGACAGAAAGAGACACCAATAGAGACCTCGTCATACCGATACCCCGCCAGATCTACCCGTCTTTCGTCCCATCCGCCTTCATCCAAAGTCAATTGACAGCTTCTCTGGGCGCTCCCATCCAACATGTCGCCGACTGAAGAAACCGTCACCGTCGAGTCGCTCCCGGAGCTTCTCAAGAATGACAACAAGGTCAAGCTTGCCGGCATCGACGTCGATGGCATGCTGCGCGGCAAGCTCGTATCCAAATCAAAGTTCTTGTCCATCGCCAAGTCCGGCTTTGGCTTCTGCTCCGTCATTTTCGGGTGGGACATGCACGACATGACATACATCAGGGAGCTCAAGATCAGCAACGCCGAGAACGGTTACCACGACTTGATCGCCATCCCCGATCTCCAGAGCTTCAGGCGCATCCCCTGGGAGGACAACGTCCCCTTCTTCCTTGTCGACTTCCACGACCCCGACACCCAGGAGCCCATCTGCGCCTGCCCTCGTGGCCTGCTCAAGACTGCTCTGGGCAAGCTGGAGGCCAAGGGTTACAGCGCCATGGCTGGAGGTGAGCTTTCTTCGTCCGGTCGCAGTTCCCCAGCATCGCAATCACTGCTAACCAATGCTTACGTTTAGCCGAGTACGAATTCTACCAGTTCAAGACTCCTTCTCGCTCCTCCGAGACCTCGACCTCAACGGCCGGATACCTGCAGGAGAACCCTCCCCACGCTCTCCCATCTCTTACCGAGGGCATGTTTGGATACAGTTTGACTAGAACAGTCCATAACAAGGACTACTTTTACGACGTCTTCGAGACCTGTGCCCAGTTCAAGTGTGATATCGAAGGATGGCACACGGAGAGTGGCCCTGGTGTTTTCGAGGCCGCACTCGAGTTTGGCCAGATCCAGCAAATGGCCGACAGAGCTAGCTTGTTCAAGTAGGTCGACCCAGCATCTCCCGCCGAGGCATAGCTAACGGTGTCTTCGTAGATATGTTGTAAAGTCTGTAGCCACCAAGTACGGCATTACTCCGTGCTTTATGGCCAAGCCGAAACAGGGCCTGCCTGGAAACAGTGGCCACATGCATGTTTCCATTGTCGACAACGCGGGCAAGAACCTCTTTGCTAGAGACACCATCGACGAGAACCCTCCGTACCCCGACGTTGCTGCTCTCTCGGACCTGGGACGCCACTTTCTGGCTGGCCTTTTGGAGGGTCTCCCAGACATCATGCCTCTCCTGGCCCCCACAATCAACTCGTACAAGCGTTTGGTAGAGAACTTCTGGGCTCCGGTAACGGTATCTTGGGGCTTGGAACACCGCGCCGCATCGATCCGTCTCATCGCTCCCCCGACCTCAAAGCCTGGTGCGACCCGATTCGAGGTGCGAGTACCTGGCGCCGACACAAACCCTCACTTCGTCCTCGCTGCCATTCTTGCGCTTGGATGGCGGGGTATTGAGAAGAAGCTGGAGATCCCGTGCCCGCCGCTTGGAAAGGGCCAGGAGATCGGCGGCCAGTCTGACAAGGGTACCAGGCTCGCAAAGAGCCTTCGCGAGGCAAACGACCGGTTCACCCGCAAGGAAAGCATAGCAAGAGAAGTCTTTGGCGACGACTTTGTCGACCATTTTGGAGGAACTAGAGATCATGAAATTCGCCTCTGGGAGGAGGCTGTTACGGATTGGTAAGTTCACTCCTGAGGAATCCCATGCCCCTTTGCTGGGTGCAACACGGGGCCGACCTCGATGTGCTTTGAGGAGATTGCTGACGCCGGTTCCGCAGGGAGGTGAAGCGATACATCGAAACGGTATAAAGGTCCGCGATTTGGCGGAGCATATTGTTTTACTGCGTTTTCATGGCCAGGATTTCTTTTTGGATATTTCACATCATATCGGACCAGCCCGGGAAACACGTCAAGCCACGCGACTATGGAGCTCCAGGCCGCCTAGCTTGCCTTGTTGTGACTCGATTGAGCGGGGAGATGAGCTAGATGAGCTGGCATCCCCCACTGCAACTTGGCCGTTGCATCCTCACCGGGTCTCCCCCAACCTGGCTGTTTGCACTAGGTGCCCTATCTAGATACCCTCATCAAATGCCGATGTATCAATACATGCAGAGCATCTGCGGCAAGTTGGATCTTTTATTTTCCTGCCTGCAAGAGAAAAGGAATTGGAGCAAAGTTTTGTGACGAGCGGAATGAGATGTCGCGGAAGTGTGCTTGATTGGTGGCGTCGGATGCGCCTTTTGTGACGGCGAAGGTTGTGGTGCAGGCCCCATTGCCACGAGCGAAGGACTGATCCAATCCCAATGTTGACAGCCGCCCAAGAGACGGCGATGAGACCCATTTTCGCATCTCGCCGAGGCTCGCCGGACTCGTGTCTTAGCCCTACTTGTCTCAACACACGGATGATGTGACGGAGACGCAGCCCTGAAGGTTGTTGGCCGCGGGAAGCCAAAAAAAGGAGGTTGGGTGCTGATTGGCTTTGGAAGCCCAAGTCGGTGTAGAAACACCCGTGACAAGTCGAATACGTGAGTCAAGAGAGGCTCAAGTCGGTGTTGGTTCCCTCCTCAAAAGCAATGTAACCCATGAGCTGCGCCTCGAGAACCGGTCGCTCCGACGCCAAAGTCTGAAGCTGGAGAAACTGGCGGGTTTGATCCGCAAAGTCCCGCTCACGCGCGCGGAGGCAGACTGACGGCCAGCTCGAGTGAACTTGTTGGCCGACGGCGCGTCAAGAAGTTGGCCGAGGAAGACATGCAGCCAAGGTTGAGAGATCCATCGCTGCGGCAATTTCGCCGAAGTAGAGCAGCAGAACCAGGCGGGATGGAAATCTGGGCCCTGTCAGAGCTGTCATAATACCCATCTGCCAGACGAGCAAAACAGGATGGATATGCGACAGACGTCAATGAGCAGAGAGGCTGAAGCAGTAGTTGCGGGGAGTCGAGAGAGAAAGACAAGACACGGATGCAGATGCTAGTACGTAGAATGATAGAATGAAAACCCTTGATGGAGAAGGAGCATGGAGTTGAAACTAGTGAATCTCTGCCTCACCGCATCGCTTTGGACGCAAACAAACCCCATAATTCATTTCGTCAAATTTCATTTTCCAGCATGTGCCGGGCTCCTCCCTCTCGAATGGCATGGGCATCACATCACCACATTTGACAGGCAAAATGTAGCGTGGCACCCTGGGCGGTTGGGGCTCCCCAGGTAGGCAAGTCACCCTCGTGGCTTTTTTGTGAGGGTGGGCAGCAGTTTCTCCCACAGAGTTCTCGCAAGCTTCCGTGCATTGGGGATTGGCCGCGAGTTGCGCCGTCAGGGTACAGTAAGCTAGGTGGGTTGTAGTTTGTGCCATCTCCGAGGAGGACACTGCATGTTACGCAGTCAAGAGGCAAGGCAAGATTGAGAAGCGCCGCGAACGAGTGATCAAATAGTCAAATAGCGACGGGCATTGCTCCTCTCTTTCTCAGAGTCTCGGCGTGAGGTCTTCGTGGTGGTCTACCGCTTCGGGCCGGGCTTCCTGCAGAAGGGCGACAGGGAACCAGCGATCTATGGTGTGGGACTTGTTTGGTTGAAGACCAGGGGGATTTGTGCCTCTAGTCAACCACTAGTGGTAGAGGAAGCAGACTGTAGAAACGCCCTGCCGACCAAGGTTGCATCCCGCCATGGAGTGAATCTTTTGGGCTGTATTGGGTGGTATCTGGCCGTTGATGGTGACGAATTAGTGCCCGCAGAAGAGCAGTGAGACGGGCGAGGTGATGAAGTGAATGCCGCGTTGAGTTTGGATCAGGATGGTTGATCTCATGGGTAGTCCGCCAGATATGCCAACCTACGTGCGCAGAGACGGGCGTTCAAGCGCCAGGAGGTTAGAACAAGGTGATGTTATGGCTGATGTGCGCTATGGCCCAGGGTGGGTGAGGCGACGAAGTGGCGTGGGATGGACGGGACGGGATGAGGGAGATGAGATTGACCTTTGATACTGAACGGGCGAGAATAGGGATCCCATGTACGGAAAAAGATGAGAGAGTTTGGTCGCAGAGATGGCATACGTACGCGTAGGGCGCTTAGACTCAAATCTCACTATCTGACTGGAAAAGAGCAACGGCGAACGGTTGAAGAGCCGGGATATGATTTGATTTGATTTCTGACTTTGACTCGACTGGCTGCCCGATTTGCGTCTCCTGTCTCCTCGTCCCTGGCCGACTTGCTCGCGAAGGTCTGAGTGCCCTGCCTTGCCTTACCTTGCCCTGGCGATCCCTCTCTGCTGCACTCATCAGACACTCATCAACACGAAGCCTGCCTGCGTTTTGTATGCTTCGTCTGTCTCCGAACCAGGCCATGCCATGCCAGGCCATGTCTGCCCCGGTCCTGATCACCTCTTTCTCCCCTGCAGTTCATCCTTGCTCTTGAGTGCAACGGACAGGCCCCGGAGAGATGCCGTTCTCATGTTCCTTTTAGTGCAGCAAGCTTAGGTCGCAGTCTAGATTCTCTCCTGCACATGCAACCCATCCCTCTTTGCTGTAGCCAGTAACACCAGCGCCAGCCACAGCCTAACCGCCCCGTTCTTTTCCCTGTCCCCTCTTCGCTACATGCACATCGGACTTTTGAGAGGGGGTTCTCGAACAATTTTTTTTTTCTTCCTCTCCGCCATGTCAATCAACAACCCCCGTATGGCTGATTTTCATGTGCCCCAGGCGGCACACATCCACCACGTCCCACGCTTCATGGCGGCCCATCCATGGCAATCATGGCATCCAAGCTCCCACTCTTCTGGGGGTAGGTGCTCCGACCGGGATGTGAAAGTGATTTGATGGCGTCAGGTCCTGGCAGCAAGTAGCAGGCCAGCCCAAGAGAAGAAAAAGAAGGGCGTCGTGGTCATTCCATACATTTCAAGGATCAGTCCAACAGGTCGCAAATCCCACGCCCAAGTACCTTACAATTCCCGTCGAGAAAAGACCGGCCGAGTCTCCGCGGCCGGTCACTGTCACTGTCACTGCTCCTCCCGACTCTTGACTCCCTTCATGAGCCCAGCCGTCCCTTCTTCTTTTTCTTCCCATCCCCCCCCTTAATCTTGATGTTAGCCCTTGCCATTCTCGTCCGGTCTTGTCCTGCGGACTCAGCCAAGCCTTCTTTGTCTTCCTTGTGTCGGTCCCTTTATCTGCACGCCGAGCATTGAAACCAAACCGGCTTCCCTTGTCCTCCACCTCGGCCACTTTCTCCCGACTACCAACAACACCATCAACCAATTCCTACCTTACCCCAAGGAAGACAAAACCAAGGCATCCGCTACCCTTTGACCCATTCGACGTACGCCAGACCAACATTGCCCGTGTCTGAGACACATTCAGGACATCGCCCCTTCTTTCCTCATTACCTCTCTTCGCGGGAATTTTGAAGCCTTTCCACGTGCGCTGTCACCCGCCAAAGACATACAATCACCTTTTGGGCAGTACAAAGCCCACTAGTACCGCCACCAACTTTCAATACGCTAGAAGGAGAACAGCAAACACAAGTTTAGGTCAAGACCATATCCTCAACAGAAGAAACGCTGCTACTTTGATCAATAGCCGTCTTAGAATTCTTGACCATCTAGAAATTCTGGACAGGCTTGCCGCAACACGTCCATGGGGGAAGACGTAGACGCCGTAGCCGGAGACCCCGGTGTCGGCAATAGCACCGGACGCAGGGGCGACCCTCCCGGCGCACCCAGAGACCGGGACGACCACAAGAACCGGAGGCGGCATTCCCGGGCAGCTCAGAGGCACACCACGGATCGCCACGAAGGCGACGACGGCAATGATGATGATAGCGACGACTCGGACGCTGGCTCAGATTACAGTTCCGTTTCAGTGGACGAACTCCCACCTATCCGCTCCTACGGCCACACTTACCACGGGTCCGGTGTTCTTCTCATGCCCAACGATGAATCTGAACGTGCCCGCCTGGAAATTCAACACCAGCTGTTCAAACTCTGTTTGGAAGGCAGTCTTACGGCTACCAAGCTTCCCAAGGACCAGCCCCTGAACATCCTTGATATTGGCTCAGGGACGGGAAATTGGGCGATTGAGATGGCGCAGCAGTACCCTCAGGCCAAGATTATGGGTGTCGACTTGTCAGCGGCACTGTTGCCGACCAACGTTCCCTCGAACGTCGTTTTTGAGGTGGAAGACGCGACAGATCCATGGGATAGGGGAAAGAACAGCCTTGACTTCGTGCACATGCGCAACCTTGTGGGCGGCGGCGTCCCGGAGTGGAAGCCCCTTTTCGAACAGGCGTACGAGCATCTCAAACCCGGCGGCATGATCGAGTTTGCGGAGGTGCGGCCGCGGTACTTTGATCTCATCGACAGCAGCTCGGACGAGCCCTCGGCACCGACCAACGAGGAGGAAAAGAATGGCCCTATGGCAGGCTGTCGCGAGTTCGAATTGCGATTTGCGCAGATGGCACAGATTGCGGGCGTGGATTTTGATCCGATACCCAAGATCCCCAGCATCTTGACGGATGTGGGATTTGAGAAGGTTGGCCGTTGGTCGGACTTGGTGCCGATACAAGCCGTTGGTCACGACGAGAAGATGGTAAGGAAAGGGGCCCAATTTGCCCAGATGCTCGAATATGGTAGGTTCTCCTTCTGATTGGCAGGTCACACGCAGTCACTGACGGACAGGAGGCCTGGAAAACTACTCGTTGGCCGTATTCGCGAAAGGAGGTTGGGACGAGAATGATACCCGGGCCCTCTTGCAGAGAGTCCACAAAGAGTCGCGGGACCCGGCGAACGAGGCTTACGGAAAAGTGTAAGCTGCATTCGATAACTCTTTCCTAGTCTCCATCTCGCTAATACATCATCCAGATCTTTTGTCACTGCGAGGAAGCCGATGCAATGATGTTTTTGGGGGATGCTCTGTTTCCAACGGTTCTGGACAACCGTTCAGGAACGTAAATACTATCTACAATATGATCGATATCCCAACATGTGCCAACACACGACAGATGAAGTGAAAAGCAAGTCAACAATGGGTGACTTGCCTCACACCAGGACTAGATGGTCCTGGCGAGTCGCATCCTGCGCCTCCATATCCCCCGCCATCAGCATTTGCCGACATGATAGTTTCGATCGGCCTTTGAAGACCCGAGCAGGCTCGGGCTTTCTTCGGCGGCAGCCGACGTTGCATTAGGTCTCTCCATTTGCTTGAATCTCAGCGGCGTCTCCTTGTTTTTGACATGCATAAAGACGCGTCCAGCCAGAGCTCACAACAATTTGCCGAATATCAACCCGTTGCAGAAATCCCCCGAGTGGCCATGATCCCTGAAATGTTTCAACCTTGCCTGCGGCTACTGCATGGTCCAGGAGGGTAGGTTAAATGCCCTTAACACCTTGTTTTAGCCCCCTCCTCTACGATTGAAAGAGCAAAAGTTTTCGCCCCCAAGCACATCAGTAGCTTTTCATTGGAGAGCGTGGTGATTAAACCGTAGCTTGCATTGCACATTTGCCGTAGTGGTTCGACAGAGGCAGTGTAGCTGTCGGACAGTCCCCGAACAACACACATGGCATTTGTCGATCCCGCTAGGCGCTCTGGGATGCATATTACGAAAGGGTGGGAAGGGATTACCATGTTTGGAAGGAGGGGCTTGACCGAGAAACTGACAGTGATACGGAGGGGTCGGAGGGAATTGGACGAAGAGGTGTCAGCTCCCGGCTCTTTTCCGCCCGAAAGATCTACCGCGGTGTGGAGGACCTGTTGCCGGGGGGAGTTCCGCCGCCGACGGCTTATCCCGAGCCGCTTGAACGGCCGCCGTTTTGGCGGTGCTGAGTTGAAACCTCTCGTTACCGTGTAGGCTTGATTGGCGGTCGTGATACGTTGCATGGCCGGTTTCTGTCTTCGAGTTGCGAGAGGGCCCTTGTCCCAATCGGCGTCATCTACAGTAAACTTACGCGTCAACTATGATGGAACTACTACTGCACGATCCCCGTTCTGAGGATGAAGGCTGCCTGACTTGAATCACAACTCTCGACTTAAGCTTTTCCATTCAAGCCAAGAGCGCTCAATATCGCACATACATTCACAAGCACCCAATTCAATCAACAACGTCGTCGCATTTGCAAGACTTATCCTACCTTACGCCGTTGACCTGGGTGGCAGGAGCGCCCTCCGTAAGGACGTAATCCCGTACAGCACCCTTCCAGTCGCTGATTCTCATCTCCTTGATGGTGACCACAATAACTCTCACCTCCTCTCCCGCAACAAAGCATCCCCTGCCGCCGTCCTCAGCCTGCACGCTGGGGTTGAATGTCTGGCCCTCGTCGAAGGTGTTGTTCTCGAGATGCGCCTCGCGGTAGAACTTCTCCTCGTCGGAGCCGTTGTCGACTAGTCTCGCAGTACCGTTGATGGTGGCGCTGATGCTAGACACCGCGGCGGTGTTGAGGTTGAGAAGCAGGGAGGCAAGGCTGGAGCGGTGCTCGGGACCGGGGCTGCCGCCGGAGGGACGTCGACCGTGAGTTGGGGGGCGGTGAGAAGACCCTACGTAACATCAGCAATCGTCGCAATTGGTTTGTGGTAGGCATGAGCCCATACAGTCGTGAACGAGCAGCGAGACGTTAGGGTTTGAGAGAAGGTTATGCGTCTTTCTTGAAGCCGGGTTCGTCGTCATGACGATAACGGGGCCGGTCGAGTAGGTGGACGACGGGAGATAGGTATAGTTCATGAGGGAGACGTTGGGAATGTTGTCTGTGCATGTCGCAAGGTGAAGCTATGTGTGCACAACTCAATCAGCAGATGTTCTCGCGACTGGCAGCTCTGAACAGCTTCATCGAAGTAACGGAGGGGCAGCTTCGAGCTTACGAATCGGGCATTCTCCAGGCATTGGACGACCTCCTGAGGGAGAGTGTCGGTGACCTGCTTGTTGGTGTCGCCGGCCGAGGCCTCGTAGTTGAGGGGCACTTGTTGCTCCATATCGACGTTGTGGTGCTGGTCGTGATTGATGCTATCGTGAGCTGGCGCCTAGTGAAGCCCTGCGAGATTGATCGGCTGGGCTGGAAAGATGGGCAGAGAATGGCCCTCGGGCGCTGACTAATGCGGGGCAGACTCAGGCCCTGGATTGGGTCCCAAACGGGATGACGTAGGATACTCGTCCCTTATCTTATCAGCGCGTCGATGCTTCCTTCATCTGTTCTGTTGCCAGAGTAGCTGCATTCTTCACTGATGTGTATCAAGATAATGCCAGCCAGATGAAGCACCTGACGGTTGCCATTGAGACACTAGAAGCGCACGGGATGTAGAACACGTTGGGGAGGATCAGCGATGCAGAATCTCGGCGAGCGCCCTCTCCTATTAGCGGCGAGCAACAGCCACCATCGCTCGCGAACACCATACAATCATTATAATCATTCTTGATTCAACGAGCGACACAAACTTCCACAACTCTTCCAGAACTAAGATTAAATAACTTGCCCACATAAAATACAAAATATCATAGGGAATGTCCGAATAGCTGAAGACTTCAAGATTTCGTACCTAGGTGCTAATTCAGTGTACCTTGGAACCCCGGCAGCTGCGGTCCGGGCTTTCTGGGGTCTGGGGTCGCCTTTCAGCGGCTTTCAGCGCCGCCGGCTATTGTCGGCACCGCATAGACAAGCGCTACCAACCGAAGCTCCTTCAACACCTCGGTCTTGGTCTTGGTCTTGGGTCTGGTGCGTGCCGACTCCCATTGTTTAGCTGCCTCGCAATTCCTTCAACCTCCGTCTTCAGGTCCTTACACTATCTTTCCAAGATAATCAATTGACTGTCGGATTCAAGAATTCAGGAACCAGCCAACAGCCGCCCATCATGCGCTCGATGAAAGCGAAGCATCGGCTCGTCCGACCCCTCCCTCGTCTGCTCTCCTCTGCGGCCGGCCAGTCGATCCCAGCCTCGAGCCAAATTACTCCCATCACCTCCCTCCTGATCGCCAACCGCGGCGAGATTGCCCTGCGAATCCACAAAACAGCAGACAGACTCGGCATCCGGACGACGACCTTGTACACGGATCCCGACAGCTCCAGCCAGCACGCTGCCTGTTCCCCGCATTCCCTTGCTCTAGGTGAGCCGAGGGCGTACCTCGACGGCGAGCGCATCATCTCCCTGGCCAAGAAACACGGCATCCAGGCCTTGCATCCCGGATACGGATTTCTGTCCGAAAACTCCAGATTTGCAGAACGATGCGAGCAGGAGGGCATTGTCTTCGTTGGCCCGCCGGCTCAGGCCATGGCGGATATGGGTGATAAAGCGCGGAGCAAGGAGATCATGACAGCAGCAGGTGTTCCTTGCGTGCCCGGATACCATGGCTCGGAGCAGGGAGAAGATCAGCTTTTACAGCATGCCAAGAACATCAAGTTCCCTGTACTGCTGAAGAGTGTCAAGGGTGGTGGTGGCAAGGGTATGCGCATCGTCCTGACCGAAGACGAGTTTGCTGCCCAGCTTCGTAGTGCCAGAGCTGAGGCACGGGCATCATTCGGTGAAGGCGGCGAGGTCATGCTGGTCGAGAAGTACATCGTGCGACCCCGCCATGTCGAGGTGCAGGTGTTTGCCGACAAGCTGGGCAACTGTGTTGCCTTGGGAGAGCGCGATTGTAGTGTTCAGAGACGACACCAGAAGATCCTCGAGGAATCTCCCGCGCCAGACCTGGATGATGCGACGCGCCTAGACCTGTGGGAGAAGGCAAGGAAAGCTGCGCTGGCGGTCAACTATGTTGGCGCCGGCACCGTCGAGTTCATTTTGGACAGAGACTCCGGTGAATTCTATTTCATGGAGATGAACACACGTCTTCAGGTCGAGCATCCTGTTAGCGAGATGGTCACTGGTACCGATCTTGTTGAGTGGCAGTTCCGCGTCGCCGCCGGCGAGAAGTTGCCCCTGACACAGGAAGAAATTATGGAAAATATCAAGCAACATGGTGCCGCCATTGAGGCTCGCATCTATGCCGAGAACCCCGAGAAAGGATTTATGCCCGACTCTGGAAATTTGATTCACCTCACAACACCCAAGACGAGCGAGGACATCCGCATCGATGCTGGATTTGTCCAGGGAGACACCGTTTCGGAGGCTTACGATGGCATGATCGCCAAACTCATCGTCCGGGGCAAGGACAGAGAGACTGCCATTCGCCGCATGGAGCTCGCTCTCCGTGACTACGAGGTTGTTGGCCTTAGCACAAACATCGAGTTTCTCAAGCGGCTATGTAGATCGCCGGCCTTCATTGAGGGCGATGTTGAGACAGGGTTTATCGAGAAGTGGAAAGATGAGCTCTTCAAGCCTAGGCCGATCGAGAATGAGGTATTCGTTCAGGCTGCCCTGGGTTCTCTCTCATCACAGCTTGTGAACGAGGGGCCGCACGGCGGTAGTCTGGGCTTCGGGGAAGCAAGCACATTAGGAGAACGCAAGCTTGCTTTCAAGGTCCTTGATCCATACAGCGAGCAGGAGGGGGAAATTGTCGACGTAAGCATTACACAAACAGCGCATCAGTTATTCACTGCGCGAGTTTCAAGAAAGGGAGTAGAGACGCCAGAGGTCTTTGAGAACCTTGTCAGCAAAACTCTCTCAAACACACCAACAACGAGCGCACTAACGACATATTTTCCTGCGGAGCGAGTCAAGTCTACTGTTGTGCAAAATCCTCAGAGCGAACAAGATACCAAGATCGTGGTGTTTCAACACGGCGTCAAGACGGAGCTCGCCCTCATGCCACCAACCTGGTTTGAGAAGGCCCTTGGACTCAAGGAGATTACTGCATCTGTGGTAGCACCGATGCCCTGCAAGATCCTGAAGAACGAGGTTGAGGAGGGCCAGACGGTTGCCAAGGGTGCCCCGTTGGTAGTGTAAGTTCAGTTCGCTCTCATGACCATGGAGCCGTTGAGGACTGACCCAACATCGCAGCATTGAATCAATGAAAATGGAGACGGTCATTCGATCGCCTCAAAATGGTGTGGTGAAGAAGTTGGCGCACAAGGAGGGTGTAAGTTATCCTCTACATCAACATACATGTCATTGGCTAACATCAGCTAGGATATTTGCAAAGCTGGAACGGTTCTGGTTCAATTCGAGGAAGAAGAAGCCAGGGAGACGTCTTGAAAGAGAGGTGATGTATTAAGACTCTGGCATCTTCGTAGTAGATCCGTGAGCGATTGATTTCAATAAGAATCGATACTGAGCAAATAATATTCCGACCCCATTGTCGTTTCGCATTCCTTTCTTCGTCGGTCCGGATATTGTGCTTTTAGCAGTGAATGGTTGCACTGCTGCTGGCAAGACCGCCAATCAGAAAGGTTCCAAGCCAGATCCCGCCAAGAACGGAGAGAAAGTAACCGAGATTCATCGTCATAATCGCAAGCATGCTGGAGACAGGTTAGTCGGTATTTCCGGAGTTAATAGTCAGACGAAAAGCGCTTACAGAAGGTAACCAACACCGCCAATGATGACCTCGTAGGTTGCTCTTGCCGCAGAAGCACCCGCCCTCCAACCCCTCCACCGACTGCAAATGTCTCTCCGTACTACAGCGACGCCTGCTCCAGGATCGACATCACCATGTTGCCCTAAAGCTTTGTCCGACTCGTATACAGGGTAGTTTCTCCAGAACCGCTCTTCCAAAATTGGCTTGAGCGCCAAGAGCAATCGCAGGATGCAGGCGAGACTGATGAGAAAAATGCAAGTGCCGGCGTACTGTCCCTTCGTTGTTGGCGACCAAGACATGGAGTACAGAGGACTCGTGAAGGATTCGAAAAACGTCATCGTCATATCTTCCATAGACATGGACATGCTGTCAGACATGCTGGTCGAAGTTGCCATCGCCATGGCGGTTGTGGTTGCCATATTCATGTCCATCATCGTGGGCAGTTGACTCGAGTGATCCTTTCGATGCGAGTGATGGGAAAATCGGGTCAAGGGTCGAGGTAGCAAGGTCGAATGTAGTTCGTTGGTTCTTTGTTCAATTCGGTAAAGGTGAAGACGGTGCGAAGACTGCAAAATACATCCGCGTTGGATGTTTTGCGAGTTTATGATATGGAAAAGTAACAGTGCTGCGCAATATAATGAACGTTTGCTAACAAGTTGCTGAGCAAGTTCATGCTCATGGTGGAGCAGTTCGCAAAGAGAAACTCAAGCTTTTTGTTTGATTGCATCCTGAAAATGGCAACTGCGGCTCATCAATGCTTGTTTCCGGGTGATGGGGCCGGCGCGCAATATGAGCAAGTTTTCTTGCGCTAGATAGGATGACACGGCATCCAAGTTCCGTTCTGGGGTCGAAACGGGACAGTGGGGGAACGAAACGCGAACATCGAACCCATTTCTCACGTGGCTTATGTCCAGGATTTGGTGATTGGGCCAATGATAAACCATTTTCTCAGTCAACGTAGTATCAAATGGTAGGAACCCGGTGCTTTAGTGCCGAAGGATGCTTCGTAACTCTCTCAAACTCGCTCAACACCCTGATAGTTGTAACACATGATTTTCCGGACAATGGATCAAAAAACACTCTCAATACGCGTGGTTATTTCTTTCATATCTCTCGATGCTACGTCAACAACGTGCTCGCTGTTTAGAAATTCCCGATGGCTTATTGGCACCAAAGAGCCAAGGGCCCCAGCAAATCTATCCCAGCCATTTTTATGGTTGATTCTTCCCATTAAACAGCCCCGACTCGCTGGTATTGGTGACAGCTGTTCGGCGAGTTCTTCAATCTGCACGGAATTTTTCATCATCGAAGAGGACGATCAACATGTCTCTCCCATGGCTGGACCAGCCGGTCTTGCTGCACTCAAGCCGTGACGCTGGCATGTGCTCCATGACGCCAGAACAATGCGCCTTGAAAACCTCATACTGGGTTTTCTGGTACGAAGCCGACCATCGATATGGCCTTCCAACAATCGCCTTCTTCCTCACAGCCATTCTTATCGTCGCTATCGGTAACCTAACATCAACCTACGCCCCCGAACGGATAAGACGCAACTCGTCCTGGCTGCGTTTCTTGTCTTTTGGGCGATTCATCTCTTACAAAAGTTGGCGCATGGGGTCATGGAATACGCAGTCTTTGGCAGCCTATATTCTTGGTGCCGCGGGTGCTGTATTCTTCTTAGGTACTCTTCTGACTTTACCATTCAGACGACGAAGGAGTTTGTTTGACTGACTTGGTGGGTGTTAGCCATGACTCTAGGTCCCCGACCCTACTACTGGCCAAACACTAGGCAGATCAGCTTCGGCAACTCACCACCTATTGCCACACGAGCTGGGTACATGGCACTGGCGTGTATGCCGTTCCTCTTGTAGGTGGTCTCAAGTGCGATCATGTATCCCGACAAGAAAGGCTGACAGCTGTAGCATCCTCGGCGCCAAAGCAAACCCGATTTCGACCCTTACCGGGATATCACATGAGAAGCTCAATCTATGGCACAACTGGGTTGCATGGGCCATGTTCGCTCTCGCCCTTGTTCATACATTCCCGTTCATCGTGTTTCATACCTGGAAGGGAGACATTGTGAAGTCATTCAATGATGGAGGAATATGGGTTACCGGTGTTATTGCTCTAATAGCACAGGCCTGGCTAACTTTCATGTCTATTCGTTGGATCCGGTACGTTACTGTTGCCTGGGTTGTTGAATTCTTCTGGGAGTGAAGCTAACCCGTGAACGCCACCTAAGCGACCGGTATTACGAATTCTTCAAGGCAACACATCTCTTCGCTGCTGCGGTCTTTTTCATCTTCTTCTTTATTCATTGCGACTTCCGTCTTACGTCCTGGGACTACTTCATTGCCACTGCCGTCCTTTATTCGCTCTCCTGGTTCTATTCGCAGTTCAAGACCTTTATGGAACATGGGGTCAGCCATGCACGTCTTTCCATGGCTACACAAGACTCTCTTATGGTCACCGTTGAGACCAATACGAAGTGGACCCCCGGACAACACGTGTACCTACGCTTCCTAACATGCGGCCTCCATGCACTCACCGCGCACCCGTTTACTATCTCTTCGGTTCCTCAGCGTGGTAAACGCAGTCAAATGGTCTTTTACTTGCAACCCAGAGGCGGAATAACTGGTAGATTGGCAAAGCTTGCAGAGAAATCTCCTGGCATGTCAGTACCTGTTCTTCTCGACGGACCTTACGGAGGGGTGACCAGCAGATGGTTCAAAGGCTTTGACAGAACACTGGTTGTTGCTGGTGGAGCCGGTGCTGGATTCTCATTGCCAATGATTGAACACTTCATGGAAAGACATTACGTCGGATCGGAACTCGAGGTGGTTGTGGTTTCAAGAGATCCTGGCTTCCGAGAGTGGTACTGCCAAGCTTTGAACGATATTGCCGAACGGCATGCTGCGACGGAAGACATCAAGGCGATGCGTGTGGTTGTCAAGGTTCATGAGACAAGCCCGTCAAGCCAAACTTTACCCTCCGCGTCCGAGCCCGGAACGCCAAATGATAAGGAAGTTATGGATCACTCAACGGCCGTCTCGACGACAGGAAGTGTTACTACGGGTCCGATCAATATTCAAACCCTGGCAGGACGGCCGAGCATTCCATTGATTGCGCAAGCAACAACCGAGAAGCAAGGGACAGTGGGCATGGTCGTCTGTGGACCATCCTCTATGGTCTTTGATTTAAGGCAATGCGCTGCAACTGCACAGCAACGCATCATGCAAGGAAAGGCCGCAGCTGAAGAGGTCTGGTTCTATAATGAAAGCTTTTCGTAAGTGTCACATTGTATTCCACATCCGGGCGTTGACTAATCAAGAGTTGTAGGTTCTAGGATTGAGAAGGTTGGCTGGGACAACCACGGAGTTTGGGTCTTTCTTGCACATATTTATACGCGAAGGATGAGGGAAGCAATTGGTCAGCCAGAGTCAGCTGAATAGATAATATTAATGCAGACGTGTTTCACTCCGCTCAATCTGGTGTTTCTATCCGTTGGAACCTCCGTGCCTCTTCATCGTCCATGGTCGTGAAGTCGCTAAATAAAGCCACATCTTCGAATCTTTTGGCCAAATTCTCCACCTTCGCCGCCTCAGGATCAGTCATCGCTAAATCAAGATCTGCCATAAAAGTAGCTCTCACATCGCCCTTGCCGCCGGCGCCTTCGGGTTCAGTCACTTGCTTGAGCAAATGCCGTGCCTCGCTGCCAGATATGTCGCCCTCTTGGAGCGACATGGTTAATAGTCCTCGAGAGATGACTTCGGCAACCCGGTATGATGTTCTCAAACCCTCGTATCCATATATACAAGCCAGAAAATAAAGTCGCCATTCGGGATCCTCAGTGTTGTGAAGGACCGCGTTTGCGACGTATATCAAGGCCGTCTGCCAAAGTATTGTGTAGGCGGAAGACTCGTAATTGCACCGATACCTCACAACAAGTTGCTTCAACTGGTTGACAGAGGCGTTGAATGCTGCTTCAGGATAGCTGCGGCGAGCAGAAAATGTCTTGAGGCGCTGTCGTTCGCGGGCGGTGCTCTGTAGGAAGGGTCGGAAGAGGTCCAGAATGGCGGCATGGAACCAGATGCTGGTGAAAAAGCGTCAGTATCATCGTGAAAGATTTAGAATAAAGTAGGGCTCGTACTGCAAGACAACAACATGGTGAGGGGAATGATCTTTCAAGGCCTGGTCAGATGGTAGTCCTTCTATCCACGCCAGGAGCTCGCGGTATTTGAACTCCGCAAAATCGATCGACGCGTGCTCGGGTAACGAAGTCGGCTTGTCCTTATAGTAGGATAATGTGACGCCGTGAAGGATGCGCCAGAACTGGCATAATGTAGAAAAGGTGCTGCCCATGTATGGAGGAAGTGCTTCCGAAGGATCGGCACGCAGGCTACTCGATCCAGGGCTAGGAGAATCCGATCTTAAAACCCCTGGAATTGGAAGTACCGGCGGATGACCAGGGTACTCCAGCCCGGGTTGTTGATAAAATAGGGCCATGAGTCTACACTGTTAGCTGCTGGGATTAAGGCAAATCGGGGCAAAGACACACGCACACCCCCCAATTAAACACCCCCCATGCGGTGAATGAGCTTGCTCTTTGCATCTCTGGTGACAACCGTTTGATGTTGTTTATTGCTTGCGGCGCCTCGACCCCGAACAGGCACAAGCGAGTGCCCATACGCAGAGCAGTGGAAAGATATTTGAGTACGTAATGATCCTTCCCATGTCCCAAGTAAGCAAGACTCAACAGCTGGGAGCTGGCCGCGTTGAGCAGTGAATCATTTTTCTTCTGGGTTAACCACAGCCTTTCTGCTTCTTTGCAGAATGATTCTGCAAGTTCATTTGCATTCTCCTCAATGGCAGTATACATTTGCTAATTTTTCATCCATCTACTGTTAGTAACTCTTCGGCGAGTCTTAGACAGGAATTCGAGCCCCTTTTACTTACACATCCCCAATACAACAGCGAGTTAACAAGAAGAGGAGAACAGTGTGTATCTTTCTGGTCTACAAGGTCGGTAATAAACAGATTCGGGTCGAAGACGCCTAACAAAGGATGGTCTGTCATCATGTACAATGATATCACTTGTTTCGCATAGTCGTCTGTGATAGGCACGTCTGTCCAGAAGCTGATTTTAAGATGATGGAGGCGGGGATCGCATAGCTCAGGAGACGCTTGTTGGGCCGAGGCTGAATCTGAACGTCCATTCAAATGAACAGGATCATACCGACGACCGAATGAGCCGTTCACGGGCCCAATGATCGTGCTTTTGACGGACGCCAGATTGCCATGAGGCACAGGACTTAGGTCCATGTGGGATCGGTGGGAACGTCAGCCTCATACGAAGCTGTATAGCAGCAGATTGGAGCACGACGGGACATACATACTGGTGGTCTAGGGACTTTGACCGGCGGAGCCTTTTGGGACCGAGCAGGCCGGCACGTTCCAATGCCGTGAGGGACGATTTGGGTTTTGGGTAGGCGGTTGGGTTCTTGACCATCAGCTCTAGCTCCAAAGATGATTCTTTTGGCAGCTTTGATCTCATCGAGGATTGATCGGGAGGATGGGCCTTTTTGCGCACGCCGGCCTTTGCGGCAGCGAGAACCGAAGCCAGGTCATCATTGGACCTCAGTGACCAGAGTATTTGCAAGGCCTGATCCTCTGGAACACTTCGCATGAGATCGAAGAGCTCTTGGAGGACCTCGGGCGACTGTGCGGTCTTCGTTCCCTCCTTCTTTTCGACGTATATGCATTCGGTTGATCGTTTGAGACATGCCTGGCAGGCTGGACGCAATCCATCACACTACAAAATCAACGCCATGAGGGATTAGCAGCGACAATGAAGGATGAACAACAATTCCCAGCTCACGCGTGTCTTTCTTTTACGACATGGATTGCAGGCAATGTCTGTACCGACGCGTTTCCTCTTCGCCTGATCTTCGCGCGAAATGTCGAAAGGCGACAGCCCCGAACTGTCGACGGCTGGGAGCAACGGTGCTAATTTTCGCGACATGGTGCTCAAATGTTGCGATTGTCGATAAAGAGATTAGCAGACGAGGAAGCCATCGATTCCATCATGTCAATTTATCAATGAATGCCGAAGGAAGATCTGAGGTGACGAAAGAGAAGGCAGCACGGCAGAACACCAAGGTAGCAAGTTGGTCGCAGCATCTCCGCGTGCAATTGGCTCGGTGACCCGCCCGCTCACGTGATGCCCAGCGTCATAGCAAGACACGGTGTTGTTCAGCCCGATGAGATCGGGATCACGATCTGTGGTCCAGCAACTGACGCGGTTTGTGTCCACTCCGAGATATGATTGCTGGGCGACTGAGCTAGAGGCCTTGCAGCGCAGGCCTTTTGTTTGCGGATTGTCATACGAATTCAAGATGCAGAGCGCAGGCTGTGAAAATGGCCCAGCCGATTGCCAATCAATCGAGCATTTCAAGCCCCTTGCGACATGATGTCATTTCAGTCGCTCCGCTCCCGATTGCCTGGTTCACATGTAGGACGAGAGGCTTGTGGAGAGACCGTTGCACCGTCGACGGATGCATTTCACACAATTCAGGTGAAATCAGAATCGAATGAATCGAACGAGTATGGATAAGTATGAAAGGCAAAACCCCAAAGAACAAGGCGGAATGTGCACAAGTACGCAGACGTCGCCACGAATCCATCGTACTCGGGCCGTGTCTTACGCTTCTTCACCGCCTCCGCGCCTAGTCACGTCACCTCACTGGCACAAGAGGTAATCCCACATGACACCCGGACCCGACTTCACCGAGACTCACTCACCAAAAGCCGCGACCTCCCCCACATTCCACCAGTATTTTGATCCAACTGGCAGCACGACACGCTTCGACTCGGACTCGCCCCAGCCAATTGCTTCTCAACCAGCGGATCTTCAACAATAGCCACGGCAATATGAGCTGAATCATATATTTTTCTCATGCGAAACGCCAACTTACAATGGATATCCTTGTCACCCAAAACCTGCGGCGATAGCTCCCAGTCGTACACTGGCCTGGCCTGGCCTGGCCTGGCTGAGCCTGGGGTGACACCTTCCAGCTTCACCATGCTGAATCCCCGCGTTTTGCTAGCGGCGCTAAAGGACGATCGCCCGTAGCCTATTGCCCGCCGCACCATGGGGCTTTTAGGTCCCGCAGCTGAAAGGATGCGAAAATGTTTCAACAAGAGGGGCAGATCAGGGAAAGCCAGCAAACACGATGCGCGGGGGCTAATCGAAAGCTGACTGATGCGCAAAGATCAATACCTGGCTGCTTGGCATAGCCAAGTCTTTTAGTGCCCGTGAATACAGATCAAGGGACATCCAACGTTCGGTGCAGCCATGCCGTGTAGCGTTCCTCTGCGCCCCTGAGGCTGTCTAGAAGTGTTCCACTGTATTTGCCGTGGTAGCAATTGATTCTGCATTGTCTAATGGCACCAGTAAAATCGACCCTCCAGCGAGGCAACTCGCTCAGACATCGGGGCGCAGCAAGAGCACACCTTTCCCATCCTCAAAGTGAACATCCCAGCCGACTCTCTTTTTGCTGCGGATACATGGGCAAGGGACCAGCCTACATAACGTAGTATTCCAGCCCCTAGCTGCTGAAAGCTTTTATGCTCGATCAAAGTCTCGGATGATATCGATGTCGCAATGCTGTCACTCGTCTCCCGCAATAGCTGAGTTTGAGATCAGTCACCCAGGCTGCTACCCGCAAGATCCAATTGGCCCTGCTTAGGATAACTTGCAAACCCTGGAGGATCTCAGCCAAACGGCGTTCTTCGGCGTTCTGGAGTTCGTTCGGGACGCACCCTCGCACGTACCAGCCAAAGCTGAGTTAATCTGTCCACGTTGCGCAGGACGCAACTTCCTGGGCAATTGAGATCAAAAAGCTTTGGCTGATAATTAAGAATGAGGCTGATGACAGATGCTCTCGCGCAAACGCAAAGTCACTGAACGCAGCAGCCACGTTCAGGTGGAAGTGAAATGAAGGCTTCTCTTTTCTAGTACAGTCATGCTAGATGAAGGACTATGAGGTTTGAAAAAGTTTCATTTTGCTTCCCGTCTTGTCTAGTATCTAGTCCACTGCTTGCTATGCCACTCTGCTTGTCAATCTTGGGCAGACAATCGTAATCCACTTGCCGACAAACTGTCCTATTTTCGGTGTTGTCATGTATCAAAACTGCCCGATGGTACCTCACGGGAGCCCTCGCCCATTCTTTTTCAAACGTATTTGTGTGCCGTTCAACTGGCACCTGTTTACTGGACGAATCTTTTATTGATTGCCGAGAATGTCCAAAAATAATGATGTTGATCCCGTCTCAAGTTGTTCGGGCAGGTAATATGGCCCCAAGCACTAGGGCATCCCACTCGGAAGTAAGACTTCCAGCAACAACCAACAACAACAACGGTCGTACCTTGACATCATTGATTCACACCAGCTGAAAGATGCCCCGCCATGTTTGCAGTGCTCCCGTTCCGACATGTTTCTTTGGCGTGGACCTCTCGAAGAAGTGGGCGCAGTGTCCCGCTATCTTACCTCATGGCCGGGGCACCCTGTTTCATCTGAAGCTTGAACCAGTTAAGCCCTCTCTCCCGAGTCAGAGTCATCCTGTATAGTACCGCGGCTTATACCGTTCGGTTGCCCCCGTGCAGGGGATACCCAAACTACCTGGGCGTTTTATCGATTGATCTCTGTTAAGAGCTAGTCCAAAGCGATCACCCATGAGCAGGTAATATCGACAGTATAGGAACACCGGATAAAATATCTCGAATAGACCAAGTGCCGAGACCTGACACAGGATTCGGAGACGGATCTGATTCGGAGCTAGATGACGAAGATCCCGCGGTTGGTATTCCTTTCTCTCGCGCGACCTAAGTCTCATTTGTTGTCAGAAATAAGTTAAGGGCGACATCTGTCTAAGGCAGGTTGCAGACCAATGATAGGGCAGATGAGCCAAGTTAGACGCTCACAACTTGTTATTTTAATCTTGCAGCGTAGGAACGACGTCGAGAACGGGGGATGCCCTTGCCGGCGGTTCGCCGCAGCTGGCACTCTAAAGTCTAATGCATGAGATCAGTCATCCCAATGCGCTACCCTTCTAGGAAGTCGTTCTCGGCTTCTATCAGCCAAGTCAGCGTGTCTGATCGCGCGGCAAGAAACCCGCCTTGAGACAGGAGATCAGATAAAGAGGATCTACGCCACGGCGCAAAGATAGCGTACAGAGTTTCCCCAGGCGCTTGAACAACTACTCATATCATTTCTATGGCCCTTGAAAATTTGAATCCTTTGTGCAGAGTCTCAGTTGAACCTCAACATGAAATTTATTGAAAAGGCCAAGTCTGATTTCGAGACAGACAGTACCATTAACACCATAAGGAGAAAGGCTGGCGCCGCATTGCCCCGGATTCCTTCAGCAACTGGCCAATACCTCATCGAGAAAGTCCCAATTGTACAATGGGTTACTCAATATGACCCGAAATGGATTCTATCAGATTTCATTGCTGGTATGACCATCGGGGTCATGATGATCCCCCAAGCGCTTGCATACGCCAAGATTGCCACCATCCCTGGAGAGTTCGGTCTATACTCTAGTTGGCTTCCTGCAGCGATATACGTGTTCATGGGCACATCAAAGGGTAAGGCCAAACGCGCCCCCTAGCTTCTATCTGAGCTAACAGGTTCATATGACAGATCTATCCACGGGGCCAACGTCTATCATGGGCCTGCTCACTGCAGAAATCATCGGAGATCTCACGTCAGAAGGCTTCGCACCTGAGGACATTTCATCCGCTGTGGCCTTGATGGTTGGTATATACTCCCTAATGGTGGGACTGCTGAAGCTTGGGTTTGTTCTCGATTACATTTCAGTTCCAGTCCTGTCTGGATTCCTATCAGCTGCGGCTCTCACCATTCTTCTCGGCCAAGTCGGATCTCTGGTTGGCCTCAGCGATGTCCCGTCCGGTACTGCCAGCATCATCAATAACGTGTTCAGTCGCATCCCTGAGATGGAACCTCTCACCATAGCCATTGGATTCAGCGGCATTATACTGCTCTACGCTTTGGAGTTCATTGGCAAGCGTTGGGGAAAGAAGAGTGCTGTTCTCAAATTCATCTGCAGCAGCCGTGCCGTCATTATTCTTTTCATCTTTACGACGATCAGTTTCGTCGTGAACAAAGATAAGAAGACACCTCTCTGGGCAATCAGCAAAGTTAAGGCAAATGGGCTTCGAGCACCGAGGATGCCCGCCACCGACTTGGTTTCCAAGGTCACGACACGAGCAATCGCACCCCTAGTAGCCTCGGCTCTAGAGCATTTGGCGATTGGAAAGGCATTTGGGCGGAAGAACAACTATGCCATTGATGAAAGCCAGGAACTATGCTACCTTGGGGTAACAAACACAATCAACAGCCTGTTCGGTGCTATGAGCGTCGGAGGAGCCATGTCAAGAACGGCAGTGAACTCGGAATGTGGAGTTAAGAGCCCTATGAGTGGTGCTTTTACTGCTGGCTTTATTCTCTTGACGCTTTACAAGCTGTCTGGGGCACTATTCTGGATTCCGAAGACGACTCTATCCGCAATCATTGTATGTGGGTCCCTCTTTTCTGTTCCACTGGGAGCCTGCTAACAAGAAGCGCTATAGATTATGGCTGTCATTCATATCATCGGTCCGGTGTCCCTATTTTATAGATATTGGCGCATGTCCTTTCCTGACTTCGTCGCCTCTATGTTGTCATTCTGGGTTACTCTATTTGTTTCCACCGAAATGGGCATTGCGTTCGCGGTCGTATTCAGTATCGGGTACACCCTTGTTCGATCAGCTTTCCCGAAAGTCAAGACATTCTCCCCGACGAGTGGTAAGAGCAACATGGTCCCGCGAACTATGACAGCACCAGCGTCAGCTCCCGATGATGCCTTTGTACCCGACGACGCTATGCTTATCAGCTTTACCGACTCCATCTTCTTCCCCAACGCAGGCCGTGTTAAGAAGTCCGTCATTGAGTCTGTCAAAGTTCAATTTGAACCGAGGATGACGGCTGAGCAACAAGGGAAAACGTCATCCGATAGGTCATGGAGTGTTGCATCGGCCAAGCGCATTGAGATGCTGCGGAAGCGTAACAATGTGGTACCGTCGAACAAGCAGATGACGGTGATGGTGTGGGACCTCACGCATGTGCCCTTTGTTGACGTTACCGGAGTTCAAACACTGGCGGAGTTGAAAGAGGAGGTAAAACAATACGTGGGAAAGCAAATGGCTTTGCGCATTGTTGGTATGAACAACAAGGCTCGTCGACGGTTTGCTCGGGCCGGGTGGAAGCTTGTTGAGGATCGTGAGGTCAATGACGAAGCGCTAGAGGATGTCGACGTTGTGTATGAAAGACTTGAGACCGCCTTGTGGGACAGGAATTACACAAGCGAGAGGGAGAAAGCGTCATTGGAAGAAAGAGAGTACTACAACCAGCGGGAATAGTGCTACTATTGCGGGGTCTAGCAGGAGCGGTCTGTGACCGCATATGAAGAGCAACTCTCTTCACCTGCAGCATTTCCTTTTTATGTGTCAGCTCTCATTGGCTTGGGTCTGTATCAATTTCATTGCAGGGTTTACGTTGGATATCACGAAGGCCCTGGAGGCTATTGAGCGTATTAGCGAAAGCATTCATGGGGCAAATAGTACGATAAAGAAAACCGTAAAACAGAGATATACTCACATTTCGTCACGTTGACAGGAGTAGAATGTCATCAGCGTCATCGTACCTTCTAGTTAACGTTTGATCATGTGCGCAAAGTGACCCATCAGCCGCGTTGATCAATCGGATATTTTGTTTATTACCAATGACAACAATAGTAGTACAGTTCTATGTCATTATAATTCGTGACAAGTTATACATGTTGTAGTTGCGCGGCTTCTGCCTCATTACGCCGCATCATTCTCTTGCCTAGCCTCTCTTGCAGAGTTCTCACAGCAGTAGCCCTTGCTGTTCGTGGTGTTTCTGGTGAAGGCGGCCTTTGCTCCCCATCAGTTGGCAGTTGTTGCTGGTTTCTTCGGCCAAGTCTCTCCTGCAAAGTCTTGACTGCCGCTGCTCTCACAGTCCGAGGTGTATTAGGGGTCCCTGGCGTACTAGGGGAAGAGGATGTCTCTCCTCCCACCGAGCGGCGTGTCACTGACAGCACCAATTGTTGCTGCTGTTGCTGCTGCTGATTCTTCATGGCTCGCAGCCGTTTTGCCACCTTAGATTGCATTCTTGCAGCTGCAGAAGTTCGAGGTCGAGAGAAATTGTGAACATCAGATCTTCCTGATCTTGCAGACCTAATCGTCATTGCTGGACTCGTAGGACGGGTTTCTTGTGATATTGTAGAAACGTATCGGCTGGACGGGCGGTAAGTTTGCGAAAGTGACCGGCTGTCCGTCCTGTACGTCTGACGCCGCTTGTCGCTAACATTGGAAAGCCGACGGCGTCTGCGCCCTTCATTTGGCAGTACATCGCTGTCAGGTCGAATACTATTCGTGTTCGTTTTCTTTACTTCGTTCATAGTGCTCGCGATGACCAGAGATGAGACAGTGGCGATGGGTGGAAGTGACGGAGGTTCATCACGTATTGTGAAACCAGTCCGAGAGGTCATGGATGATCGCCCCGTTCTCGACGTGTGTGAGCTCGAAGGTCGGCTGTTCTGATGCATTCTCAAGCGGTAATTTGCCTCCCAATCTCCGTCTCTTGTTGAAGGTCTCCTTCCTAGCATCCTGTGCTCATCCTCCATTGTCATAAGAGGTGTATGGGGCCTTTTGAAGGGAACATCCAAGAAGCGACCATCAAATGGAGGGGACTGCATGCCAATTGCTGTCCATCGCCTCAAATAGTACTTCTGCTGTTGGTCAAGCAGCAAGGCTTGACTGCAAGGAGAATAATGGGCTTGGCGGGGCATGGATGGAAGAATGACATCGTCAGATGGCGCAGAGGCGCTGGTTGAAATATCCGACGCCGTTTGATAAAGACTGACTCGATCTCTCCATGCGCCGAGGTCCTCAAATGTCACAGCTCCAGCGGCACGTGGAGTTCCCTCTCTCGTCGGTGGTTTCCATGCGAATGCGGTATGCAAACCGGGCGAGTCTGGCAGCCGAGGTTCCGGGCTGTCGCCGAACACAGCGTTAAGTGGAGTCGGCATGGACATACTCCTTGCATGGCGTCTGGGCAATTTGGTTAGGCTTCCGCGTCAAAATGGCTGATCAAGCAACTTACAGGGTTCGGTGTTGTTCTTGTTCCTGCTGCTGACGTTGGCGCTGTAGCTGAGCTTCGTAAGGATTCTTCTTCGTCAACGTCTTTCGTTTCCGCTTTTCAGGCTTTTTCTCCTTCTTTTCCTGGATAGTTGAGAGCATCTTCCTTGCTTTGATCTGCTTGGCATTTGGCGGCAACTTGACATCTTTCACCATAGATACAACTTCAACAAGCCCATAGTCAATGTCTTCCTCGTCTGGGGCAGTGAATGGATGATCTCCACGAACGAACCAAGACTGTGAGAGGCCTATCGTTGCGAATGGTCTTTCAGCCATCTCAATGACTGCAAGCATTGCAATCAATGACAGTCTGCCTTTCTGTTAGCACAGATATTCCATATGAGTGGATCGAGAACGGTCGTGGTGACTTACAGAGAAGCCACACTGATTATGACATTCAGCCATGGTAGGTTCTCCTGGATTCCTTTCGACACGTCCAATCCAATGTTTACCGCAACAATTATCGCAAGGGTAACTGCCGCAACCCAAACCGGAAGGCCCAGTCGAGCCAGTAAGAACGCCAAGCCTGCAACGTATTTCCCATACGCCTTTGGAGATCCATTATTTTTGATGTAAGCAGTTCTGGCAGCGATGATGTGTGTGAGCACGTATGCAAGACTCATACAAGAGGCGACGAAGAAAACAGCTCGGCTCAAAGGATCCAGAACTTCAATCGATTCGAAGTTCCGAAACAGTACCACTGCAGACAGAGCAATACCAGCTCCAGCAGAAAGGAACAAAAGAATTACCGAAATCAGCGACAGGACGGGATAAATTCGCGCGGCCGTTTGCGGGGGAGGAGGGTTCGGCGACGATCTTGGCGACAGCACTGGAATCGTCGCAGCTTCATAATTCCGGCTCATTAGTAGACTGATCCCATTCAATTATGCCGAGGGCTTCTCGTCTCTCGAGGATGATGCGATCGTAAAATTGTTCTAGAGGTGGGACGCAGGCATTCGAGGTCGATCAATTACTTGGGGAGAGCGCGCAATTAGGGCTGACCAGCAGGCATTGGAGAACGCGAGTCACCCGTCGTGCCAACTTCGCCCAGTCTGCATCGGTCTTTGTATGGTTCCCCGAGTAATTCGTGCGTGAGGTTTGATGATGAAGGTGTCAAAGAGCGGACGAGAGGGGTTTTGTTCCCACACACTGAAATCTCTGGGCGGACACTCGCCTGGGCGTCTGGAGTGGGCATGACGTGTCCCCTCATTCGTACTCGAGGATCGCTGGCTCAATCCGATGTTGATGAGGTTCCATCCCCCGGCAATCTAGCCGGCGCATGGATGATGACTGAGTTTCTTTGTGTGGGATCAGTTCTCATCTGATGTCTGGACCGGCATGTGAAACGAATGCGGCGGAGAGAGGGGCCAAAACTCAGCTTCAGCAAATCGGCAGCGCATGGACAAAGGTTTGTTTCGGGTAGTCGGATCGAAATCTGTGACGGATGATTTGATAAAAAGGTGAGCGGCTCTCTTAGTTCTTCCGTCTCACGGACGGGTCCGCGTCTATTGGTAGGGCCGTTGGTGAGACGAACTTCGAGTTCATAACACTGGCCATTCCTTGGCCTTGATTTCACTTGCAGTTTATGACCTCTGAGTTACAGCTTTGACATGCACTGCATTTGGACTCGTAATAACCGAGGAAACGGCGTGCGCGGTTGCGCTTCGGGTTCGCAGAGCAGAAATTGACGCTCGTCATGTAAGGCAAGAACCCAACCAAGGAATTACAAGTTGGCGCTGCGAAACAAACAATGGAAGCCAGAATGAAGAAGCATGAAAACTCTCTTTCAAATTTTAGGAAGATTCGACCATCCATGACGTTGGGCTTGATGATCTCCCTCCCCCTTTTCCACTTGGCAGACAACGTTTCACTGTGGATGGACCCTCCCTTACACAGTTCTCGTGTCAAGCACGTGTCAGACTGTGCCCGTTACATGTATTTGCCGAGGGCACTCATCCCATCGAAGCTCTTTGTGCGTGCTCGTCCCCGTGGTTTGAGGCAGGGCCAACCTAAGGGTCCGTGACTCTTCTGGAAGTCGAATAAGTTCAGGCACCAGGGGCAGAAAGTCCCGTGCAAGACTAAGGTCTTACGCATTACCCCACGATTATTAACGCACGTTGCAATGTCTGCCATCCGTACCACCAAAGTCTAGTAATCTGGTTACTGAGATCGCCCATGAGCAATAATTTATGCTCGTCTTCTTTGCTCGAACCAATTGAAAGGCTTGGACTACTTGTCTCGGTGGGCAGCCGGGTTTACGATCACCAACTTAGCAAACCCAAACAATCATTACATGCAGAAAACATCTACAGCAAAAAGGGGAAAAAACAAACAGAAATAAGCAACAAGAAAAATAGCCATATCTTGAGCATACCTTACCCGCGTTTTGTATGCCGGAGAAATCCTCACCACTGCACACCCCCAAGCTTTAGAGGTAACCGTAGCATCCGATGCCCTGATTCCGTGGGCTTCGGGAGACGTCCAGCTCTGATGTTGGTCTGTAGTGATTGATGTAGCAGCTTTGGTTCCCCAAGACTGGCATCACGCTTTTTCCGCTGAGCCACAAACTCCTCTTCGGTGATGCCATCTCTCAAATGTTTATTCTGTGCTCGGTGTTCGTGAACTGTCATCCAAGGCACGGGATCAGCGCGACCTTCCGGTGGGTAGTCATGGCCGGTCCAAATTTTGACGTGGTCAGGCAAACTTAGAAGCCTGCGGCCCGAATAATAAAGGTTTTTGGCGCTGCCACCTGGAAAGTCACACCGAGCGGTGCCAATGTCCACGTGGAATAGAGAATCGCCACAGAAAACGTTGTCTGAAGGTGAGATCAGCAAAACCCCGAAGGACGAGAGGCCGCCGAATGATCTTACCTCCAATCTTGTAGCCCAAATGGTCAGGAGTATGGCCGGGGAGATGTAGAGCAACGGCTTGAAGGTTACCAATGCTGAAAACTTCGTCGTCTTCAAACAACGTGTCAAATGCCCCTTGACGTTCATCTTGAGGAACCCCGTATCTTTGACCGAACAGTGATTGAACCTGACCGATTCGTCTTCCGATACCGATGGTCGGCTTATGCCCATGCTCTGACTCCAAGCGATGCTGGAGGTATGACGCGGCAGTGAGATGGTCAGCATGGGCATGAGTTTCAAGAATTCGGACAACCGTGTAGTCCTGGCTTTTGGCCAATGATAGGATTTGGTCGGCAGCGACTGTGCTTATGACCTGTGTTTCTCGATCGTAGTCCAGAACTGGGTCGATTACAACAGCTTCTCGTGTCGAGGGATCAGCGACGACGTATTGCCATGTGCCGGTCTTGGTTTCGAATAGGTCGTGAATCACTGGTTGTCCCTGGGCGGGGGTTTGGGCACTACGGCCCTTGTCACCGGAAGTTGATGACTGTTTGACGCCACCCTCAGGAATAGTAGACAGTGTTCTGCGTGTGGTAATAGAATTCAACAACGCTCTGTCGCATGCGCCGGTGATTGGTGTTCGTGAAGAGTGAGGAGCGCATGATGCGTGGTATTCCAGTCGTTTCCGCAACACGCCAAGGCGTTCAACGGGTCGTATGAGGGATCGAGATGCCTGTCCGGCAGTTGAGGAAGTGAGCCGCAAATGTGGCCGGAAAGCTTTCATGATGCGTGGGACAGATGAGTTGTGGAGGAGAATTTCACAGAGCTGTTGTGTCATGAGAAATGCTGCAGCTGGTAGATGGACGGTGACGCGATTGTGGAACTTTTTATGAAGGGAGTTGGATATCGGACGACGAGCTCCACAACGTTCCGCCGCTCCGCGTGCCGGTCGGGGATCTGCAGATTCATTCGGCGACCAGCTCGCCGACCAGCCGGATGACCGGAGTGGTTCCCGAAGCACAACATCACGTCACCGTCGGGGACGTGAGGCAGTTCTCGCCGGCATTTGCGGACGGCTGTCGGCAGTCGGGGCGGCAGCTCTCCCACGTTGTGCCATTGGCCAATTGCGACAGGAATAAATGGAGATCAGCCCACCTGTCACACCGTTATGTGATCGTCGGTGCGGCGTTTTCAATTTCTCCAGGCTACTGGACCCCGGTTTTTTTTCCTACGCCGCTCAACCATCGTCGTCGTCTTGCGCCATCTTTCCAACCGCTCCTTCCGCAACCTCATCGCAAGCCAACCTCTCCTTTAGGCGCCAACAATGTTTTCGACGCGCGTGACATCCGCGGCTCGCCATGTCTGCCGTGCCGGTATGGCAGCCCGCAACGGCCCCGTGATGCGTGGTTTCGCGTCCAAGACTGCTCCCAGAGCTTCTCCCGAAAAGCCACCAGCTGAGAAGGTCTCAACTCCCCAGAAGCCGGCTGCCGCCGCAAAGGCTGCGGAGAAGGCCACCACCACTTCGGCATCAACTCCTGAGAAAACGCCGGCCCCAGCAGCATCCTCCGAGCAGACAGCTTCTGCCCCTGCTGAGAAGACCGCTGCTTCTCCTAACCAAGATAAGGCTGCGCCCGCCGCCGCCGCAGCTAGTCCCGAGAAGGCCTCCTCCGAGAAGCCCACTCCGGTGAAGGCTGCTCCCGTGGTTCCCCCTTCCCGCAGCCACAAGGTTGTCGTAGTTGGTGGCGGCAGTGCTGGTCTGGCAATTAGTCACCAACTCCTCAACACCGGAAAGTTCTCTCAGGATGACATCGCCGTCGTTGATCCTGCTACGTGTCATCACTACCAGCCCGGATGGACTCTTGTTGGCGGTGGCGTCAAGAACAAGGAGGACTTGAAGCGTCCTCTCGAGAGCTTGGTTGACCCGAAGCTCAAGCTCTACCAGCAGAGCGTCAGCACGTTCAACCCGGAAGAGAACACCATTGAGCTGGGCAATGGCGATAAGCTGGAATATGAGCAGCTTGTTGTGGCTCCTGGTATCAAGATTGATTATGGAAGCATTAAGGGTCTTCCCGAGGCCCTTGCCAACCCCAACTCGCTTGTCTCGACCATATATGGCTACGAAACTTGCGACAAAGTGTTCCGCACTATTCAGAGACTTGAAAAGGGCAATGCCATCTTCACGCAGCCTGCCGGTGTTATTAAGTGCGCCGGTGCCCCGCAGAAGGTCATGTGGCTTGCTTTGGATTTCTGGAAGCGTGCCGGCCTGTACGATCCCAGCAACACTGCATCGCCGATCAAAATTAGCTTTGCCACCGGTATCCCTGCCATGTTCGGTGTTCCAAAGTACAGCGCCAAGCTCGAAGAATTGAGGAAGGAGAGAGGAGTCGAGGGCCTTTTCCAGCATGACCTGGTTGCCGTTGATGGCAACACTGCGGTATTTGCTCGCCCTGATGGAAACCAAATTACCAAGCCGTTTGACCTGTTGCACGTGGTGCCCAAGATGGGCCCCCATGCTTTCGTCAAGAACAGCCCTCTGGCCGATGCGGCTGGTTTCGTTGAAGTCGACCAAGCTACTACCCGCCACACTAAGTACCACAATGTCTGGTCGGCTGGTGATGCCTCCAGCATGCCCACGTCCAAGACTGCGGCAGCGGTTACGTCGCAGGCCCCCGTTCTGGTGAGCAACCTGTTGCGAGCTATTGAGGGCAAGGAACCTGAGCTCAAGTACGATGGCTACACGTCGTGCCCGCTCACTACTGAGTATGGCAAGGTCCTGCTGGCCGAGTTCAAGTATGGTGGAGTGCCCAAGGAGACCTTCGGCGACTTGATTGGTTTTGATCAGGCAGTGCCTCGCCGTGCCTTCTACTACTTGAAGAGGGACTTCTTCCCATGGGTTTACTACAACAACATGGTTAAGGGTACCTGGGCCGGTCCTAGTGGTTGGTTGAACTAGACGATCTACAGAGTGTGTATACTGTAACAAAAAGTACGCAGGTCGAGAATTCAGATATGGCAATTGTGAATGGTCAACCTTGTTCCAAAGGCAAATGATCGCCCTGCTTCTCCTGTTTGTACTGAAATGGTCGTAGGCCAGGCGGCCGAGAGCTATGCGATACAGCGGCGCGCACGCGCCCGAGGGCGCGTAGAGCTACTATAACTACGTAACTATACGGTTTTAAAGCTTACGATCTTAAAAAAAAAGGAAAGGACTCCTCGCGTTCTTTATAAAAAATTTTTAAAAAAAAAATAGAATAAAAAGCTTAAAAATCTACTAAGAAATAAGTGAATTATACCCTCTATTTATAGGGATTAATGATAATATCTGAGCTAACTTCTCGCCCCTTAAGGGAGCCTAGTAATCTGACCTCTAAACGCCGAAAACGCCGAAACATCCAGTGGGCCCACTAAACCCCGTTCCAGTACATTGCTGTAAAGGTGTGTTTAGCCGCGTAAAAAATCTTGATTTGCTACTGCAGGGCGACTATGACGAGACAAACGATCGTTTCGTTGCCATGGAAGAAATAGCACCGGCTAAGGGTAAATATGAAGCCGCCAATCTCACCCACGTAGTGGACCTTGCCTTGTCGGAAGGAAAACAGGCAGCCTGTGCCTTGTTGGTGAGACCTTCAGTGGTTGGCCGTAGCATTGAAGGCTTGGAATGCTCAAGGCGTTCAGTCAGAAGAGTTTGAAACATTTTTTGCGTTGATTTCCCATTACTGAAGATGGGGTCATGCGTTGTGGAAATAATTGTCTCGGGAGCCAAGAGTATCCCATCAAGTGCTACATGACGCCAGTACTTAGATGTGCGGGGTACAGCTAATCAGATGTTATTTCTATTGATCGACACTTTTTCTAAACAAATCCAAAAATTCAATAAGGCCCGAATTGGAGAAATTGTGGGTACTCGATGTACTGGCGTCATGCAGCACTTGATGGGATATGTGAATCACCGAATCTTGACTGCTTGTGTGTATGGTGCTGTTGATTAGGGAGCGAGAAGAATGAAGAAGATGGTCATCAGGACAACGTGGGAAAGTGGCGTATTCAGAGTGCCTCAAATAACAAGTACCAAAAACGTGGGGAAATAGAAAAGAGTCAGAGGCTGATACAAAGCCTGCAAAACGGCAATTGAATCCCACAAAGTTGAGTTCGGGAGATGTGTGGCTTTCGCGTGGAAATGGGGCACGTATCTTTTACGCTAGCTGACATTCCAACACAAGACAGCACCAAACCATTCAGGCAGGGGCGAAGTAATAGTGAGGAATGGGAGCTGAACTGAACTTCCAGTCGACACCGATGAGACAAGTGGACCATGCGCCGGTAAGATGTACCATAGCGGGACGAAACGTACGTTGTGTTGGTAAACATTTGCGTGGTTTCTCTCATCCGTCTGCATCCAGACTGTTCCATCGCGTCGAAGAATAATATAAGTATAAGGCAGATGGCCTGTGATTTGGTGCAATAGAAATGTGTTCAGCAATCGACAGCCATTCTTTACGGTCAACACCATGCCGCTCCTTAACCCTCGCACACTCGTTACTGCCCTTTTGCTGGTACCATCATTCGCTTTTCCCGCATCTGAGTCGTCCCAAGTTCGACGGGACGATAAAAACGTTTGCAACGATGGCAATCTCGCCGCCGAAAACCCGCGTGCTGCCTTTTTCCGAAAGGTCGTTGACAGCTCCGCTTACACCAACCACAGCAGAGTCCCCACCCCATCAGGTACACCGTTGAAGGTCGGAATCATTGGGGCGGGGGCAGCTGGACTGTATGCTGCTATTCTGTTGGACTCACTTGGTATCGACTACGATATCCATGAAGTTTCCGATCGCATTGGCGGAAGGATTTACACGTACCGTTTTGACCAGGATACGTGGGCCAACTCTACATCAGCCGATCCTGCATACTACGACTATTATGTGAGCAATTAATGGGCAATCCCAATTGGATATCTGACACTAAGAAACAAAAAGGACGTGGGAGCAATGAGGTTTCCTCCAATGCCCTACATGGACCGCGTCATCGGAAATAAGTCGTGGAGTCTTATCCCATACATCAATCAGCGCGTGGCGGAGCAACACCAAGTGGTCAAGAAGCCTTACATTTTCAAGGCTGATAACACATTCAGGCGATTTAACGACATCACCGCACAACTACAAGATCCGAACTCTGCGTCTCCCAGTCGGTACCACATTGACATCCCGGGAGACAACCAACCCTTTGAAGCGTCATCTGCCTCCGACGTCTGGGCTAACCAAGTCAAGACTTTGACAGATGCACTTTCTGTTGACTTCACCAGCGGATTTGACTTGTTGATGCAGTATGATTCCATGACTGCACGAGAGTTTCTGCTGGATAGAAATTTCACCAACAGTGAGATCGACTGGTTGGAGACGGTGAACGACGCGACTGGTCATTATGACGTGTACTCGATGTCACAAGCGGTACTCGAGCAGTGGATCTTCTCTAGTGCAGACATCAACAATTGGTCACTGATTAATGGGGGTATGGACATGTTGACGAAGGGAATGACACTTGTCGCTAAGAACAAGCCTATTCTCAACAACAAGGTGACGGACATCAGGAAGAACTCGGACGGTATCTTGAAGGTCGTCGTGAACAGTACTCAAGAGTTTGATTACGCCCATGTCATATCGACCGTCCCACTTGGCGCTCTGCAAATCATCAACACAACGGAGCTCGACCTGAGCTATTCTCAAAAGAGTGCCATTCGCACATTGCAGTATGTCATCCTTTCCCTCGAAGTTTGCCCCACTCTGGGATATCCCGCCGGCAGTATTCAATAACCATTCTACAGGTACGACCCGTCTACTAAGATCGGCCTGAAGTTCAAGTCAAGATGGTAAGTGATTTCTTGTCTTAGGTGTTCCCAGAACCTCTACTGACCTTCGTCAGGTGGGAGAATCTGTCCACTGGCGCATTCAAGGGAGGTCAGTCTTTCACGGACCTTCCTATCCGCCGCTGTGTTTATCCGTCGTATGGGGTCGATGTCCCAGGCGTGGAAAATGTCGGGACAATGATCGCGTCGTACGTGTGGGGCCAAGACTCATCGCGCTTGGGCTCTTATCTCAACCCGCATAACCCTACGACGCAGGCTCCATTTCAACCGGAAAGTGTCAATACTCTGGTCGACTTCACCCTGCGTGATCTTGCAGAGCTAAACGGCGTTTCTCACGACTTCATTTTATCCCAGTACGAGGGCTACCACGTGTATGACTGGTATGGCTCTGCGTACTCGAATGGCGCATTCGCCATCTTCGGGCCAGGCCAGTTCAGTAGTGTGCTGCCGTGGCTGATGATGCCTGCTGCCAATGGGCACATGCACTTTGCCGGTGAGGCACTCAGCTCTGGACATGCATGGATTATTGGAGCTGTCAACAGTGCTTGGAGAACAGTCTACGAAATCCTAAGCACGGAAGGCCTAGAGGATAAGAAGAAGGAGTTCATCGACAAGTGGAATATTATTGATGAAGTAGACATGGGTTGGTACAACTGGTCCCCAGACGGGTCACCAGTCAAGTCATGGCCTTGAGTATATAGGCTGTATTCTCCTTTATTGTAGCAGGGGGCTGATGGTGCTCACAAGTTTTGTAACCTTCTCAACACACTTCAAACGTCTTCATTACATGCCAATGGCTCGTTTAAATTTCGGTAGCTGCAGGACTATATGTAAAGGCTTCCAATTAACCCGCCAATGAAGAAGGGAGTCTCTTGCACTGTTTCACGCTGCTGTCGTATTGGTCTCATTCATCCGATGCGTGGCTGAGGCGGTGTTTGCCTTAGCAGATGGGAATAATCGTGCGCGACTAAGGCGGATGAGGAACCTGCACGAACACCCCAATCGAGACGGCGTTGGGCGTCCAGCATTTCCATACGACGACTGCGTAGAGTGTCATTTGGTATGGAGCGTCATATTGTCAACACAACAGGCCATAGGATCTTCAGTACACAAAGCTGTGGTGGTCCGATCCCATCGACGGCTGGGCGTGAGGTTCCAAACAACTTTCCTACAACGCATTTGTGTGTAACATGCCTTGAGACTCAGACGTAATCTCGGGGCACGGAAGGAACGTGACCGAAGGCTGTTGAGGTGGCGCACACCTCGATCTTCAAGCCCAACTGACTCTGTTCTTGGCTGTCCTGGTCGCTTTGGCGTGATTGACAGAGAGAGTCAACGCGGAAAGCGTGACCAGAGTAAGCGAATGAATCGAACACAAGAACCACAACAAGCGTTCGTTCGTTTCAGTTACGTTGGCGAATCATAATGTCACCATAACCACCAATGGAGAAAGGCCCGATGGAGTGCTAACATCTTGCGCTTTGGTCCTTGGCCTTTCTTGGGGAATCCTGCCAAGCAAGGCGCGGCGTGAGCAGAAGAGTCTGGGTTTTCAATAGTCCCTCTTGGCCGAATCCGATTGGTCTTAGTGGCTGCACTTCGGGATTCTCTCACGCGATGACCGAATCTGGGCAACATCTGTCTTTCTTGTGGCTTTACATACCCTAGTCCGCATGGCCATCGAGAAGCGGATATGAAGCTGAGCCGTGGGGATCAGGCCGGTGAGCCCCACTGGAAGACAGACCTCATGAACCCCATGGGGAATGCGGGGAAGGAAGGGGGCCAGTCGACAGACATCGGCAAAAGATTGGGCGAACCATCCCCGCAAAGTTGGCAGGTGATTCGTGGACGCGACTTGGCAGATGGTTGGCGACTTGGCGAAGAAGATTACCAGACTGTCGGGAACAACTGTTCTGACTGATGCTAACATGGGAATTGCTTATAGCTGCATGCTCCATCTCACCTTTGATAGCGTTTTAATCCTCTTGCCATGATCTTCACTCTTCAGCTTCCCTCATTGTAATTTGTGTTTGATCTGCATTCCTCACTGTCGACATGACAGACGCAACTTTAGGCTCGTCTGCCGCCAAAGGAGACACGACAGCCTTCGACCATCATGAACACCGCTTTTACACACCAAATGTCGCCCTGATCGAGGCGGCATCAGCTGCTAGCGATGAAGAGGCGAAGCTCCCCCGGAAGGAGCTGTTTTCGAAGTATTGGCCCGCAATCGTCTATAGTTCCCTCCTAAGTCTGGCTCTAGTCATGGAGGGAATGGACGTCGGCTTGATCAACAACTTTTTCGGACAAACAGCGTACCTGAATAAGTTCGGGTGGCCCGACGCCAACGGGAAGCAACATATCCCCACCTCGTGGCAGGCCGCGATCGGCAACGGGAACAACCTTGGCAGTATTATCGGTCTCTTGCTCAATGGCTGGCTGCAGTCACGCTACGGCTCTCGACGAGTCTACATGGGTGCCATGGCATTGATGGGTGCTACCATTTTCACATTGTTCTTCGCTGTCAATGTTCAGATGCTTTTTGCGGCAAACATACTTTGTGGTATTCCTTGGGGAATTTTCCAAACCCTCACAACCGCTTATGCCGCCGAAATTTGCCCAGCTGCGCTTCGCGGATATCTCACAGCTTGGGTGTCCATGTGCTGGGGATGTGGCTCATTCCTGGCTGCAGGTGTTCTTCGCGGTTCGCTTGACCTGCCCGGCGATCTGGGATGGCGCATCCCATACGCTCTGCAATGGGTCTGGGTTGTTCCACTGTTCGTTGTCGGATTCCTCGCCCCGGAAAGTCCCTGGTACCTGGTTCGTCGCGGTCGTCTGGCCGAGGCTGAAAAGTCTTTGCGTCGCCTTGCCCGCAAGGATCATTATAACCAGGAGACGATGGCTCAAACCCTTGAGTTGATGAAACATACCAACGAGATGGAGAAGATCGAAGCTGAAGGAGCGACTTATCGCGACTGCTTCCGAGGCACAAACCTACGACGCACTGGTATCGTCTGCATGGCCTGGATCATTCAGATCCTGAATGGACAGGCGATTTGCTCATACGCTACGATCTTCTTGAAGTCAGCTGGCATGCCCGAGGTCCAGGCCTTCAACTACAGCATGGGCATTCAATCGGTCAACATTGTGGGCACAGGTATTGCGATCTGCCTGATGGGAAGAATTGGGCGGCGCACCTTTTACTTTTATGGGTCTTCAATCATCGGCACCGCTATGCTTATCATCGGCATTATGGGTTTCATCCCAGGCCAAGACAACGTGGCCATTGCAGTGGCGGTTGTGATGATCATTGTCAACCTCACATTCAAAATGTCCTTGGGGCCGACATGCTATGTCATCGTCGGCGAAACCTCTTCCAGTCGTGTGAGAGCTCAGACAATTGTCATTGGACGTGGAATTTACGTTTGTGGCCAAATTGCTGTTCAGCAGCTCAACCCTCGCATGTTGAACGATAGTGCTGATGCTTGGAACTGGGGTGCCAAGACGGGCATGCTGTATTTCGGCTTCTGTCTTATCTGGGCTGTGTGGATCTTCTTCTTCCTCCCGGAGACGAAGAACCGTACCTTCGCCGAGTTGGACTACCTCTTCCAGAAGAAAGTGTCGGCGCGTAGGTTCGCAACAGCACCGATTGATTGTAAGTGGTTATCCCATTTGATACGTGAACAAGTATCTTGTGATAGGTTACTGATGTGATTCAGTGTTCGAATTCACTGGCGGCGACAAGCTCCGCGGAGATGTTGACGTTATTGAAGATGTGAAGCGGATTTGAGTCTAAATTCAGGATAGATGCCGTGTGGGTTATTTAGAGAGGGCGAGATATTTCACATTTTTGGTATCATCAATGGCACGAAGAAGTGTTCGTGCAATGGCAGCTGAGATGATTGCACATTCGATGAGGGACAGCACAATGCAATTCCGTTGACCAAGACGATTTCAACACAATAGTGCAGTAAACCATACATGTGAATGTATGTGAAGCTGCGGGTGAAATGATACACATTTCAATTGCACAAATGACCGGGGAAAATGCGTCCATTACTAATTGACTCAGAAATCAATCAAACCCACCGCCCTCGCCAAAAAAGGCTGCTTAGGTATCCAGAGAAAACACTCATATGCACTGGCGTCTTGCGTCGAAAGCTCATGAGGTGGGGTGAATAAGCTTCCCACTCTTAGGTCGGCATTTTGCAATGTCCGACGCCGATAAGCGTTGTAAGCACAGGTTGAGGCTTTTCTTCGCACCCCAAAATTCGTCATTTCTAGGGCTGGAGATTTGTCAGCCAGTAGGAAGCCCGTCGTCAGATGTCTCCGAAGTAAGACATGCACCCAAAATATTTAGACATCGATGCGGCACCCAGCAGAATTAATCTCTCAATCATCCATTCATCGATCTACGCAAAATGATCACCAGCAAGCCAATCTTAATCTCAGGCGCCGGGCTCTCATCGCTGCTCCTCGCGCAATCCTTCAAACGATCTCAAATTCCCTTCAGAATCTTTGAGCGTGACGCATCGTTCACATTTCGCGCTCAAGGGTATCGTCTACGTCTGTCGGCAGAAGGCTTGGACGCTATCGAGTCTGTACTTGAGCCTCAGCTATGGAAGCACTTTTGGGAGACATGCGGCAAAACCGGCGGTAGCGGGTTTTCTGAGCTAGATGCCGTCACGGGGGAGGAAACGGAGCATTCTGCACCTGAACAATTATCCTCTCGCGACAACAAGATTGTAGGGATAGCAAGAGGAGACATGAGAAAGATCTTCGCACAAGGATGCGAAGAATCCATTGAGTGGGCCAAGCATGTGACAGGGTACGAGCTGACTGAGGATGGCGTAAGGGCCGTGTTTGCGGATGGCACCAAGTCAACCGAAGGTTCTATGCTTATTGCCGGGGAGGGCATTTACTCGAGGGTCGCCAGGCAAGTGTCTGGCGGAAGACTCAAGGTGTACGATACTGGCGCCAGGGGGATCCACGGTCAAGCGTCGACCACGGCATTCAAGAAGCTTGGAGAGGGCGTTTTCCGATTGCGAGACAAGTCACGACCCAACGGCGATGTCTTCATCATGACAAACGTTCGCTCTCGTGACATGGATGATCCCACTGTCAAGTTTGGTTGGACTATGGGTGGTCAACCAGGTGTAATACGGGCCCCGAATGACGACTACTCCATCGTGGGGAAGGAAGCAGCTGATATTGCCAAATCACTGGTTAAGAACTGGCATCCCCGCTTCAAACCACTGTTCGACGAAATGGATGAATCTGAAGCCGCATTTTGGAAAATCACTTGTTCTACTCCCTGGGGCGTGCCTGAGTGGCCCAACGAGCCTCGAGTAACTGTCATCGGAGATGCGGCACACTCCATGACGCCCGCAGGAGGTCTCGGTGCCAACACAGCAGTGCAGGATGCGGCGCTTCTTGGGAAGCTTTTGGCAGAAGCTGGCGGCTTCAAACCCGGCGTCACAGAAGCGTACGAGAAAGGAATGAGAGTCTATGGAAGTGCCGCCGTTCACCAGAGCTACTCAATTGCCTCAAAGGTGTTCGGAATTCAAATTGACGAAGAGTCTCCCACCATCTAGAGTTGGGATAAGACAGGGTTCAGGCTGATCTTCACTGCGGGGCGGGGGAGGGATTTTAACAGTAGCAGTTACATTTTTGAAGGGAAAGTTGAGGTAACCCTAAGTGTCGCACCTAGCATGCCTCTAGATGGGAAGCATAAGATAGACAGAGGAGTGAAATCTAGCACCAGTCTATTAAACGAACCTCTCAATGCTTCTGAACGAACATAAGATCAGATTTAATGCCTAAGGCTCGTATGACCAACGAATGTAGGCATGTACATACGTAGGCCCAAGTGGAAGTACCCCACGTAAGCAGAGGATGCATCATCTGAACCCCGCTTCGAAAAAGAACACACTCTTCGCACTTCGAACCACGCTTGACCACGACAAAGTCGAGTAGCCAAGAACATCACAGGCTAAACCTATCACGGCGGCATAAGTGCAAACATTGTATCAAGCAATTCAGCTCCGCATCGACCCGTTACGTTTGCTTTAATTACCGCCAGGCTCCAGCAGGCTTCGGCGGACACGGCGTTTTGTTCTAGGACTTTACCATACGCACCGTGAGGTCACGCCACTGAATTATTTTGTCTTTCATAAACGCCATGGTTCCAACATCGACACTTTGCGAACACTGTTCACTTATAGTGTATGATGATAAGCTGCGCGATGCTCCCGGCAACCCAGGTTCGCCTACGCCTTGGTGGCGGACGGATACATACCCCGATCTCCCCCTACTTCTAGCGTCTGCCTCAGCGGGTTGTACCTTCTGCAACCTTGTGCACTATCTCCTTCGAGAAAAGTTACCCATGCCCGAAACGCAGGCGCTACAAACCTCCGCAACAAAAGAGGTCACAGTCAGACTTGACTCACCAGCCTATACCATGCGGTCAGAAATCGTAGACTACACGCGGGATCTCCATCCGGATGACTACTACAACGAAAGAGATGGGCTATACTGGCTTCAGTTGGTGTTTAAGTCGCCCGCATGGACTGAAGACTGGTTTGCGAGCACCCTGGTTTATCAACAAGACGGTATGACTTCATCCTGGTCTTTTTTATTTCTTTGCTTGTGTGTTGCGTATTTTCAAGGCAGTACCCTCACGTTTGCTCCGCAGGCTATGGACAAATTATTGACATCAAGAGAAATAGACGCAGTGTCTGAGCTGCTGGGAATCAATCTGCACATTCCAGCCCTCCAAGTCCTTGACCCAGCTTGCATTGGCCTCTTGCGAGAATCTGTGGAAACATGCATGAACGAACACTTGGAGTGCCAGCCTTCGACAAACAGAACACTTCCAACACGCTTGATTGATGTTGGAAAGATCAATGATAAAAGTGCCCGTCTTATCATTGGCCACAAATTGCCCTTATTGACGCCGTACATTGCGCTGAGCTACTGCTGGGGCCCACCTTCTCAGACGACTCCGCAGCTTATCACGACAAAGGCGACAATGCCAGACCATCAGAAGTGTATCGAACTTGGCAGAATGCCGAACACTATTCGGGATGCCGTTCTCTTTACCCGCAATATGGGTATGCGGTACGTCTGGGTCGACGCACTCTGCATCGTACAGGATGACGCCGATGACTGGGCCAAGGAAGCCGCTCTCATGTACTCAGTCTATCGGCATGCCACTATTACTGTGGTCGCAGCAGCAGGAGATACCTGCCATTCAGGTTTCCTGAGCAGAAAGACAGCTGGACCAAACGCAGTAATCCCTTTCAAGTCAAGGAAGAAAGGTACTCAAGTGTCAGGATCTTACATGTTATCACACATGAGGGAACGCCGCACATGGGACGCTGATTACCCCTCGCATTTGCATAAACGCGCCTGGGCGACCCGAGCCTGGACTTACCAGGAAGATATCATGTCTACCCGAGTTCTATACTTCGACGACTTGACATCGTTCTTCCGATGTCAAAAGGAACGACGTCTCGAGCACAGTATTACTGTTTATAACAACGTCCTTGAGTGGAACAAGTTACTCACGCCCCATCCACCAAACCTCTCTTTTGACGAGAAAGCTGAGCGAAATGCAAGCCTCTACCAGCGGTGGGACGACTTGATCAATGAGTATTCGCAACGAAGCCTCACTGTCGCGGATGACAAATTTCCTGCTGTGTCTGGATTGGCACGTACCTTCGCTGTGGCGTTAGATGAACAGTATGTGGCTGGATTGTGGAGGCGCGATTTGGTCCGCGGGATGCTCTGGTGGACCGAATTCGATGTCTCCAAGCCCGCAAAGTGGCGAGCACCCTCCTGGAGCTGGGCTTCGTGGGATGCAAAGCTGGGACTTACGCCACAATACTCGCGTCCGTTGGTTAGCCAATGTGCGATCGAGGAAGTCTACGTCGAACCGGTTGGCATCGACCCATACGGTAAGCTACGGAACGCTTGGATTGTTCTTTCTGCTGTCTGTGTTCCAGTGACGATGAGACAGGTTAAACAAGCCAGTCGCCCAAGAGAAACGTATCTGGCTGAGATATTCATTTCGAACGGTCCTGAGCCTGCAGGTCTCGGATCTTTCGATGCAGTTGCAGCGAGTGGCTTAATGAACGACGGTAGCTGGAAGAATGCTGATGTTGGTCCGTTTGTGGCCTTGACTGGTGTGTCAGCGGTTGTGCTGGCACTTTGCAGCATCTTTCTTGATAACGAGGCGGAACAATATTCATCTCCTCTTTTTCCAACTGGGCTTCTGGTTACTCAAGCCACGAATTACGAGGGGAACAAATCATTCCAAACGTTTGAGCGAATTGGGGTCTTTAAGACGGAGAACGTGGAACAAGCTCAAGCATGGACTGGTAGTTCCTCAACTCGTATAAAGCTTATCTGAGAAGACTACTATATAGGAAGTATATAGCTTAAGACATACCCCTAAGTAATGAAATCCCCTTATAATGAAATGCGCGTTAGAACGCGACTTTTATATACTATATACTATGCTTTATTCTAGCTAGCTCTATTTTATTTTATTACTATATTTAAAATAAATTCCTTTAAAAATACTATAATACTTTTAATATTTTTATATATTTGTAAGAAGTTTACTATTATAGTTATAGTAGTATAAAGTAGCGCGGCCCCACGGGACGGGTCGGGCCAGGGTAGGGTTACAAATAACAAAACCAAAAAACAATAAAGTGCCACGCCGTCGGGGGCATCAACCAGCTCATGCCCTCGGGGGCATAGAAAGTGCCATGCCCTCAGGAGGATCAACCAGCTCATGCCCTCGGAGGCATAGAAAGTGCCATGCCCTCAGGGGCATTGAAAGTGCCACGTCCTTGGGGGCATCAACTAGCTGATGTCAGGAAGCTTGATAGCCTCCCATAAAGCTCCGTTCAAAAGCTTCCGCCTGGAGAGCGTAAAAGAGTCTGTGCCTATACTTACCTACATCTTCCCTAGCATTGATATCCAGACGCCTAGCAGGCTAGTCCAACCCTTAGCCCTCGGAGACGCTCAAGTTATAGATGTGCCCACCTGCATAGCTCTCCCAGAGCCTGTATGAGATACTGCTGCCCCTGGTCCTGTGTATCTCAACAAGAGGAATAAAATTGCTAGAAAGATAGCAAAATCCTGAGAAGGAGGAGGGTAGTATATGTTACGGTCAGCTATCCGACAGTAGGGTCTGCTAACAGAAGCTGGGGATTGACACGTAGTAACAGTACACTGAGGTCGTGGTCTGGGTCGTAGGTCGTAGGCTTGTAGTAGATCAGTGTTACGACCCGTTATGCATGGATAACAGTTAACCGACCCACTTGGGCGTCGGGCGGCTAGGACAGGACATTTGTACTGCAGGATCACGGGAACAACAGGGACTCACTCGGAACGGAAGAACTATAGTACAGGTCACG